GGCCAGGGCGCTGGCCATGCAGCCGTGGATAAGCGGTACACCATGGGCATGGTACACGCATGCATGCACGCTGCAGCGCGCATGCAGCGTGCATGGGAGTTACTAACTAGTACATGTATCGGATCAACATGTGCATGCATGCACTGCACGCAGCGTTCTGTATGCGCTGAGGGCGACGGCCCCGGTCAATCGACTGGATTTCCAATGTCCGCTACTAGTACTCAGTAGTATAGCCTAGGCATAATCATAATACTATTAATAGGGGCAGATCTTCGGTGTCGATCCACATAAGTTCATAACATTATTCTGAACATACAGTGCTGGCAACTAAAATCCGACCTCTGAGCGATGGGTTCACATTCTAGCGGTCTCTATTTCGTAGCTTTACTATCCCGTGTTGGGTCTTTGGCACTCTTTGCGATGTGAGCGCACCGCTCAGGGGTCGGATTTCTGTTGCCAGCACTGTACATGTAGAAGCAAGAATTGAAGCGAGGAAGCACTTCGAAGTAGAAAAATCTGCCTTTGCCGGTGTTGGCTTATCTTTGATGGCCTGATGACCGATCCTTCCAGTTCCGACTGTTCGCATGATTCAGTTCTGCAGAGAAAGACCACCTGTCTTGAAGGATTGCAGTTTGGGAAACCACAACACTGACACTGACACTGTACCACTAGCTGAGCGGCTGCCGTCCTTCCAGGGAGCACGACCATGAGACTCTTTTTTCACGGTTCGCATCAGACACGGCTGGGGGAGGCCGAGTTTTCCGCATCCGTAGGATCGCCACCACCCTTAGTTCAAGGATCAAGGCCATGAGAAGCGCTACGTAAAACCAGGCTGCATACGAAGTCTGGCTGCGCAGTCTGATTATAAACACTCGGATGAGGCCAGGGTCTCTGCATGGGAGGCGATCTCTGGGAGGTAGCACTATTACCAGAAAGAGCCTCTCTGGCAGCCGGGAAGTGTTTATGAAGAGCTTCTGAAGTTCTCGTGTAACTGGATAACGGTCATGAGCTATTGCAGGTACTATTAGTGTAGCACCAAGAGCTACATGTACATTGTACATGTACACTTGGTGTTACACTCCATACAGCTATCATGTATGCTAACATTCAAGTGGACAGGAAGAAGCGTGAACTCCAACTCCTTTTGAGCAACCAACTAGCTGTTACATGACAGTACTTTCTTGCTTCAACTTCTTAGTTCTTACATGTAGTTCAAGAACTAACATGCAGTCTGGAGTTCGCGAGGCGTTTGTCGCGTAACGACTCGCGTTGGAAACGGAGCGTCACTGGAAGCTGGTATCCCTGGTGATGTTTGGGCTGCGGGAGCGCCAGATAGATACAAGTGACTAATAGTGCAGTAGTCCTGTGGCAGAGATTTCATTAGCACACGGTAATATTTCAGCTGATGGGTGATGGGTGCCCGAAACACTGAGCTGGAAATGGTGCTTTCTTACAGCCTACAACCTACAGGTTTGCTGAGTGGAATATTCGATGGATTTTTTGCCTAACCTTGACGGCAGTCGTGATCACCTCATAGGGAGCAATACAATAATCTTCTACTGTCGCCGAAGTCGCTACAATGCGGTCTCCGGATCTTGGCATCCTCCGAATTGAAACCAGAGCCAGTTTTATCCGCCACGTGCTGTAAAGATACGTATGAACAACCACGCTTCTAATCTAGTTCTACCAATGGGTTCTGTCGTTCCAACTCCGCATTATCATTGCCCTGGCCTGGCTAAGAGCATACCGAGAACGGTTTTATTCACAACACCAATACTTCTAGTTCTGCTAGTTTTAATACAGTCATACAGACGACTAGTCGTCATGCAATAGTAATAATTATTACTAGTATTACTATTATAATAATTATAATAATTATTAGTATTGATGATCCACTCGATATCGATCGACGCTCTGAGTCGGCGACGCGCTGCGCTGGCACGAGCACAGTATGACGGGTGACAGAGTCAGTGACAGGTCAGTGACGCTGCCACTGGCACTGCACTGGGCAGTGTCGCGTCTGTCGAAGATCTGACTGTAGTGTGTGCCTTACATATGTACATGCCAAGCAGCCTGACTGTGCTTGTGCTGCAAGTGCAAAGACTTGTGCAGGCTTTTTGTGGCTGGTTTCCTCAATGGCAATGCCAATGCCATGGCAATGGTGGGAAAGCCCCTAAATTAAAATGCCCCTGCACCCCAGTTCCAAATACTGTCCGATATCATACACAATACACGCGGTGAAGTATGGAGATTGTCCCTGACTAGCCGGCTGTGTATGATTGTATGGACTGACGTAATTCACTGACACAGAGTCAGTGTACGTCTTGCCAGTACAGGCTCAGGTGTTGGAGCTGACAGGGAAATAGAAATTTCTTGCACAGTTCGTGCTACACGAGTTTCCTGTTCGTAACAAAGTGCGTCTGCACATCATGGTACATCATGTACATAAATACAACATGTCTGGTAGCGTGTCGAAACTTGCTTTTCACCTTCACGCTAACTACAGGCCCAGTGCAGCTAGTGCTGAATGGCAACGCATGTCTGCAACTCCCTCATTCATTCACTTGAAGACCAGTTCCGCAGGACCCCACAAAGCGAGAGAGTGTGTGCTGTTTCAGAGAGCTGGTTCGTTTCTCTTCTTCAGTGCCTGGAGACGTGTTCTCGAACGCTAGTCTGAAGTTAGCGCGTGAAGCTTTGTGGCGAAGACTGCACCAGTGTGCTGCACATTCATTCATGGACGTAGCCTTTCAATGTCTGTGAGCCGAGAAGATTGACCAAGGTCCTCCTGTTAGTCAAGCTGTAAATAGCCGAAAGATGATTGCCTCTATGTCGGTGAGTCGTCAGGTCGCGGACATCGGGTCGCGATCGACATCGACAGCGAGTGTTGGAAATCGGTCGGACAGTTCGCCGACTGACTCGGATCATCCGGTAGACTCACAGCTATGTCGCATGGCGATCGGGAGTCGGGTCAGGGTGCGAGAGAATACACGCTGTCCGCGCTATGGCTGGGGATGTGCAAGCCGATGGAGCCAGGGAGAACTCGTTCAACATCTTCCGTTCGGCGAGGTCTTGGTCAAGTTTCCCGGTAGCGAGCACCTGTGGCATGGCCTGGAGGAGGAGCTGGAATCTCTCGGACACGCTTCTTTGTGCGTTCAAAACTCCAAATCTAGGCATGCCCTGCATGACAGTATTCTTAGCGGCATCCGGTCCAGTAAGCTGCTTGCTAATGCGAAGACGCCGTTGTGGACAGTGTCAAAAGAGTTGTCCAAGAAACTTGTAAAGAGCCTATTACGACGGTCTCCGGCACTTGCCAGTCGTGGTACCTCTGCGTGTCGAATGCTGCCTTGATAAAACGATTGGTGGCGAAGTGTGGGGCAAGCAACCATCCATGGCGCATGTGAAAACGAGGGAGAAATCATCCCGCGATAATAGGCGGAGCGTGGTGCACACCTCGATATGTTCCTGCTGAAGAGGTCAAGTCGGCAGGGAGTCGGATTATACTTTATGTGCACACTGGTGACTGTCGGACAGGTAAGCTGCTACAGTGCTGGCAACTGAAATCCGACCCCTGAGCTGTGCGTTCACATCGCAAAGAATGTGAACCCACCGCTCAGGGGTCGGATTTCAGTTGCCAGCACTGTAAGCTTATCAGAAAGCAGCAGGCATTCCGTTACTGTCTTTAATATATATTTTTATTATTACTCAATTATTATTATATATTTTTAAACTTCGGCCAGTATGACTACTAAAGTATTCACTTCGTCTTGGGGTGAGACATCGGGAAGTTGCCATACAGAGGTGGTGAGCCCTCCTTTCGGCACCGGGAATACAGCTCGCTCGACTACCTGTCTTATGATTATGCCTCCCATAACAACCGTCCTCTCCATCATCTCTCATCATCATCATTCTGAAGGAGACAAACCACCTAAACCATGCAAACGTTGATATTATTAATATTTATGTGAGTATCAATCAGTATAGTCTTGCTCCTCAGACCTGCTGTGTAGTCCACCTATCCATCGTTGCATTCTGTGAATCCCTTGGCTCCGGACCTGTGCTGGTGTGTCGTTGTATAGATATCAAGTCTTTGCCGAACGGATCATGTCTCTCCGTCTGAGCGGTCAATATGTACCACAGTCGGTCATACCGTATTTCCACGCATATAAAGCCATGGCGTTATAGGTGAAACATCGCTGTTTTGGACCAAATTTTTGGAGAAAATAACCTCGGTTTTAACGCCATGGCGCTAAAAGTGAGAGACGCTTATATGCAAAAAAATCGGCAGAGTATGATGAACTTCGAGTACTCGTACGGTGCCGTTGCACGTTCATGTCGAGCATCCATGTACTTTCAATTTTCCCTGAAAATTTCAAATTGTGAACCTATTGTGTACAAGGTGGCATACAAACTTGTGTGAAGGTGCGGTGGCGGTATGGCATGTGACAGTGGGGATGGGTACATGCAGAGAGAATCACCGGTGCTGTAGATTCACTGAAAGAATTGAACTCACCTCTAACGCCGGATGCAACTTCCTCCACATTGAATTTTGTTCACTTATAACGCCATGGCTTTATAAGTGAGGGTGGCCTTATATTCGGATATAACGCCATGGCTTTATAAGTGAGGGTGGCCTTATATTCGGATATAACGCCATGGCTTTATATGCGCGGAAATACGGTATGACACTATTCTATTCTAGTTCCAAGTGGCACTGAGGAGGCCTCATTGGCCCAAACAGTTAAAATCTGTCCCTGAATCCGTCAATCCCTTTTCTGCACCCTTGTCCTCATCCACTTACTGAGGTGTGGTGAGCCCATAAGTAGGATCATTTCCAAGTCCACCCATAGTTTGGGGATTTCAGGGGATGTCGGCCATTGGGCGGTTCAATAGCCAACTGTGTCATCTTTCCAAGATTTCTTTTTGAGTCTCTCTCCCCTCTCCCGGGGAGACTGTGTGTGTGTGGGGGGGGGGGGGGGCAGTCATTCACGACATTGCGCCAAGGAATATGGTTCAATGCATGGATAGAAGAAACAATGATGCACTTGGACAATTTCCGTAGCAGAGTAAAATGAAACTGCTGATAAAAAAATTGCACGGTTTCTGAATATATTATGAATCGTGTCGATAGTTTTGTATATCAGGCACTGCAGATAAATTCAGCTGCAGTACAATATAGACTTCGGTATGAAGAGTGTATATATTAGAAGAAATGTAGCAATTTCTGAAAACAAAATGGAAGTCTTCCGAGACATCATCTGTATAATCCTGTCTGAAAAATGAATGACTCTGGCACAGGAGTACAATAATCATAGCAGGGTCTCAATGCTCGGAAGTATTAGTATAATTCTTAGCTGTGGAAACTGTTGAAGAAGTGGGCGAAAAACCCAGCAAGGCAAACACGATCATGTACTTCAAGAAAGAAAGGCAATGCAAAGTAGACCCCAAGTCCGACGCATGAGGAACTGCAGAGATACTGTGGTTTCAGCCCGTATCTATAATTATTGGATACCTGCAGTCCTGGCTGGTTAGCAGCTGCACAGTGTATTGTTCATACACACTGCCCAGCAAGCATTGAATATGTACAACCTCTCCTAGAATACATCTTGCAGTGTACACTGCACATCGTGTCTGTATAGATAGCTTCCTGCACAGATCAATTGGTTATAGCTCTGTGGCTCTATTCACCCCAATGCCCCTATTCCCTGGCCGCGACAAATCTAGTGGTGACAAAGTACACCCTGCCAGCATTGTCACGTCCCTGGCATGTGAACACGGTGCCGGAGCTCTCTCTGTCCAGCCGCCGCACTTTCAATGACTTATTTCGCGTCAGAGAGAACTGCTGTGAGCTGATTTGCAGTGGTGTCCGCCGCTCACTATCGCCATGGTACCAGGCGATGACTGTGAGACGCCGTCCGTTTCGTTTGCACTTGGCAGTGGGATTGGAGCCTGGAGTGTAGATAGTTGTAGTGTGCACAACCGGGGCCGCAGCAACTGACGGATTAGGCTGCACAATGACATCATCGGGCCGCGTGTCTATGATGTCATTAGGCTGAGTAATGATGCCATCACCTTCAGTAATTGCAGATATGATTTCATTTGGTCGCGCTATGACCTCAACATTGTGGCCAGTGGGTATGTGTTGATCATCCTCTTCAATATTGGTGTCCACTGCAGGGTTGTTTGGCCGTGATTCCATGTTGGGTTTGTGCGGCTCAAGAAATTGAGCACTGGTTACCACTTGTACTGCTGGTGAGGAGTGGAAGATAGCAGTGACAAGTGACTCGACTGCACTGGGCGTTGCTGGAGGAATGACAAACTTTGGTTCTATTGTATGGGCGATGTATGGCTTCTCTGTCGCCATAGTAGTCAATGTTTTAGTCTTGGTTACAGGAGATGCAGAGCCAGACACATCTGGATTGGTGTGTGTGTGTGTGTGTGTGTGTGTGTGTGAGAGAGAGAGAGAGAGAGAGAGAGAGAGAGAGAGAGAGAGAGAGAGAGAGAGAGAGAGAGAGAGAGAGAGAGAGAGAGAGAGAGAGAGAGAGAGAGAGAGAGAGAGAGAGAGAGAGAGAGAGAGAGAGAGAGAGAGAGAAATAGACAGCAAGAGGCAGACAGACACATGGAGTGGGAAATAAGCAGAGAGAATATCATTATCCACTACTAGTGTTGGTAGAATGTAATCATCTGCAGGTGTTACAGGTGTTGCAGGTGTTACAGGTGTTACTCAAAGCAAACTTAGAACTAGTGACTATGGTTGCTTTACTGAATCTGCTGTACTGACAATTCCATAGCACGATACATACTCCATGCCATGACATGGGGGTACACCACAGCAGGCGTCAGTAATATCCGTACAAACAGCAAGCTTTCATTTTGAGCGGCAACCAACCTTTTTCTGAGCAGTCGACAGCAACACACGACATGGTATCAGAGACCGTGCCACGACAGGACTGCGAGCTCGATGACGGCCCCGTTGCTGCTTGAGTAGCAGCGGGTGCTGTCGATGATGGCTTGACTGGTCGGTGTCTGCTTCTGTATCCCGTGCCGCAGGTTGAGTTGCATGCTGACCATTCGGTCCATGGACCAAGCAGACAGGATGACCAGCCTGTGTAGATACAACACACATACACACACAACACAATAATCTCAGCATAAAATGTAGGCGCTGTTGCTGATATACTAGTAGTGCTCTCGATGTACATGAACTGCGGAGCCACTCGCACACTGGGTACAGACAGAATTGCAGGCTCATGTGCGAGCAACAGTACAGAAAAGCGGAATCCAACCCGCGCCACAACAGCGGCAAGGGCTGGATGAACAGCGGTACTGACAGAGTATGAGTGACTGGAACGTGTCCCACTTAAAAGCTAATCACACATTGGGGACAGAGAGAAGCTAGTCTATTGTTGGTACTCCGAGTCTCTCGCTATGGCAAGCATCAGCCTACACTAGTCGACGACAGAATCATGATCAGAATGGCAGCAAAGATAGGAATGAAACAAACACGTTCATCCATAGAGCGGACATGGTGCTGGAAACTCCGTTTGTTCAAACACTTTCCCATAGCAATAATCAGGACACTAATTCCAGGACTCAGTGGAGCAGGCCTGCATGAGACCGATTGTTGCTCTGTGACAGCGGACTAGTTCATTTACATTATTCCTGTATTTGTTGAAGTTTGTCTCCTTGCCACCTGCTTTCATAAGATACTATGATTATCTAGGCCAGGTAACACAATCATGTAAATTGAAGAGCATCTGCCCCCACCCCCATGTTCTTAGTTCTATCTGGCCATGTGTCTAGGGTATGTGAGCATGTCACGGGCAGCCAATGGGACAAAGCTACACACTTACCACCTTGGCAGATAGGACAGCACTGACCAGCCACAACCAATGGTTTCTAAGGAACAACACGTGTCAGACACAAAATCAGCGAGGAAGAAGCACATGCACACGCACACACGCACGCACGCGCGCGCACACACACACACACACACACACATAATCACACACACACACACACACACACACACACACACACACACACACACACACACACACACACACACACACATAATCACACACACACACAAACAAACACACACACACATACACACAACACAAAACACAGGAAACGAGTAGTCATAAGATGAACATATGAACGAGAGCAATATGCCAAGCTTCAGCAGTCTGGTGAGATGGCGGGACACTGGTCCTTTGGCAGTGTCCAATGGAGACCAGGCACTAACCTTAAAGAACATCTAATGGGCTTTAGCCGGGTCTCTAGCCCGAGTGACGGGAACTGTGATTTTTGATGTGGGAGCCTCGGAATTGGAAGAAATTATTGAACGTCACCATCTGCTGCAGTCTTTCACCTCATGATGAAGTTGTAATGGTGCAGTTTCAGTACAGACTCTCAAAATGCCATCGGGCTTCAAAACACATACTGGCTGGCATACTTCACAGGCTGTGGGATGCATGCACAATCTCTCTTCATCGCACACAAGTACTAGTAGTGGAGTACTTCTGATACACCCCAGTGGATCGGGGTGCGTCAAAGGGGCACTGAACTGCTTCACCACCGTCCAGCATAACCTAGTGTCTGCACATCTCTCTTCATATCGCCGTCCAGCAAGAATATTAGACTGAGCAGTGTTTGGGTGTCTCGACCAGCATTATTGCCTGGGAATACCAAGCGGAGGCTCCGCTTTTCGAGTGGTTCGCTGGGTCAAATTTCACCAGGCGAGAGCTCAGGGACACACATACACACACACATGCACGCGCACACACACACACACACACACACACACACACACACACACACACACACACACACGTGCACACACACACATACACACACACGTACCTATGTTAATATGTACATAATTACTTACCGATTCACATACGGGACATGTGAGAGGTTGGCAGACAGTGATACCACCCAACTTGCACTGACACTGATGTGTGCACAGACTGTTTGACCATGTTGCACCAACCTGAAACGAGCATGCACACAGACACACACACGCACACACACGTACACACACACGTACACACACGTACACGCACACACACGTGCGTGTGTGCGTACATGCATACATAACATGTGTTATAAAGACCAAGTTTTTGAAATGCAGTACTTTAAAACCTTCTGTGTGTGTGTGTGTGTGTGTGTGTGTGTGTGTGTGTGTGTGTGTGTGTGTGTGCGTGCGTGTGTGTAGGTGTGTGTGTGCCCCATATGGTGCAGTGGTATGTGCAGTCGATTTCCAATCGAGAGGTTGCGGGTTCAATTCCTGACGATTATGGTTGCACACGTCTTTCTTCTCTTTCTCATTCTCCTAGCTCTTCTTTCATTCTCCTGGGTGGTTACCAACAGCCAGTGTATGCCGGAGTATGTGGTGTGGCGCGTGTGTAAAAAAAATTAAAAATTAAAAATAGAGATTCACTGGCCAGAAAATGCCACTTCAATCAGCTGTGTGGTGGATACCAGGCTAGAAAATAGTGGCGGTCAATTCATCAGCCTTGCAAGCTGTTGAGTGGTGTAATCGCAGCATAAGTTGCTATGTCTAACATAGCTGTTCGCTATCATCGCTTCCGCGGTGGGCATGTCTGAGGTCCGAGGTGTGCACGTGCTCACGCATGCATGGGAATGGAAATGCAGCTTGGCAATTGTGCAAATACATCAGCCTGGAGCTGCGGAAGTTTTGTTGTTGCTGCATAAAGGGACGCACACGCAATGCTTCCTGTACCACTGATGTCCAGATAAGCTATGTTTGAGTTCTGGTGGAACATGCACAGCTGGGCTTACCGGCCGTGTGGAGCCACCATCATCCATCGTGCACGATACGGGCAGAGAGCAGTTGACCTCTACCCCAGCCATGGTGTGTACAGCCCTGCAGTGAGGCCTAGCACAGGGTGTAGTCGTGCAGCGTGCACCCGGGTAGGCTGGACAGGTTGACCCGGTGCATAGGTCTTCCACACACTGTACAGCCTGACTGTGTGTAGCGTCCACCGGGCAACCTGGGGTGGAAGACAGCACAACACAGCAGTGGGTCATGGCTAGGCTTCAGCAGGGCTTGAATGTGATGACGTCAGAAGTCAATAACAGTTAATGACAACTACTGAGTCATATTAGAGATCCACTCTGACCATAAGGACTCTGAAGTACAGGATCCATAGCGATGGCTGTTTTAGTGTTGAAACGAGCGTATCTATAACAAACGAGCGATCAGTTCCACTAACGAGCAAGCTATCGAGCGAGCTAACGAGTTTCATTGATGTGGCAAAATTAATATGATTTATGGACTAATAAATTTTCTAAGTTCGGTTTTTTCAGCTGGTTCAAATTATCACCGCCGGTATTTGGGGTTGCTGCTGCTTCACTTCGGACTGCTGTTTGGTGTCAAGATGTCTTTTCAGCGCCGTCGTCGAGTAGCCTTTGTAAGAATAGACCGTTTTGCAAAGATTGCAAGTAGCCCTGGTCTTCGCTGCATCGCGGGAGAAAACTTCCAAACGACTTAGCGTAACTTTCACTCGAATGGAGACGTGACCGAAGCATATCCTGCGACAGGTCAGCAGATGCAGAACAAGACATCAGTAGAGTCCACCAAAGCTGCAACGACAACTGAAACAACTCAAGTGGCGTGCAGGCATACAGTTACTGTAACTGCGAGTGATTTTCACTTTGCGCGGGACTGGATCCCCCATGGACTCTCGATCGACCAGGCCAGGGAGTCGTAAACTATTTTACGACTCCCGGCCCCGCGGGCCCGGTCGACATGTACTGCCATGTGCACGGAGTACGGTGTTCGTTAGTGCAAACGAGCTGGCCGCACAAACGAGCCGAGTTTCTGGCGAGCGAGCTAACGAGTATCCGGTGAGATCGTTTCAACACTAGGCTGTTTTATTATGTTTCTACTGTTACACATACATGGGCCGGGGCGCCACGCACGGTACGACCACGTACCCATGCCCCCCCCCCCCATCCACACTCTTTGTCCAGGATGGTCCGCCCAATGCAACCAAAAAGCAATAAAAGAGCGCTAATAGGTGGCCTGTTAGCCGAAAAATCGATTTTTTCCCCGGGGGATACCCCAATCCCCGGTCGTGCCACTCCCCACTGTCCTGTGATCCTCTCCCCTGCCCCGATACACATGGGTGCGGATGCGCATGCTCAAGTGTGCACATACATACGTATGCAGACAAGCGTGTGTGTGAACACACACACACACGCACACACACACAGATACACACACGCACGCACCCCCCCCCCCCCACACACATACTGTGACAGACACGCACACACGCACACACACGCACACAACACACACAACACACACACACACGCGCACGCACGCACGCACTCACCCCCCCCCCCCACACACACAATTACATACACACCTGCTCTCAAAATTGAAGTGGGCGCAAAGAGGTAGGCAGTGACAGACTCTCTGGTGATGGCCTACCAGATGGTTACTGGGGAGATAGCATCATAGATGATGACCTATTCAGAGATGGCCTATCGTGTGGGCCTGTCGGTATGACCTATCGCAGCTGGCAAGCAGAGTTCACTTTGTAGCAGATTGTCTTATGGGGTTGATCGATGTCCCCAATATCATAGGGAGTAAGGGGACAGTGTAATTGGGGATTGTTACGTATAGATGGCCCATACGGGGCAGGTGGCACAACATCAGGCTCTTACTTGCACAAACTGGACAGCATGATCCCGCAGGTTTCTGTTGTACGGCAGACGAGCAGTTGAGATGCGGGCACTGCATCACACTGCACACTATACCACCACCGCGCTGACATACGCATGTACTGCAGCTCTCTGCGTTGGTCCAAGTTTCACCCACCGTCACTGTGCCAAATGAACTCCTACACACGTCTGTGAATGAACAAACAAACAAGAACTCGATATGCAATTAAGTCCGTCAAAGCCAACTGCTAATGGGGCCCCAAAGGTTGGTACCCGTGTATTGGTGGTCCCATATTCAGGGCCTTATTAGAGAAAGTGATATCCTAAGGGGTCGTCGCAAAAGTTTTTAGCCGTCCCTGAAACAATCATCGGTCATTTCGTACTCAGACTCTCCCTTCGAAATGAAAGCAGCTTGCTATGCTAGACAACGCAAATTGCATGCAAAAAAACCTGCCGGCACAGAGATGCACTAGCTTAAGCGAGTCCGTGACCCATGCCAGTACGCTGTGCACATAATAGTCCATGAGTGGTTCCGCTGATTCACACTGTGTACACATTGACCATAAGCATCTCCGCTGATTCACCACCATGGTAGCATTCACATATCCTCTATTGCCCAATGTACCCTGTATCAGTGATTCTCCACTGTGTTAGTGTCTGTACCTTACCATGTGTGTTGACTGTAAGGGTAGCCGCAGCACTGGTCACGCCGGCTGAGTTGTACGCAATGCACACGTATTCACCCGCACTGCCCGCCTCAGCATTGTGGATGCGAATGCGGTCATGTGACACGGTCACATGATCTGCATGAATAGCAACCACATGCGCACAGAGGGTTATGGTGACGTGCACGCAGCATGGGAGCACATTGCCAAGTTGACATGGCAACGCAACTTCACACATATTCACGGACTGGTTATCGCAGGCCCTCGGATGTCAGTGTCATGAAGCAACTCATGAAACAAGTGCAAGCCGAGTCGCGATGAAACGAGTGCAAACCGAGTCACTGTGAAACGAGTGCAAACCGAGTCGCGATGAACGAGTACAGAACAAGTCGCAACAAAGCGAGTGCATACCAAGTCGCTGACCCGTTTTCACAACCAGACACGGGGCAACATGATTGCATTGATAATTGTTTTGCTTTCAAAACCGCCACCAGCACACGTGGAAGAACTCATCAAGTCAGACCGTGTGCGCCAGGGACTACACAGCACAACAGCACAACAGCACAACAGCACAACAGCACAGTGCTGGGGTGTCGCAAGGTATTATAGGGTGGTACAGTGCGCCATCATGAAGGACCTGGCAGGGCACGACATTCCTTTGAAGAATGCCAGCGACCTAGAAGGAGCACGAGCATTTGCTGCAGACAAGTTGAAATGGAGATCAGACATTGTTTATGGATGAGTTTTTTGTTGACTGGAGACAGAAGCGGACTTGGCTTAATTTCAGTGTATTCTCATGCATTGTTCTTTGGCCTTTGTACGCGTGCTGTGGTATTATTATTATTATTACAGTCCGCCACCTGAAGAACAATTTTCTTGTCGGGTTGGGGTGGCTCCTCAGAAAAATTTCGAAATTTAGACCCCAGATCAGTGCCATTGATTCACAGGGTGCCTGGGACAAATAGTGAGACGATCAATATCGTAGTGACCGTAGCGTGTCCGGCGCCCCTGCACAATGTCTGCATTTGCTCCACTGCTTACAGTCCAATTAAACCACTCCAGCACATGCAGTCCTGCATATGTCAGTCTCACCTGAGCTGGTGATCTCCATCCCATTGTGCTGCCATTTCAGCTGTGCAGCCGGCATGCCCAATGCCTTACAGTGCAGCGTGGCCGTCTGCCCTGAAGCTACGCTTTGTGATTCCGGTGTGCGAGTGAGAACTGGCTTGTGTTTAGCTCCTTTGCAGATAATGAAATGCAGACAGACAGACAGACAGACAGACAGATGACAATTAGAGAAGTCTTTTAAAGAACAGCCAAGATTCCTCCAACTGCCCCCCCCCCCCCCCCCCCCATACACAATGCATTCTCCTAGCATACAGAGGTACAGTCAGACCAAGCTTATCCGGTCCTCTTTTATCCGGATGCCTTGCCGCCCGGAAGAAAATAGCTGGTTACAGATTTACAGCATATGTCACACACAGTGATCCATCTAACATAACTGGTGTCCGGTTATCCGGTTCCCTCGCCCGCCCGGATATTTTTACGGATGTGTGCAGTTAAGTGAGGTCTGACTGTACAGTCAGTGAGGGAGACCAATAGTCCCCCTCCCCCCCCCCCCCCCCCCCCCGCCCACACACACACACATGCACACACTTGTGGAGTTACAATCGGGGGGGTATGGCCATTGGGAATAATACCCCCCCCCCCCACGTGACTTACAATCTGGGTGTGTGAGGGGGGGGGGGGGGGGGAGGATGGCCATTGGGGCTAATACATGTACCACAGACACCACAACGACCGCACCAATAGAAGTGAGATATAACACACTGGGCTTGACTTTACCACCATCACTGTACTGTCTATACGTGTAGAACAAACAGAAGCACAAGTGCATGTGTGCAGCGGTGGAAAGCACATGGATGCACGCACATACGCACCAGTATGGTCACAGCACAAGGTACGTGATACTATACACACAACAACAGCAATATGACTCACCAGGTAGTGTTACCAGCATGTCATGGGACAGACGCACGCCGTCGCCGTCCATTGTGCACCTGTACACGCCGCTCATTTGTCGTGACATGTGAAAGCGCAGCGCCTTGCTCTTCGTGGTCCAGAATGGCGAGTCTCGCGTCGTGAGAATCGTCCTGTTCTCCGGCAGTCGGGTCCAGACTATTGGCAAGTGAGCCATTGTCTTATGAGCACGGCACAGTAGCAGAGATTTCTTGCCAGCGGCCACTTGCATGGTCGAACTGGAGACCTTCTTGAATTTCGGCTTGGCTGTGTCAACAGAACGGGTAGAAACCAAAGAAACGATTGTAGTGCAGTATTTACTATTTAGTTGACTTGATCACAGGCCTCCCCAGTCACAGCTGTTTATAAAGACGACCATTGCCAGGAGACAATTCATTTTAGCTGCAGGGCACTTTCCCTCAAGATGAAACAGATTTTGTTAGATAAGAGTGGGAAGGGAGAGAGCGAGAGAGAGGGGGGGGGGGGGCAGTCAGCGGGATGAGGTAGATACACTGCAGAGAACAAGTCCAAATGCGACAATTCTCGCTAAAAAAAGTAGCAGAATGAAATGGCTTACCCTGTGTGACGACTTCTCGTGTGATGTTCGTTACCGTGCCAACCGCGCGTATCTGGCAGGTGTACATAGTGCTAGCTGCAGTGTCTGATGCAAACACTTCAATGCTTGCTCCCCGGTCAGCCTGGGTCGAGTGCACTGAGTCAAAGCGAGGCATGTGGACGCCGTCCTTCAACCACCGCACTCTCTGCTCCCCGCCGCTTGTATACTGGCCTGTATTCATGGACTCGGTTGTACACACAATCGTGGCATGTCCGCCCGGGTAGAGTGGTGTTGATGGCGAGATGTGAATATGTCCCACTGGCTCAGGTACAGCTGCAGTAGATAGTTAGCATGAATCCAGGAACAGATCAAACAGTCAGAATATTATAACAATAGTTACAGTTTGCTTGTCACTCATGGAAGGATCCATGGGCTTAACGCATCTGTCACTGAAATCCAGGCAGAAGAGTCAACAAAAGGCATCTCAATATTCAAAGAGTCAGAAGGGGAGTCATGATGTTAGTGCACTATCCTCTAATACCAAGCGCCTGAAGTTCTTGATTCTCTTTTCCCATTCTCCAGCAACATACATAAGGTGATGAGCATGCAGTGAGACCCCTCACTTGATTAGCTGCTTGCATATGTGCACGCATATGCACATACGCATATACACACTCCCAGATGCACGGACACGCAGACACGCAGACACACAGAAACGCAGACACTGGCGCAACTCCAGATAGTGGCTTACAGACAAAGACCAACATACAGACACAGACCCATACACAGACCCAGACACGGACACAGATACTGGTCCACACACAGGCACAGGCACAGACACATACGGAGATGCAAAAATGACACAAAACAGACCCAAAAAAAACAGACAGAAAGACAGACAGATAGACGGAAAGCCAGTTAGCCAGACTGACAGGAAGACAGGCAGATAGGCAGACAGATAGACAGATAGACAGACTGGCACACAAATAAAACGATCTACAAGTTCCCACCTGTTACAGATAGGGCTGCACGGAGTACAAGACCACCAGTCTCGCAGGTCACATTTACACTATCCATCGTGGCCGATGTATCCACATGCAGCTGTACAGATCCATCCGGCTGTGTTCCAAGTCTGTATGACATCATAGATGATGTTGTAGATGGGACAATTACGTCATCATTCACTTTGAACACGACTGGCAAGGGATGCGGGCCTTGCACAGCATAGCAAGTGAACACAGCACTGGCACCACGTGAGACGGTCTGATTGCGAGGTCTTTCTAGCACAATAAGCTGATCTGTGTGCAACAGAGCAAGACATAACAAGTAATTTTGTTGATGCCATCTTCATTAGGTCCGTCAATCAAAATAGTAGTGGTCGATTTTCTTGTTTCTTGATTTTTCGTGCTGGTGTCTGCAAGCGTAGTGTGGTCCCACCTGGTTGCAATCTACCACTACATAAAAGATACCCTGTTACAACAGAAGGGCTGCAATGGCACGGCGGTGAAGACAAAGGCCTGAAGATAGTGCATGTCAAGTTCAAATGCAAAATTCAATGTTGAAAGGAAGAGGACATATGGAAACGAGTTAAGAGTAACTCTCCATCACTGTAACCAGATACTATATACAGTCAGAAAGTGTAACAACTATATGTCCAACTATATGTCCTCTTCCTTTCTACATTTATTATTGGCTCAAAATCCGAGTCAACATCCGAGCTCAACATCCGAGTTTTAAATTGCAAAATTCAATGTACATAAATAAACAGTAAACAGCATGCAAAACCCACTCCTTTAACCGAAAAATGCTCCTAATTGATCAGGCGGCGGTCCCAGGGGGTAATTAACACCAGGGCTTAAGGGGTGTCAGCTCAAATCAGGAATATCTATGGGCGATATAGTCCGAGGCATGCACGTCACAGCGTTTTTCTTCAGATCTCTGATTGTATTGAGCTGCGTACCTGTGCCACTGTGTCGAGCTCATTCTAGCATGCGGTGTCTAACTTAACCTTCATCCTCCCAACGCTCCCATGTGAGACCATAATTTGTGTTCGTCGGAATTAGTTATTGCCATATCTCCCTCTAACATTGCCCATGAGACACAGCCAACTCACCTTGCACTTCAATGTAGGCCTCGGCGGACGCCGTTCCAAAAGCATTTCTAGCCTTGCACATCAGTCGTCCATTCCACCATGGCCGGGCCACTGGGGAGATCAGTAGGGAGCCATTGCTAAATATCTGCCATGCCGCCTGACCCGTGCTCCTCGCCGGCGAGGAGGTGAGCGGCCTGTCCTGGAAGTACCACTCTATCTCAGCATCAGCTGGCGATGCTGGGCAACTGACCAGAATACGTTCCTGCCCTGAGCTGACAGTGATATTAGCTAGTGACGCAATGCTGGGACTGAGGTCTATACATGAATGCAGAGTGGAGAAGCAACAGTGAATCATGGTGTTGTCAAGGGCAATGGTATTATAGGTTTCTCTCAATAATCAGTTAAACATCACGGATCACATAGACCTACCGTAGTAACGCACATATAGGCGCATGTGCCTGTATTCGGATATAAGCGCACTCTCACTTACAAGCGCATGCTCCTATAGGCGAAGCACTACAAAAATTCTCACTTTGACACAATCACGGATAAAAGTCCGCAAACAGCATGCAGGAACCCTGAAACTGAAACTACAAGACCTAGTCAAACACAAAGACTCTGGCAAACAAACTCTGATGGCGCATGCGCATTTAGGTGAAAATATGTCATTTTTGAAAATTGGATCCGTAGCAAAAATTCACTTATACCGGGGTAAGCGCATGTGCCTATCTGTGCGTTAGTACGGTAATATATTTGGGGCCGAAATATACATTGGTTCAGGTCCTATGGTGGTTTGCTGTCTGTCAAGACTGATGCTAAGACTGTCTCTGGCCTGTACTGTTTAACAATGGTGGCTTAGTGCCAAGCGCTGCACCTACCCAGCATGGTGAGGATGCTGTGCGCCTCGCCTCTACCAGCTTTGTTAGTAGCCGAGCAGGTGACTTGCCCGGTGAGGTCTTCACTGATGTTCTGTAGGGTCAGTTGTGATTGGTCCCTTGACAGGGTGTAGCTGCAGAGGCACGGACAGAAGAGAGACGAGTGCGTCATATAATATCCACACATGTACGCAGATTCGTACGGACAAGATATTACCAAAGTAAACATGCGACCCTTGGTTGTGGAAAGTATGCTCAACACCAAAGACAGAGCAATGGCAGCACACAATGATCAATCAAGCGACAAGGAACAAGACACCTGCAGGCAATAGGTCTTTCCTTGTCTGTTTCTTGATACCTTTGGGAACATGTGCATATGCATGCAAAGTCTTACAGCAACTGTCCATGGACAAGTGCTACACAATATACATGTACAACCGGTACTGCAAAGTTCTCCAGAAACAGTAAGTCAACGTCTCAGTCCTAGTGGCCACCCGGTCGGGAAGGTTCAAGAAGGTCTGAAAGTATTACATCACAGCTAGGAGGTAGGTCAGAGTCAGATCATCGCACTCGGACAATCACGCTGACTTTCAGATCTGGTTTGACCCAGCTTTTGTATGAATCCATGCATCAATGCTTGGGCGGTTTCTCTTACAGCAGGGTGTTACATCCGCCGTCGGTACCGACTGGACTTGGCCTTTCCGGGGACTAATTGCTGGTGCAGAAAAAACACGTGTTTTATTTTTATTTTTTACAATGATCACAGCTCACAGGCAAAGACAAACATTTGCTAATGGGAGCGTTTTGATGTGTGTGACATGCCCCCCCCCCCCCCCCCCCTCCGACACACACATACTGTACTTTTCTACGCTCTGAGAGTGCCGTGTGACCAAGAAGTCATGCGGATTTATTGTTTTTTGCCCAGAAGTCAGTATTCAATGATTTGTGCCCAGAAGTCATTATTTACTGACTTTGGGAATCATCACCTTCATGCCTAGCTATGACTAGCATACCTGGTTGGCAGTAGGAGTTGCTTGAGGGGCACACGGTTGAGATACCAATCTAACTGTGGTGCAGGATGTCCTGTAGCAGTGCACTGAAGCGTCACATGACCTCCAATTACAATAGATGTACTGGACGGGGTCAAACTGACCGTGGGTGTTTCTGAACAGTGACAACGACACACAAAGAAGCTAAAAGTTAGACTAACATGTACATGTACATCCCCTTCCCTGCCCCTGCCCTGTTGAATATTATACGCATGCGTGCGCACATATGCACCCCCTCTCCCACCCACATGCATGCACGCAAACACGCATGCATGCGCACCCCCCCCCCCCCCACACACACATACACACAAACACGGCACACACACGGCGCACGACAACGCCATCCTGAACAAAACGTCCACAACTAGTTTATAACACCTTACCAGTGATATGTAGCCATTGTACACTGATCGCCATACCGACAGCATTGTATGCTATGCATGTGTAGCGACCAGCCTGCTTGTGTGAGGTCACTGTCAGCGATAGTCGTCTGCTGTCCCTGTTGCCCGGCTTACTGGGACCAGGGACATTGCTGAGTGCCAGGCCGTTATGTAACCAGATGACAGCTGGGTTTGGACTGCCAGTGACAGGGCATTCCAGTGTGACTGTGCCTGTCTGTCCAGGTAGGCGCATTGTAGTGTTAGCTGGCTGAAAACGAAATGCTGGTGCACCTGCAGGGTTGTACGTGATACATAGGGGCACGGGCATGATTAGAACATTGAGTTTTTTATCGATTAGTCCAGGCAAATGATTCCTTACACCATCACCCCACATCGCCCATACCATCAACCAGCCACACCACATTAACACCCGACCCACCAATAACACTCTCACCACCAGGGCTGAGCAAACTGTAAAACCGGGATTTCTGGTGGTGTAATACTTTCGGTATTTCCCAAAACCAACAGATCGGTAGCGCAAAAATTTCGGTAAACCAGTTTCCCAGATCCAAAAATCCATGTTGTGCACTGTGTGGCATGGCATCGTTGATTTTTAGGTCGCATTTTATTATTGTCGTCGGGGGGGGGGGGGGTTATGTCCAGACGATAGCCCTTCCGATTACTCTCTCACATCACAGGTACATCCCACGTACACCACACTCAGAGGGCTGATTATTTGGTTTCACTCCAAAGAGAGTCTCAAGAAGAAGGCAAAGCACAACAACAACAACAACAAGAATGTGTACAAATGCACGCATGCGCAAACTGAGTAGTTCGCGCAGGCACGCACAACAGTAGTTACCGAAAATATAATTCCGCTGAGATTTTCCGGTTTTACAATATTATACAGAAAAGAAAACTCCTAGATGGCCTGATATATGCCAGATTACCAGTACGGTATACACCGCTTCCATAACCCAATTGTGGTATTTCACACAGCTTTTGTTCATGCACGCGTCCTTGATTTTAGTTCCCCCTCCCTTCTCTTCGTTGATTTTCGACTGACAGCTTGCATTTCTACTGTGTGGCATGTTCTGGTTCATTCGCTGTGCTTAGTGGTGTTTGTGTGCAGGGAACTGAAGTGCTACGCGGAACTTAAGTTGGTTCTGCTTCTGACAAGCAAGCACACACTGCAACTTGTGTTTGAGTGAAAAGGCAATGTACTTGATCACAGCATGATGAAACTTACTATTGACAAGAACCTGCACCGCCTTGCTGTCGGCTCCGGCTGAGTTTCTGGCCGTGCAAACGTACACGCCAGCGCTAGCAGCGCTGGACGACATGATTGTCAGAGTGTTCCCTGCATTGCCGCCGCCGCTGCCACTGTGTGGGGATGCCGCTAGCTGTCCATTGTGCATCCACTGCACGGTCGGTGCTGGTACACCGCTTGCGGCACAGTTCAGAGTGAGAGAGCGCCCGGACAACACCGATATGCTCTGATAGTAGTCCCAGGATACAATGCGCGCTGGACCTAGGATAAAGCAGAACACATGGACAGACAGACAGACCGACAGACAGACAGAAGGATAGACACACGCAAGTGCGCGAGTTTTAGTGGAAATATTACATGTAGTCACTTGTCACTTTGCTTTAGGAGCTGCATCTGCGCCTTGATCCTTGAAATGTGGTGGCGTTCCTACGGATGCGGAAAACTCAGCCTCAAGCTGAGTCCGACGCTAACTGTGAATTTTTTTGCTGTTGTCACGTTTTGTGGAAATGGTGACGCCATATGCCATATCTATGGCCTCACACCATCCAAATGTATGTGTTACGGAAATACAGACATTTCGAAGTTACTGGCGGGCAATGCCCGGTCCCGAACCGCCCCGATAAATGAGGCAAGAGTGTACAAGAGAGCTGAACTTACTCAGTACAATCAGCATCACGGATGCCTGGTCAGTATCAATCTCATTCCTTGCTTGGCACTCGTACGTGCCAGCCTGCTGTGCGGACACATTGAAAATCACCAGGTGTGATCCGATGACGAGCACTCCGCTAGTGGTGGATGCATCACGGCCACTGTACCTCCAGGTGACTGCTGGTCTGGGTAAGCCCGTAGTGGAGCAGTGAAGATGTACCGACTGGCCAGCAACATAGGTTTGTGCTGCTCCGACGATGGCAGCGCGAACGGGTTCTGTGCAGAAACAGAGCAATTGTGTGCACGCCCGCCGAAACCAAGAAGCCACGGATACAGCCAAATACACACCAATAAGATCAGCTAAGAAGATCATAAATGAAAGGGGGTTTGTCAACTGACAACCACTCTATTTAGTTGCTGTTCACTCTTGGTGCATGCGCTGGATGAAAATTCTTTTATTGGTGATGTCAAAAAATTATTGCCGTTTCGGGCCAGTCACCCATCGTCAGAACAAGAAGATCATAGCTGATCAAGTACTGATCAGTCACTCCACCACTCCACACTGCACTCTTGGTCAACCCATTCCACTTGCATGTCACCACCTGAGTGGGGATGGGACGTTGATGTTGCAGACCCGGCATTATCAATTTACAAGAATATCATTAGCATACTTCCTGGTATTACTGAAGTAAATACTATTCTTCAAAACAGTGTACAGGTCGTCCCTCATTATAACGAGTCCGGTTACTACATAAACCCCGTTAGTAAATAGAAAGCTGAAATCCCCTGGCAAAACGTGGTCTATACAACTGTTTACAGGTCCGGTTACAACATAATCTGTTAGTACATAAAATCCGTTATAACGACCCTTTGACCAGGTCCCTGGAGTGCCAAACCCTCAGTATAAGATAATATTGACCATGCAGGACCAAGGCCAAAACATGTTGGATAAAGCAGAAAGAGGAAACGTATTATGTCTATGTATTTGTGAATAAAGACGATCCTTTGCATCCAAGGAAGAGTTATGTTGGAGTAACTTGGAGATTTTCAATTATCTTATAACGAGTTGAAGCATCGATAATTTATGTTGTATCGAGGGTAGCCCCGGTAAGTACGAAGTAGTGCCTATTTCACCTTTAACTGCAAGTCCTGCTACAAGATAAGTCTCGTTATAAGATAACTTTTTCGATGGCCGAGAGATTATCTACTAACGAGGGAGGACCTGTAATATGGTCTCTTAGGGAGCCAAAATTTCCAAAGAACGCCAGAAGACTGGGATAGACTATCGTTGTGCAATCTCTAAAGCAAGACAGGTTCTAGCCATTGGGGTAGGGAGAGTTGGGGTGATGGTGTGTGTGTGGGGGGGGGGGGGGGGTGCAGCATCCCCTACCCTGATGGCTAGACACAACTCCCTTTTCGATTTTTGGGCTTTTTTAGTTCAGCAGCTAGGGTTGGAATCTCACTCTTTTTCCAACCAGGACTTATCTCAAACTCTCATTCATGGTATTCGACGCTATGAAGAATGTGCCGCATGGTGTCAATTGCCAGTGCAAAAAAATCACTGCAACCGCCGCAGCCGCTACACTTACCAGTCACTTTGAGCAGCATCTGAGCACCCACACTGCCATACATATTGCTGGCCACGCAGCGATATACACCAGCGCTGGTAGGGGTGATTCGCTGCAGCAGCAGTGATCCATTCGCCAGGAGGGTGACATCCACTGTCGGCAGTCGCAAGACGGCATGGCCATGATGCCATGTAACTGCAGCCCTGGGGTTCGCCTTGATGGCACAGTCAAGCATTACGTGATCACCTACACTAGCTGTGTATGAGCGAATGCTGCTACTGCTGCTGTTTGGGGTGGCATTGCCGAGGAGAATTGGAGCTCCTGTACAGTGTAAGCATAGGAAATAAGGATAACGGAAACTGGAGAGCTGTGTATGTGTGTGTGGGGGGGGGGGGGGCGGGGGGCATGCGCACGCGTGCACGTGTGTGCGTGCATGTGTGCGTGCGTACATACATGCACATAATTATTATATGTGGGAGGGGGGGGGAGGGTGTTCACACGCGCATGTGTAGGGGGAGTGCTGAGACTAGAAAATGATGTTATCCGGGGGAGCCTGATCAACTTTATACACACACATGTTCAGCTAGAATATCAGCAGAAGTATTCAAGATGCCACCAGCACCAGAATCAGCATCAGCAAAGCACAAGGACCACCAGCTGCTAGCACTTCATTATAGGGCTTGAATGTGACGATGTTAGACGTCAACAAATAGGGCTTGAACGTGATGACGTCAGAAGTCAAAATCTAATGACAAATAGCGACCGTTGGATCCACTTGGGTCCAGTTTTTTAAGAGTCCATACACATTTGGGTGGTTTTCCTTCGTAGCATAGTCACACATCCACCGGTAGTGAATGGACTTGGCCCTCTCGGTCGTGAACCCACACCTACCGGTGGATGTGTCACTATGCTGCGAAGGAAAACCACCCAAACGTGTATGGACCCATACGAAAACTGGACCCAAGTGGATGCAAAGGTCGTTATTTGTCGTTATATTTTGACTTCTGACGTCAACACTTTCATTTTCAAGCCCTATAACAACAAAATAATGATGACTTCTGGGTCGATTTTGATCCACTCTTCCCCTAGCGAAAGAGAGTATGTAGTGGATAGGCCCCTTGCGTCTTAAACAGGGTTTTTTCTCTATACGGCTGAAGTTGGTCAACAATCGGAAGGGCCCTGTTCAGTCACCGCAGGCGGATGTGTCACTCTATCGTGAAGGGATACGACGCAAACATGCCAGTACGGATCCATACAGAAACTGGATGCCTGTGTATCTAAATGTCAGCGTTGTCATGACTCCGGGCTGGCTGCCTTGGTGATGTAGAATACTCAAGCCCTATCGCCAACATCAGATAAGACACTGCAGGAGACATGCTTCATAGCTACATTGTACGTGTTCTCACCCTCTGCTGAAATGTTGAACTTGCGACGAACCATCTCGGCTGCACTGCTTCCGGCCACCAAACATGTGTACATACCGTCCTTGCTGTAGTCAATTTCAACCACTGTGAGAGAGCCATGGATGTTTCCTCTGCCGCCCGAGTACCCTTCCATCACTAGTCCATGTTGCTCTGCCAAGGAGGAGCTGTTCAGCAACACTCCGCCTGCATACCACATCACTGGCGGTGCAAACTGAGCACTGGTTGAGCAGCTCAGAGTCACGTTGCTGCCAATCCGAGCAGACCGCACCTCAGTATGCTCCGTGATGGTTAAATCTGTGGCAAGACATGCATAATTATGAACAGTCTATGGACATGCTATGGACATGCTATGGACATGCTATGGACATGTATTGCCTATCTGATGTGAAAAGACTGTGAAGCCATAAGCAAGATCCTCACAACTAAATATATAATTATTACAATTGTGTTGCACCTCAGGATATTCTCAACACAGCAGTTCTAGTATCCATGGTACTGCACAATGAGCTGTTTCATTGCAAATCGTGATCACAATGAACTCAAACTCTTTATTTTACTTCACCAAGTGAACAGGCAATGATGCCTTCCCAGTGCTCACCAGCCAACGGCTGACCTCACAGAATGATGAAAAAGTTGAACTAACCTTTGACAGTGATGCTGAAATGCTTTCTGGCTACGCTGTATGGGTTCACAGCAACACACGTATAAGTGCCACTCTGTGACTTCAGCGCGTGGTCAATATGCAGTGCCAGAGAGTTCACCGATGATGTCACCTGCATGTTTGGTGAGCCCGCGATAACATCATCGCTACTGTGCACTGGATGTCCACCAGGTGTGAGCCACTTGAGTGTGGGCGGTGGCATGCCAGATCCTCGACATTGCATAGTGATGCTGCTGCCAACAGGTAGAACAACGCGTCGCGGTCCAATGATGCTTGCACTGGCCAAGGCTGTGTGTGATGGTGGTGGTGATGGGGGGGGGGGGGGGGGGGGGAGGGCAGGGTAGGGGAAATAGCCGGACAGATAGACACAGACGGAGAGAGATAAGATGATAAATAAATAGAACAAGAGACAGATCAAGACAAAGACAGACAGCGACAGTCAGAGACGGAGAAGCAGAGAGACAGGGAGGCATAGAGAGAAAAAAACAGATACAAGGAGAGAGAAAGAGAGCGAGTAAGCAAGCGAGTAAGCGAGGGAGAGTGGACATTGATGAAAAGAACACAAACATGCACACACTTACTCGTAAGAAGGTAGTGAGGTCAAAGAGCACATGAACACATGTCCATGGGGTTCCTCAACACTGATTCCTAGTCGACAAAGAGCGTGTTTGGTCTACTCTGCTTCCTCCTCAACTGTGTAGTCTGTAACCCGGCCCAGTGCAGCAGTGTGTAGTGTGTGATCTACTCCAAGTCCAATAGCGTATAGCATGTGATCTATCTCAGTGCAGCAGTGTGTAGTGTGTTTTCCGTCCCAGGTAGAGTACCGTAAAATTCCGTTAATAAGCCCCGGGTGTATACTTTGCAGAGCGTCAAAAACCGGGCGTATATTTGGGCGTGGGCTTATTTTAGGGCATGGGCGTTATTTCGGACGCAATCTGCAGAAGATCAATCTATCAGCAACCCACTAGTTTCAGTGAACCACCATTCACACTGAGCGCGGTACAGGTACATCAAACTGCAGCTGGAAATTTGGTCGTAACCAAGAATGTAGCGATAAATTACAGATTTGATAGGTAAACCACTTGCTATGGTAAGTACAAGGCTGCGTGCAGTTGGATGGCACGCACTCGATCTACAACTGTTCTACAGCTTGTACGCGAACGCACGCTCGTGCGCTGGTCATTTTGATTCCACGCCCTGGGCTTATTTCCGGCATGGGCGCTAAAACGGACTTGAAGTGTACACCGCCTAAAACTGGGCTTATTATCGGACATGAGCGTTATTTAGGGTGGGCTTATTTACGGAATTTTATGGTAGCCCTCTCTCTCCCTCCCTCCCTCCCTCCCTCCCTCCCTCTCTCTCTCTCTCTCTCTATCTCTCTCTCTCTCTCTCTCTCTCTCTCTCTCTCTCTCTTTCTCTGAACGTCTACATGTGTATTCACAATCATAGCTTTTGCATAATGTATTCAAGTGGTTGCCAATGATGATTGTGCATACCTGCATAGGTAACATGCATCTGAGCATGCACACTTCCTGCACGGTTGACTGCAGTGCACGTGTATACACCGGCAAGTGACCTTCGGAAACTGCGTATCTGCAGGCTGCCGTTGATCAAGATCGTCAGGAACTCCGAATCCATCGTCACATGCCGTCCATTGTGTTTCCATGACAGCGTTGGGGCCGGGTATCCCTTGGCAACACAGTCCAGCACTGTAGTGCTCTCTGGGAACAGAGTCTGATTGGAGGAGTGCTGGGTGATATCCGGTATAGTGTCTAAACATGAACAGATAACAGTCACACACATAAACACAGCCGTGTGGGTAGTTGAGCATTTGCAAATACAGGGCATTTTCCACTCGCACATACACGTGCATGCACACATACACCACACACACACGCACGCACGCACGCACGCATACACACACACACGACAAGAGACTACCCTGTAATAAGAGAAATCTACAGTAACAACATCACGGAAACGTCTGTACTAAGCGTGCCAGGAGGTATTAACAATTAAAGGGGAAGTTAAGGCAAAAATTAAAATTTCACCAGTTGTAGTCTTCGGGGTGCTGAGTCGAATGGTCGTGGTCCGAGGAAGCTGAGACGCTCTCTTCCTACTTGAATCCCAATCGAACTCGCGCACTTCCACTGAAACTGGGTGACTGCGCCCTACTAGATGGGGATTTGTATGCGAAATGTCACTAAAAGCGCCATTTCGTTCTTATAAAAGCACGGATGACCGCGATTGGCCCATATGTTGTAGTCTTTTGGACGCTGAGTCGACTGGTTTTGGTCCGAAAAGGCTGCGATGCAGCGTTCCTCCTTTATTCCCAATCGAACATGGTTGAAGAAGCGGTCACGTGCTCCTGGGTGCCCAAATCACCTGGTCACCACGCCAGCAGGCGACAAATTTCACACCAAGGTTCAACTCGAGTGACAGGAGTGCACCCAAAAAAGGTCAAACAGGCTAGTAAGTTGTACCCTGCAGGCACGGTGACCAGGTGACTGGTGTACGCAGGAGCACGTGACCGCTTGTTCAACCATGTTCGATTGGGAATATAGGAGGAACGCTGCATCGCAGCCTTTTCGGACCAAAACCAGTCGACTCAGCGTCCAAAAGACTACCATGGCCAGCAATCGAGGACATCTGAGAGTTGTAATTTTTGTACTCCTCCAAGGTGTGATTTTTGGCGTGCTGCGCCAAGCACAAGGAAGCCATCTGCAAAAAAACTGCAGAAAATGGTTGTTGTTTGATCCTTTGGTGTAATCTTTGTTTCTAGTCGAAGCTAATTGCTGTTTGGAGCAGAAACGCTGAAATTGACTATTTTCTGCATGTACTCATACATGTACTCATGTACTCAGGCATGCAGTCTCACTCGTATTTTAGCTCTTTTTCTGGAATGGATGCTGCTCTGCGCCCCTTGGTGAACATTTCCTGCGCTCGTGGAGCAGCGGAAAAGGACCACTGGTATGTCTAGTTCCTGGTTTGAAAGTGGAGAGTCGACTTTTGTGCCTTGAAAAAGGAGTAGAGAGCGAGTAAGGTACATCTGTGGCTTATTTTTGAGTGCTCCTCGTACATTTTTGATCGTGATAGAAATTCTCAGACCAAAGTCAGCGCGACGATGGCCGTACAGTTTTCTTGTGGACTTTTTTAGTTGTTTCATCTCGTATCTATGTCAGTATCGTGATGGTGAAGTGGAGAGGATGATTTTCTTCCTCTAGGCTTCGTTCGGCCGACTTTGCTTCGTCCTCGTTGAAAAGTGATCCTGAAAAAAAGGTCGATTCGCAAAATTATGTTGATTTTGAATGTATGTGATGACATGCGATTGCTGGCTATGCAACATATGGGCCAATCGCGGTCATCCGTGCTTTTATAAGAACGAAATGGCGCTTTTAGTGACATTTCGCATACAAATCCCCATCTAGTAGGGCGCAGTCACCCAGTTTCAGTGGAAGTGCGCGAGTTCGATTGGGATTCAAGTAGGAAGAGAGCGTCTCAGCTTCCTCGGACCAAGACCATTCGACTCAGCACCCCGAAGACTACAACTGGTGAAATTTTAATTTTTGCCTTAACTTCCCCTTTAATAATAATAATAATAATAATACCACAGCACGCGTAATAATATAATTATGTGGGTATAATTATACGTTCCGCTTCTGTCCTATCTCCTATGATCAAATTCCATTATCAAGGTAATTATTAACACGGCGCACTGATGACCTGTGACGCCAGATCATGGATTGTCGGCCAGATTTCTCCATGTAGGCTTGTCCAGAGCGATGGCCCTCACATTCCCCAGCTGACTGCTTCGCTTCAAGTCGATGTTAACTTCCCCTTTAAGGCAAAAATTAAAATTTCACCAGTCGAACTCGCGCCATTTCGTTCTTATAAAAACACGGATGACCGCGGTTGGCCCATATGTTGTAGTCTTTTGGACGCTGAGTCGACTGGTTTTGGTCCGAAAAGGCTGCGATGCAGCGTTCCTCCCTTATTCCCAATCGAACATGGTTGAACAAGCGTTCACGTGCTCCTGGGTACCCAAATCACCTGGTCACCACGCCAGCAGGCGACAACTTTCACACCAAGGTTCAACTCGAGTTCAACTCGAGTTCAACTCGAGTGACAGGACTGCACCCAAAAAAGATCAAACAGGCTAGTACACGAATTCTCGACAGAATGGGCGCATTCTTTTAGGCCACTTTTGAAGCATCGAAGTTCTTGGAAGCAGCGTTACACCATTTCGTCCTACAGGCGTCGTACACATCTTGTACACAACACATTGTGAACTTCATCTATTACTTCCCTGGATTGTACATGTCCATCGGTGCAGGCCATACGCACAGGTCGCACTCAAGAGTACACTAACCTTGTATCTCCACTTGTATGCTGCTCTTCATGACTCCTTTGATGTTCTCGGCTACACACTGATACATGCCAGCAGTGTGCTCGGTGACGTTGTCTAGCGTGATGGAGTTTGTCAACGTACCATTCCTGTGCACTGCCATCTGCCTTGAGTGCACCACCATATTGCTGCCTTCCCGTACCCACGTAACCATGGGCAACGGGGAGCCTGCACCCCGACACGTTAGTGTCAGCGATGATCCAAGGACCACGCTGCGTGCTTTGACCGGACCAACGGCTACTGTGGGTGCAGCTATACAAACATGACAGATTCAAAACAGAACACTAAATTTTACCAAAATCTACTCATCTACCCACGGCATACATGTAAGGCTTTCTAGGGCTAGTCACGGTGAGGTCTGAGCAGCAGCTGCTGTTTGCAAAAAATACAAAAATTACAAGAACATGCTTTGCTCTCATTTACAATCAACTCATTTCATATTCAAATAATGTGGCAAGTACAACAATACACCTTTAAGCCGCCGATCCCATTGGCAACAGACCCGAGACTATGTGCATACACACATAATACATTATATGCTCACACCCCACGTGCATCTATGCACATACACACCTCAGACCTCAGACCTCAGACACACACACACACACACACTGGGGTGCGTAACCTGACATACCATGCACAGATAACGTAGCAGCAGAATGGCGAGTGCCCAGGGTGTTGGTCACGTGACAAGTCGCCTTCAGTGTTTTCACACGCTGCACACTAATGACATCATCTGCAGTGGGGACAACATCACCATTCTCAGCAGTGATGTCATTGATGGCGCTGCGAACTGTGTGATGAAAGAACCCATCGGTGTTGCTGAGGAGCAATGACCCGTTCTGCAGCACAATTGCCGACGTTCTCAGCCCAGGAATAGCTCTAGGCGAGGCATGGTTACCACGGCTACCATGGTTGCTATGGCTGTCCAGCAGCACTTTCCCGCTGGGTGTGTGTATGGTCCAGGATACTGCAGGTGCGGGATGGCCAGTTGCCGTGCAGGAGAGAGAAGCTGCTGACCCGACTTCCACAACTTGACTCAACGGAGCTGTAGTGACAACAGGCGGTTCTGCACACGCAAACACCAAGCCAAGAAACGAAACACAAAGGACACCTTTTTTTATGGTATATTTTGCCGCTTGCATGTCTTTATCTATTTCCTCATAGATAGTTATACAATTTCCTTCATATTTCTGTGAAAAGGCATCGATGGCTGTGCAGCAATTGACGAAGTAAAGTAGAAGTCAACAGCAACAGGTGAGCTAGAGATTTGATTACCGTATGTGACATTGTTGTGGGATGTTGTCAGGTGATATCCTCACCATGGGAACACAATAATATGTGATCAGGTGATGTCATCACCATGACAACATGATGCAGCCGGAAAATAGCATGACACATGTATGCATCACACAGCATGACCATAGAGTTCTCGGCTGCTGGCCATGCTTTATAAAGATTCATTGAGAAACAAAAACAAATGACAGCGATGAAAGTTGACATATTATACTAGTACATCGGCAAGGAGACTTTACGACAAAAATTGAATATCCGTCAAATTCACCATAAGTGTACTTGGTCTAAATGACAGAAACTTTTCGCTGACAATGTTCCACACCATAACGTCATTCCTGTGCACTCTCAGCACACGGTGAGTAGATCAAAGTGCCAAACAAATTCAGCTATTTCCTGGCCTGCCGACGGACTCCTCCAGAAAACTTCCAATTTGTAAAGCTGAACAATATGACATACGGGACAATGTTACTGCAATCTTGCACTCCAAACTCACCAAGCACGGTCAGCGTAATATTAGCGCTGCTTGTTGCAATTGCACTGCGTAGCGTGCACTGATATGTTCCGCTGTCTAGCGCACTGACGCTACGCACCACAATTGCAATGTGTCTCCCGTCATGCCGTGTCACCAGCGTGTCCTGCTCCAGCCGATCACCATTGCGATAGCACCGCAAAGATGCGCGAGGCACTCCGAGGTCGACGCTGAATTGTATATCCCTGCTCTCACCTGCTACGGCAGTGATGCGGTCCGTCAATGCAGTAATGAGTGGCTTAGCTGAACAGAATAACAAGGTGTATACAAAATGATATGATGTTGAAACATGTGGGGCATGATGTGGGGCATGGATGAATTCTCTTTCAAAACAAAATAGATTCTCTCTACCTATACCATGGGCTTTTTCTCGGTCAATAACCGGTGGCTCACTGTTTGTCCCTCTCTGAATCTGTGCTTCTGTCTCTGTCTCTGTTTCTGTCTGTCTGTCTGTCTCTGTTTCTGTCTGTCTGTCTCTGTTTCTGTTTCTGTCTCTGTTTCCATCCATCCGTCCGTCCGTCCGTCCGTCTGTGTGTGCATGTGTGGCTCTATGTTTGTGTCTGTCTGTGTGTAGCTGTCTATGTCTGCCTGTCTCTGTTGTTCAGTCTGTCTGTCTGTCTGTCTCTCTCTGTCTCTCTCTCTCTGTCTGTCTGTCTGTCTGTCTGTCTCTCTCTGTGACACACCATACGCACGCACTCACCCACGCACGCACGCCCCCGCCCCGCCCCCGCCCCGCCACACACGCACACACACACACACACACACACACACACACACACACACACACACACACACACACACACACACACACACACACACACAAGCACACACATTCGTGAACTGCTCCACTCATACAAAGTACCAATCAGCCTACCTTGCACAGTGATACTGGCTGATGCGGATGCTTGGCCATACTGGTTCTGTAGGGTGCATGTGATCAAGCCAGTATGCTGAAAACTGACATTGCTGATCTGCAGTATGGGACCAGTGAGGACGTGTGGCCGTGAGTGCATATGAGACACTGCCTCTCCCGACCAAGCAATGCTAGTGTTGTGACTACTGCGATTGCTTGCCGAACATTCAATCTGAATGGCGCTGCCGACAACGGTCGTGATGTTCTCCGGGACTTTATCGAATGTAGGCTGTTCCCGGTTCCCTAATGAGATCACCAATACAGGAGAAGACTGCGCCGATCAATCACACAGGCAATTGGAGTTTTAAATCTATTAGTTAATCTACAGACCTCAGACCCCAGACCTCAGACCTGCTCATCTCTTAAGCGATGATAGCAAACAGCTACGTTAGACGTAGCAACTTGCGCTGGGATTACACCATTCAACAGCTTGCAAGGCTGATGAATTGATCGCCACTAAATTTAGCCTGGTCTACACCACACAGCTGACTAACTAGTGGCTTTTTCTGGCCAGTGAATCCCTCTAAGTCTACAGTATCCAGTCACATTGTGATGCATAGATTGCAGAGATGTGCCACAGTGGTCATGCCGCATGCGGTGTGTAAGCAGTCATACACATGATGGCACAGCAGCTATTTGCATCTGCAAGGTGAGGGCTACATGTGCAGTCCACTTCGCTAATAACGACTGCGGATATAACGACAATTCGCGAATATCGACAGAATTTCCATGCCCAGAGCAAAATCCCATCTAACTGTAACACTTATAATGAGACTGCGGGTATAACGACACTTCGCGAATAAGGACACTTTTCTGGTGCCCCGCCAAGTGTCGTTATACGCAAAGTTGACTGTATATTCAACCTCCGAACACTGCAGCCGTGTGCATGAAACCTCGAAACACTGCAGCTGTGCTCATGACGAATAGACACGACTTACTCATGACACCAATGTGTATAGTTTTCTGGTCCTGACCAGCCATGTTCCTTGCCACGCAGGTATAGGCGCCACTGAGCGAGGTGCGGGCGTGCTTGATCCTCAGCTTTCCACTATCGGTCATTTGCACGTGGTGTCTGATGCCGATGGCATGTGCCGGTAGCTCCCAGACAACCTCCGGCTCGGGATCTCCTTCAACAATGCACTGGATAGTCCTGGAGTCGCCCTCTAGAAGGCTCACATTCTCTGGTGTTTCTGAGGAGATTTTCGCCGGCACTAGGCAATACACAGACAATCCGGAGACCGGTAATGTACGCACAGCAACTACCCAGCAGAGCAACGTAGAACGGAAGAGTTTTTCTAAGAGTGGCTATTGTAAGAACACCAAGTTACTGAAGAAATTACACTTTTCTCACCCCTTTTCAATCCCTGAAACCAAAGGTTCTATCTGAAAGCCTATAGTCCACCCCAACAGACTATGCTCCATGCAGAACTACATTCACAAAAGGTAATAATTGCTGCAATGAGGTTTCATCGTTTTGTGATGTCTCTCACTCGTCTTTGCTTCCCAGGCATTACAATTGCACCAAGGTCTCTAAGACGCTGCAGCTCAAAAAAATCTGGTGCAGAAATGAATAGATGACTGAGCAATTATGTTGCTATGGGAGACAGAGAGAAATGGCAGATTGCTTAGGAATGTCTAAACAACGGCAATGATGCCGCTCGGCTTGGAAGTGCACGTCTCGCGCATACATTTGTACTCACCGAACACTCTGAGCTCGGTCTGTGCTTCGACCCGGCCAGCAATGCTCTCGGCTACGCACGTGTATACACCACTATCCGTGGGCAGGACACTTTCAAACTCAATGTCTCCGTTGTCCCATGTGATGGTGCGACCTGACCTATGCTTTGCCGGGTTCTCCAGGCCCGAAGGCCCAGTCCATGTTATCGTTGGCGTTGGGTGTCCGTCGGCATTGCAGAAGAACATGACAGTGTCACCTTGTCTTGCCATCATCATTCTTGGCCGCACTGTGAACTCAGGCGCAACTAGATAGGAGACAAGAAGAAGTGTAGAGAGTTGAGAACACATTACAGTAAAACTCTCCTAATCCGGACTCTCCTAATCCGGACTCTCCTAATCCGGACTCTCCTAATCCGGACACGTTCATATACCAGGCACCTTTCTGACCCGTTTAGAGGCACAGCAATTGACTTTTCAGGAGCAATGCTACAGCAGAAGCGAATGCAATCTGTGCTGTAATTGCACCATTCAAAAGGGTTGCAAGGCTGAAGGATTGACTGCCACTATTTAGCATGTTCTCTACATAATGCAGGCATGCAGTCACACATGCACACACACACACTTAATACACATTCATGCATGCACTTGCGCGACCCCTCCTATACACATGTACAAACACACACACGCGCACGCACACACACACTCACACACACACACACACACACACACACACACACACACACACACACACGCACACATACACTGAGATAACCGGAGGCATACCCATCTCAACTGTCGTTGGCTCGACAAGCATGCTCGTTATCCCGCTGTTGGATGCTGAAGTGCCTTGCGGAGAAGTGGAGTGAATTGTGGTCGTAGGCAGCCTTTTGCTACTGAATGAATCTGATACCAGCTCTGCTGTGGAAGGTGTCAGGCTGTCTTGAGTGACTTCTACGGTGACAGCATCATTTTTGGCTGTAGCCACATCATTGATGATAGTCTGCACATCAGATACAGCGGGAATAGAGGCAGCGGTGGAAGAGCTGGGAGAGTCAACACTACCACGCTGTGTAGTCGTATCAAAGTGTGTAGGTAACTGGGATGTCTGTGCAATGACTGATTCCATAGTCGTGCTGCTAGCTGAAGCGATCTCTGTTTCCAGTGTGGATGTCTCGGCTGTGACTGGCTGCTCTGTCATAGTTGTTACTACTAGTGGCTCGGCTGTGACTGGCTGCTCTGCCATCGTTGTTACTGCTAGTTGTTTGGCTGTTGGTAATTCCTGGACAAAGATAGCATCAGACGATGGGCTGAATACGTTACCGGTGAGTGTATTTGGAACAGTACTTGTGATGGGAGCCACACCAGAACCCGTACCCGGCTGCAGAGTAGCTGCTGTTGCACTGGCTGCCGATAGTGCACCCACGGGGGTTTGAACTGGGAGCTGGTTGTCAGCTTCAACTGTGTCAACTGTAACTGGTTTCTCTTGTGCCGCCATCGCCTGTGTGGGAGGTTCTGTTAGAACACGTGTCGTGACTGCTGGTGCGTGGGTTGTTTCTGAGAGTACATGGGATGTTGCAAGGCTGGCGTGTGATAACACGTCCATGTCTGAAGTCTTTGCAATGGGCTGCTTTGCTGCAGACTGCGTCACAGGCATAAGCTGAGTAGTTGGACTGGCGCCTCTTGAGCTTGCTACCTCAACTTTGGTATTCTGTAGTACCACATCTGTTTGTACAGGTTCGGTAGTTAGTGCAGCATCCGTCTGTACCGCTTCAGTAGCTAATACCGCACCTGTCTCTACATCTTCAGGACTGACAGGTGCAGCTAGTGCAGCATCCGTCTGTACATCTTCTGTAGCTAGTGCGGCATCCGTCTGTACTGCTTCAGTAGCTGGTTTTGGCAGACTAGAGTGTGGTGTTTGTGGCAAGGTGGTTACGTACGGAGCAGAAGTTCCTCCTGATAACTTTGTCGTGCTCATAAACGTTTTAGGATGACTTGCTGCTAATGCATCCGTTACATCTGCTACAGGGAGCTCTTTGGTGGTAGAGGATAGCACAGGGTTAGCTGTGAGTGGTTGCTGGCTGGTTGGTGACTTGTGCTGGCGTGCTGAGGTTATGTAGTACTGAGTGGATGCCACACCGGAGGCACCAAATGATGATGTTGATAATGCGCTGACTGTGGGGTTACTTTGAGTTTGTTCTGTGTTGTCCAGATAATCCGGTGACATAGCCGACTGTGTGATAGGTAGCTGTGCCACCGTGGTGACTGGCGTGCTAAACGCAGACTGTGATTCGGTAGTGATTGGCTCACTCTCCGATACCAGCGGTGTGTGAAGTGCAGGACTGGCTTCAGCTGTGTGTGTGGCTGTTGTTAGCTGCAGGTTGTTGTCTGTTGCTGGTGAGGCGATTTCATCTGCAGCCTGGCGTGTTATCGTACCACTCAATGACACGGTATCAACACCAGTTTGCGCCGAGACAGGCGCTGTCATCGTTGGTTTCGCTTGCTCTCTACCGACGTCTTGAGTTTCAGACTTTGCCGTCAACCCTAGCACTGTTGTGGGAAGTGTCCGCGACGTTGGAGATGTGGTGGTTTTTGTCCTCTGCTTCTTTGTTTTGTCCGCAACGTCCAGTGTCATGACAGCTCGATCTCTTCCGTACCTGTTGATCACTAAGCAGATGTACTGGCCAGCGTCCGTCTTGCGGACTTTCTTGATGCTCAGCCGATGGTTGGAGTTGATGGTGACGCGCTTGTTCTTCTTGACCGGCCGGCCATCCTTGATCCACGTCACGCGCATCGGCTGTGATCCCCGGGCTCTGCACTTCAGATTCAGCCGTTTCCCGTGCTTCACTAGCATGTACACGTCGGGCCGGTTGTAGATGGTCGGTGGCTCTGTATAGATGACAGCACATTGGAAAATGTACGCATAAAGCAATAGTTGCTTCAAAGAGAGTGAATTTTGTTATCACCAGGACAAGGTGTAGTAAACTTACCGGGACAAGGTGCACTTTTCTTCTTGTCCACCGACTTCAACACAGCCACTTGGACATTTATGAAACTTCACTGCTCGACTCCAAAATAAAATCCAGACCCTGATGATGACCTTGATGATGGGCCAGGCCTGAAAATTTGGTGTAATATAAAATTTTATTTGAATTGCAACAAAGAGACGGTTTTGGAGTGGAGGAGTGAAGTTTCATAAAAGAACAAGGTGTATGTGGACGATCCTACAAGAGAAGACCTCAAGCCTCTGAACGTGCCGATTCAGGAGTGCCTCAACCTCGCCACCAACAAGCAACTCTGGTTAACGATCATTGACAGATGCATGATCCCGTATGATTTGTTTATGCGGGAAATATGCGACCTGTTCATATTATTATTATTATTATGCATCTTACCAGGACAAGGCGTATTACTGGCAACGGTCAGCTCCACCTGCTTCTGACAGCTGGCGAGCGTCATCTGACACATTCCACTGTACGTCACGCCGTCGCTACCGCACACTGCACTCTCCGGATGCTTACCGGCACTGGCTGCACAGTCGATGTGGACACAGCTACACTGTGCCGCTCTGCCACCAGGCATTGTCGTGTGCACACATCGGCCATTGTATCGACATGGAGTGACCAGCAGCCTTTCGCATTCCTCCTTCTGTGACAGTGGCGCAGTTGAAGCGACATCTGTGCACGTCAGACGTAGAAAGAGAAATTCATTTGCCCACCAAAAAACACTCCAAAATTTGAAACAATTTTAAAACCCCAAGATTCAATCAGTTTTTTTTCACAAAATTATAGGATTTGAGGTTTCCTCATGCTCTTTCTGCTTCTGATGAACAGGCAAAAAGAAACAGATTTGCTTTGTGTCAGAGGTGTGTATCCATCAATGCAGAACAGAGAATGCAAAAATAATGTGACCATAGCCACCACAACAATATACAGGAGGCATGGGAACTGACTTTCATCGTAGTGCGTTGTGATCCACTTCTGCTAATAATTAGTACCAATTTAAGTTCCTAGCTGGAGTTTCAATTCTGAGGTTTACCGTATTTTCCGGAGAATAAGCCGCACTGGCGTATAAGCCACACCGTTTTTTTGCCATTATATATTGACATCTACCATATTTATAGAAAAGAGAAAGGCCCAAGGAACTACAAGTTAGGGTCCGTCATAAATATCGATATTTTTTTCAAGACGATATTTGTTCATTTCTCCCCCCCCCCCCCCCCCCTCAACACGAACATACACATGTTTATGCAGAGGATTGATATATTTTAATGGAGTGCAATCTCCTCATGAAACGTGACCAGCTGCAACTCTAAATTCACCATACACCTACATGTACATATAGGTGTACGTTGCCACGGTCGCACAACCTTGCCGTGGCTTTGTTCGTGTGTTCACGAGGTTGACTTTCACTTTGTGTAGGTCATAAACTATATGTTTGCACAGTGCCCGTCCATAGATAGAGTTCGATATTTTTTTCACCAAGACGAGACGAACAGGGCCCGAACCCCCGAACCCCCCCCCCCCCCCCACCAAACGAACGAATATCTTCTCTAAAAAATATCGATATTTGTGGACGACCCCTTATGCTATAATGTCCACAAACACCACCAGTTACTAAACAATCAGCTCATGCGATAGCATTGCACGACACTGATCGACGGTACTGACGTTCTACAACTAACTGGCTAATAGCTCTAGCACATATTACATGCGCGCTCCAACAGCCTTCCAACATGGAAGGTGAGCTGATGAGCTGATTGTTTAGTTACAGGTGGTGTTAGTGGACAATATAGCGTAACTTATAGTTCCTTGGTCCTTTTTATTTTCTATAAATTTATTCTTGGCTCTCCTATTGATCACCGTTAATTTGATCATCGGAATATAACCCCCCCCCTTCTTTGGGGGTGAATTTTGAGTGTTCAAAGTGCGGCGTATACTCCGGAACAATACGGTAGTTGTTAATGTGCGAACCCCAACCCGTCTTGCATTGTGCAGTATTCAATGCTGACGTGGCTTTCCGGACTAAAGTAGTTACTTGAAATGAATGTTGTGAATCCATGCCTTCCTTCCTTCCTTTACCTGCTTTAGACAAAGAGAGTACATGTAGATCTTACCCTTAGTTGGTATGGCTGTGGCTGGTGTGGGCTGCATTGTCGACCGAGCTGTTGTTACTGCTGAATGGGGCGATTGTGCTTCAGTACTCCTTGGTGAAGTGGGCTGTGGCACTGTCTGGCTGCCAATAGGAGTTGCATGTGGTGTTCCAATGTCTGCATGTTCCGGATCATTGATCATACTCTGTGTGATGGGCACGGTAATCACGCTGTCTTTATCTCCCTCATTCTGTTCCAGTTCATTGTTCTTGCTGTCATCTTGCTGCCGGAGGTCGTCACTATTATTGCCCACTTCCTCGGTGACAATGTCATGCTGTGAGCTAGGCGATGTAGCTGCGTGCACTGCCTCTTCTGTTATCTCTGTGGCTGATGTGATAATAGGCGCTAGTGTGGTGAGAATCGCGTCATTAGCCGCTACTGCTGTTACTCCTGCAGCCTGTGCGATGGGCACTGACCTGGTCTTGACTCTAGACGATGTGGACATCATGAAGTACAGCTGCCCAACAGAAACACGGTTGAACTGGCGGATACCACCAACTGTCACCACCAGCTCCTTGCTCAGAACCTGAGGTGGCGGTGAAACGGAAATATGACAATATTATTAATACAATCACATTAAATTTAATGATAACATCACTCACATCTCCCCCCCCCCCCCCCCCCCTCTAGCATTGCAGTGGCTAGCTACATATGCTGCACTTCAGCAGGCGATGGATCAATACCCACTAACCATCACCAAAGTATGCCAGTTTATATTGGCTAAGTCTCACTGAATATGTCACAAGTCGCCTGATGATTGCATTGTACAAGAAACTGGGAGTAGCAATGAACTCTGTAAACCTCCGTTGTGCCTTTTGCGTGTCTGCTATAGCCTATGTATCTGCTATAGCCTATGTATCTGCTATAGCCTATGTATCTGCTATAGCCTATGTATTGTTGTGAACTGCTGCCGTGCCACTCTTGACTCTCACCTGATTCAAGTCGACGGTACCGAAGTGCGGTGACGTCACATGCAAAGCGAACGTGAAGCTGACGGGCTTGCCACTGACAGTGGCTGTGCTGCTGGTGGAGATGACGAGAGTGCGGTCTCGCGTCCAACGGTGGTGCTCCTTGAATGTGCCTATCCGCACGGAGCCACTCTCCAACTCGGGAGCAGTGCCGTTCACCTTCATATCAATCTAGGGAGAAACACAAAATAAAACAAAGGTTTCAGGCTGTCCAATAGAGTGCTCGTTACCGAAAGGCAGAGCTAGTTCCGACAAGAATAAGAGCTCTTCTTCTTGTATGTAGAAATACATTGAGCAGAGCAGAATGCGACACTGGCTAACGTGTCCAGCCCTTGATAAAACGGAGCAGTTCCGCTAGTTGATCTGTGTGTGGAGTTTCAGTGAAGCCTCTCTAAGGCAGCAGCTCAAGGGACCATACAGATGCTGCCCCAGTGTACAGGTGGTCTTCTTATCCGTGTAATTTATTGTATAAAAAATGAAATGGAGGAAAAGGCTATGGTATGACCGAACCAATCAAAAACTGCTTTCGGCGGGTGCACGCATCCTTATCAACGGTATGCAACTGCACTTCAAACGTTGATTTTGTAGTCCATGCCGCGGCATTGCAGTGAATGACTCACCCTTGCCTGTCCATAGCTATCCAGCCCCTGACCATTGAAGGTTACGGACAGCACTGCGCCATCCGAACTCGGGAACACAAATGTGCCCTGGGCGCTGAACTCCGCCTGGGTGAGCTCGAATCCAGACCCAAAGCCGTGTGGCAGGTCAGACGCGGACGATGGTAGCTTTAAGCTGATCCAGTAGACGGGCCAAAGCAAGGGCAGGAGTGGGCTGATGCTGGGTATGACAGACTTGGGGATTCCCCCCATGGTTGCCACGGTGCCACGCTCTGCCGACGACTGACCAGCGTACTGGCCACCGGATACTGCCTTGCCGTTGATAGTGCCCGTCACCAACCCTGATATACGACTTGGTGGCGATGCTGTGCATGCACACATAACCACCATAATGACGATGACAACGACAACGACAACAACAGCAGCAAGAGCAACAATGACAACAACAATCAACAAAATATTCATTGGTTTGCGGGACAGATGCAAACGGGAAAAGTCTGAAGAGAAAATTGACGGTCACCTCCAGGACTCGAACCAGGGACTCTCGCCTACAGTACTGTCGGGGGTCGAAGAACTGGGGAGTCAGGGTTCTAGCCTAGCCCTTTCTTTTTTTTAGCGAACACAGCAGTTTCGTTCGTATTCGATGGTACAGTCTTACATGTACATTCATGCAGAGTTATACGTCTGAGTGTACACTATAGTGTAAATTACAGTTTCCGTTCTTATCTGCAAAATATCCAGCCTGCACCGTCCTTAAAAATTGGTGAAATTCTAGCCTGGCCGTTCTTCGGCGCCCGACACTAGGGGACAGTACTGTCTGTATGGTCAACAAACCTGATTATTTACATGTAGGAGCGTGACCAAGTCTGAGGAAGGGCTGAGGCTTGCTCCAGCTTCTTTTCAGAGTATGCCCAAAATAGAGGAACCAAACAGTGTGTGAACAGGAGGAAAAAGGGAGCCTGAATGCAGTACAGGAGATGTTTGTGGTCAGCCGGGTGGATGGGGAGCACCAGGGTAGGTAGGGCAGGGACGTCAGGCTTGGTCTTGAAATTACTGGAACGCCAAACCGGGGCAAGGAAAGGCAATGGCGTTAACCTAGAAAAGTCTTAGCCCCGTCGCCTGTCGTCACAGGCTGTCCTTGAGAAATGTCTGTAGCAAGTCTAAAATCAGAAACACAAGCCCACCACTTTGAGTAAAATCCATGCTTGTGGACCGTATTTGCCGTAGTATAAGCCGTTTCTCATAAATTAATCCTTGGCTCTCCGCCCTAGTCTATCTACCCTATGTATCACCGTTAATTTGATCACTGGAGTACAAGCCGCACCCCTGGGGAGGATTTTGAGTGTTCAGGTGTGGCATATATTCCGGAAAATACAGCACTTCAGGAAATCCTCACTTAAAAAATATCTGACCAGCTAGCCAGGCAATCAACGTACCCTTGTTACACGACGTGCGTGTATTGCACGCCGACTGCCCAACCTCCTGACTGCAGTCAGCCAGGCCAGAGCTGGGGACGCGGCGCACAACGCGACTCCGATGCCGCATACCACCGCGACACGTGGCCGAGCAGGCACTCCACGACGACCATTGTGTTTCACTGCACTCGATTTCATCTGCAATGGTACATTCACATTTAAAACAAGCACTCAATGCAGTCACGTGATGCAGTCACATGACACAGTCATATGATACAGTCACATGATGCAGTCACATGATATAGTCACATGATGTAGTCACATGACGCAGTCACATGACACAGTCGCGTGATGCAGTCACATGATACAGCCACACGATACAGTCACATGATGCAGTCACATACTGTAGAATTCAAACACCTTTCAGTGGCGTGTAAAATGCATGTATCTACTCGACCTCAGACACCGACTCGTGGTCTAGCATAAAGACACAATCATTTCTGGAATACATACTTGGACATTCCACTCCTGTATGGCACTTTCTTGTGCGCTGCTGTCGAATACAGCGTCGGTCATTATCCGACGTGGGCAGAAGAACAACAGCCGACTGCGTCTCCATCCCATTGCCACAGGTCGCGCTGCAAGCCGACCAGCCGGACCAGCTCTGTAATGGACAATTTTCAGCTGCATTACACACATGCACACAAACACACATATGCGCACATGCATACACACACACACACACACACACACGCACACACACACACACACACGCACACACTATGTATGTGGGGTGGGGCCAGGGTGCATGTGTGAGTGTGTGCATGTATGCATGTATGCACACTCGAAGAGAGTTGCGGTTGCTCGTGACAGTGCTTAAAATACACCCAAGGTGCAGAGCCTAGTACACACACTTGAAAGAAGGAATCAAAAGCGCTTCAGGTGTAACTTTGTGAGTTTCACGGTTTTAACCAATCCTCAGACAGCCAAGTCAAGTTTCTGTCTCAGTGATGATTGGTTTAACCGTGACACTCAGAGATGCAGCGGATACACTTTTAATTCCTTCTTCCAAGTGTGTATACGTGTATGCATGTGTGTGCGTGTGTGTGTGTGTGTGTGTGTATGCGTTTATGCGTCTGTGTGTTCTTGAAATCAAGCAAAGCTACTCATGCACCCATCAACACCTAGACAGGAACTAAGACTAGTGTTGTCCCTGCCCTTTTGGCACGTGTGTGCCCCTTTTGGCACGTTGGTGCGGACCGCGCGCGGACTGCGCCGGTTGGAGATTATCGTACATGTTCTTGTTGTTGTGCGCATGCTTGCATGCTTATCGTGCGCATTCTGGCTGTTTTCGGTGCCTTCTTCCTGAGACTCTCCTTGGAACAACAATGATAATCTGTCCTCTGAGTGTGGCGTACGTGTGATGTATAATTAAGAGAGTAATCGGAAGGGCTATCGTGCGAGGGATTAAAACCCCCCGACGACAATTGGCGCCCAGCTAGTGGCATCGTTCCCCACGACCCTGAGATCGTTTCCGTTTTTGCCGTGGCTTCAAATCTTGCCTTCTCCACGCATCCTCGCCATGGCTCCGCTTTGCTCCATCTGCTCAACCCTGACGTCGGAGCTCCTACTCAGGTGAGCCTGCTTTGCCTGCCCTGCGTAATGTTTTGTACCTTGTACGTAGTTCTGCTGGTACTAGTCTTCGATTTAGGATTTTCAAAATAATTGTTTCGCTTCGTGGCATTGAAGTCCCGGGTTGTTCTCTTGTGTACGAGTACCTCGCGTTCGAGCCTCGCTCCTGTTAGTACATGATTGTGGCCCACGTTGTGTGTGCGGTGTTTTGAACCAGTGTACATTGTCGCCCTCCGGCCTCTGGCTGTTCGAGTGGTCGTGTGCACTGTGTTTCACACCTTCTGACTTGAAAGTATTAGTTTGTTGTCCGTGCTGTCGTGCATGCTCATCGTGTTGCTTGGTACGTCATCATGGTAGTCAGCATGGGTAACTTTGCTCGTGTTTGCTTACTCGCCCTGTGTTGTGCACTGGTGCACGTCGTTTCGGTGTCGTCGGACTGCTCCGATCCTGTGTCGTCCGATTTGTTTCAGTTTGGTAGATGTCCCCATCGATTTACTCGATGTGGTGGCACTCCGTCGTTTCCAGTTTCAAGTACAAGTGCTTTCTTTTTCGTTTTACTAGTAATCATGTTTTGTGTCGAGCGTTTTAGTGCTCCGCCTGGTTGTCCCGCTCATGTGGAATGGCTGACGCCCAGTGGTGTAACATGCTTCTGAGATTCTCGTTGACGGTCCGGGTGGCAATATTTCTGTGAGTGTGTTGTTTGGTATTTGTGTTTTGGCACGTGGGTCTCTTCATTTCACCTAGGGGGGCGTCCGATCATGGTGAGCCACGGTCTGCCTGGTGGGCTGGTGGGATCCAGCGCTTATTTGTATCGGTTCGCCTTGCGGGTGTTCGGTTTCCGTGTTTTGCTGGCTGGCCTTTGTGCGTCCCAGTAGGGTTCAGGAGGGTGTTTTTTTTGTGTTTCGTGAGCGGTTGTGTTTCACGCGTGATATTCAGGTTCAATCCCTGTGGGTTTTTTCAGGTTAGAGACCTGTGGTTTTTTCAGGTTAGAGGCCTGTGGTTATTCAGGGTAGCGCCCTGTGGTTATTCAGGGTAGCGCCCTGTGGTTATTCAGGGTAGCGCCCTGTGGTTTTTCTATGTTAATTTTTGTTTGCGTATTGGTGACCGATTTGTTTGTGTGCTATCTGGTGTCCTCATGGATAGACTGCCCCTGTATCCGTAGGCGTGTTCAACGTTGCTGTTCTGCCATTCCTTCTTGTGGTTTTTCTTGTCTGAATTTTGGCTCCTAGTATTGCTGAGATGTTTGCGTCAGTCCTTGTTTCTTTCTTTCTGTGTGTGTATCTGTGAGTTTTCGTAGCCCCATCGGCTGCGTGATGGTTTTCCGGACAACTCCTGTGCTGTCAGATGACTGGTCACCCAGTTCAGCTGCCGCGGTCTTCGCCGTACCGTCGGTTTGCCTTGGCTTCGCACCAGGGCGAGGTGGTTGTTTTCCGGGGGCCCACGCCTGAAAGATGGCGGTTCCCTCTATGGGTGGGCCCAGTCTGTTTTCTTTCCACCCCTTTGCTTTGGCTTTTCCCCCGTTGTCCGGAGTTACTAATGTATCCTACTGTTTTGGCCCTGCGTATCTGCATGTGTATGTTGTTCACATTTTGATTTCTTTTTCTCCTGTCTGTCTTCTCGTTTTCTTTTCTTCTCTCCCATCCTCAGGAGAGGATGCATTTTTTTTCATGTGGAAGTATGTTGTCCCTGCCCTTTTGGCACGTGTGTGCCCCTTTTGGCACGTTGGTGCGGACCGCGCGCGGACTGCGCCGGTTGGAGATTATCGTACATGTTCTTGTTGTTGTGCGCATGCTTGCATGCTTATCGTGCGCATTCTGGCTGTTTTCGGTGCCTTCTTCCTGAGACTCTCCTTGGAACAACAATGATAATCTGTCCTCTGAGTGTGGCGTACGTGTGATGTATAATTAAGAGAGTAATCGGAAGGGCTATCGTGCGAGGGAATAAAAAACCCCGACGACACTAGTAGTGGAGGGTGTATAGCGAGAATGTTACAAGTCACTCAGTCAGTGCTGCCTCATTCAGGATTCCAGAGAGGTGGCAGGTCCGTCCAGCCCCAGTCATTCCATCATGACTATAACAAGTGGTGGCACACTCATGTCTCATACCTGCCAAGTACTGAGAGTGCTTTTTCTGCATCGCCACGGCAAATTCTCGGGATTTCCCTTGGCTTTTCGGGACTAGTATGTCTTATTTTTTCCAAAATTCCATTTCCAACTTGTTTGAAAAGGTTTGTGACAATATCAGTGATATTAATCATAATAATTATTATTATACGCAAGTCCAAGACTCAAAGCGGAGGTTTTTCAGCGACAGTTCATGGAAGGAGCACTAGTAGATCCACTGGTACTACCGGCTATGGCAGTACAGAATCAATAAGGAGAACTAGACACAGTCACTTGAAGTGCTCCCAGAACAATATCAAGACTTGTTTTGTGTACGGTGATTTTCGGGATAATCGACAGGGATTTCGGGATCGCGGGAGTTTATCCAAAAATGCGGGATATTTGGCAGGTATGATGTCTGCAACTCGCTGACCTGAAGCAACCCTTTGCACAGTCTTTCGATCCACCATATCTCCCTGATAAATCGCACTCCCATTTCAAGTTGAGCCATATTGTTTTGATATATTCACTTCCGTAGTAAGTCGTGCTCGATTGTAAGAAGCACCAGGGTTTTTTTCCTGTGAATTTTAGTGTATTAAAGAAGGTGCGACTTATATTCGTGGAAATACCGCACCAACAGTGCATTAGGCTCACCTCGTTGCCCGCTAGTTTTACGTCCATTTCCGTCCACAATTGTTCCTGCAGGCAAGAAGAGATGACGTAGAGAATCAAACTGAGCAGCCACACCAATGTGTGTGTGTGTGTGTGTGTGTGTGTGTGTGTGTGTGTGTGTGTGCGTGTGCGTGCGTGCGTGCGTGCGTGCGTGCGTGCGTGCGTGTGTGTGTGCGCGCGCGCGTGCGTGTGTGTGTGTGTGTGTGTGTGTGTGTGTGTGTGTGTGTGTGTGTGTGTGTGTGTGTGTGTGTGTGTGTGTGTGTGTGTGTGTGCCTGTGCGTGTGTGCGTGTGTGTGTGTGTGTTTGTGTATGTGCCTACATACATGTGCATGGACAAGACTGTTACTTCATCCAAAGATTCATGAGTTGTGAGAGTTGAAAAGGGAAAAGGAGGCAGGGAGGTGTGTGTGGGGGGGGGGGGGGGGGTAGGGGGAGAAGAAGGGGTAGGGGGAGGAGGAGTAGGGGGAGAAGGAGGGGGGGGGGAGCTAAAAGTACTTCACTTGTCTGAAGTAGAAAATGGAAATCTGTACGTGGAAATGGGGTACCAGGTATGCACTCCTGGGCGTGAACTAGTCTTAGGTTTCTGTAGCCCCTTTAAGGCTTTAGCCAATTCTGAAAATACCAATGTGGCTACTACTGTTGTTGACATAGACATCAAATGGCATGACCGTGGCCCTTACTAGCATAGCGTACATGCCGCGGCACTGTAAAACTGTAAAAAATGGACCAGCAGTGCTTACGGCTACACAGCCAGCACCCTGTGGCCACTTGACTTCTTTTAAACGGATTTCAATGTCCGCAACACCAGGAAAAATTCTTTTAAAAAAAGGTCAGTCAGTGTATTTGTAGCTGCTGGTGGCTGCTACAGCTCACAGTGCGCCGGTACTGTACCTTTCTTGGAGTCACTTGTACACTGCCTACAACACGCCGAGATACTGTTGACACCAGCCGAGGTGCAAGTTCTGCACAGATCTGTGTTGCAGGCCAGAATGCCATCCTCCTGGCATGTGCATTCTGTGCACTGCTTCGGCTTCAGCCAGGGAGTGTTAGGAGTACGATGAGCGCATTGGCTGACGTCCGTGCTGGCCTCACCAGATGCTGCGGTGGGCACAGTGAAACAGGCGTCCACGCGCATGCGTGCGGCCACACGCATGAGCGAGAACAAACACACGCATGCACACATACACACGTTCACACACACACACACACACACACACACACATACACACACACACACATACATACACACACCACACACACACATGCACACACACACACACCCATACGCACGCGCATCCACACACACATACATCATGTACAAGTGCCAGGTTTGCATAGAGTTGCAAGCAGTGCTAGTTGGTGCTCAGACTTGAATGGCAAATTTATATGGAGTCATGAATAAATCATAGCAACAATTGACGGGTTCTAGAACATTTTTATGGAGTGGCAAACCATACAAACAGTGCTAGTTCAAGTTGGTGTGGCACCGCTGTAGCACTGGCACATCACTGCTTTGCCACTCCATGCAGAGCCGCATTCTGGATGATGACGTAATCGCGTAGCATAGATCGACTCGAATGGATAGGAAAGAAAACGGACCAAGGAACTACAAGTTACGCTATCGTCCACTAACGCCACCAGTTACTTGTACTTGACAATCAGCTCATCCAAGACGTGCTAGAGCTGACTGGCAGTTAGTGGTAGAATGGCAGTACCATTGGTCAGTGCCGTGCAATATTATCGCATGATCTGATTGTCAAGTAACTGGTGGTGTTAGTGGACAATACTCATAGCGTACCTTGTACTTCTATGCTCCTTTTTTCTTTCCTAAAAATTACTCGCGTAGCCTCTATGCTTGTTCACTGGTTGAGGGAATGGATAAGGGAAAAGTCTGAAGAGAGAATTGACTGCCACCACCAGGACTCGAACCAGACACCTTTGCTTGAGGCCAGCGATGCTCTAACCACTGAGCTAGCCTGTGGTGTAGCTGTCATCCAAGCAGAGACCATTCAACATTTTCTTTAGACCGTTTATTTGTTATTTTTTCTACTTTACTTGATCAAGTGCACAGGCAATGCATTCTCGTCAATACGTCTACTTAGGCCAGATAATACGGCATGATGAAAATGTAGTCAACAACAGGGCAGCACGTACACCATGTACACGATTCATCTTTACGCCGCACTTGCCACTAGTGCACTCGAGCACCACAATGGCACGTTGCAGTGCACGTTGCTTTTCTAGCGGTATTTGTCCGGCGCAGATCTACTCAGCGCACATTCTTACCGACCATGCCGCGGTTGGATTTTGGCGATCAACAATCGGTCTGGTGATAGCGCAACAGCCGAGCTTCCAGATGCGATCGCCAAAGACAAGGCAGTAGGAGACGAGACAGTGTTGACCGGTAAACGGATGTGAAAACTGAACCAGCTCGCGTCATTCGGCTGGCATTGCACGCGCTGACTTCGACGTATCAATCTTGTCTGCACTCGTGGCCGTGTCCCTTCACCAACCACACTATCTTGGGAACCTTTTGCTAACATGCTATCGACAACAACGAGATGTTGAAGCCCGTGGGAATTAATTATTTTCGAAACAGTTCATCTTCGTCTTCAACTTGCCCAGGATCTTTTTCGTTTATTTCGACAACTACAGATCTAACTTTCACGTGCAGAACTGTTCAATGAACTTTGACCTCTGCAGTGGTGCACTGGGCCAGATGGGCTGGGCCAGGGTCCGAGGTCTGTGGGACTCGCAGTCAGAAACCGAGTCACCATGGTCACGGGCGAGTGACATGCATGACAGACTGATGCTGTTACTGTGTTAGTACTAGTGCAGTGATACCGCTACTGGCGCTAGCATCCCTGCATGTCAACCAGGTCAACACCATGGAACAGATAGAATGATATTGATAGTCCAAACTACCAGTGCACACTTATAATTATGGAATGGAATGGACTGTAACACAGTAACACTAACAGACAGACACCTCACTTCACTCACATTCACAGTTTACTCTAGTGCCTCTCTACTCTAGTAATAGTAGTAGTAGGCTCTACTCACTGACACTGCCAGTGCCTCTGCTGCTCATGGTCACTGGCAGACACTGCCAGTGCCTCTACTCACTGTCACTGCCAGTACCTCTACTCACGTGACAGTGACACTGCCAGTGCCTCTACTCACTGACACTGCCAGTGCCTCTACTCACTGACACTGCCAGTAGTGAGTAGATCTACTCACTCACAACTGCCAGTAATCATGGTAATCAAGACACCGTCGATGTCCTTGCCAGAGAAATCCGACCTCATGAATACAATACCGCAGGTAGGGCTACCCACCCTAGGCCTAGCACCACACACACCACTCTGTGCACATGTCCGCGGCACTGTCAAGAGGTTGGATTTCTCTGGCAATACTGTAGAGTGTATGTAGTTCGTTCCCTGGTCTGTATAGTCTGTAGTGTTGGTCCATACTGCATGTGGGCAGCAGACCCGCACCAGCCGACACCAGCCGACAGTTGTGAGGAGTCGATCTATTCGCGGCACGGGTATGGTATTGGTGGTAAGGTTCTTGGCTCGTTGGCATCTTGGCCATGGACTCTTCTTTGCTTTACTGTGGACCTACATGTAGTGTGCGCCCATCGTACTACCACAGACATACATGTACATGTAGTACTGTAGTGTAACTGAGAACTGAGTTCCTATGACTTCGGACCATGCCAGTGGCAGTGGCACCCAGGGCATGCATAACGCTATGAGCCTCATTATCAACCGCAATCAGCATAGAAGCAGAGCAGCTGCAAGGTTGGTTGGGCTGATCCGGGATAGGGAAGCTACATAGTGACAATTATATGGTGGAGGAAGCAACAGCACGGATACCCCGCCTGTCACCTGTGCTAGCAGTCACCAAGGCAACTACAGTTCACTGCTAGCATGAGCACTGGACAAAGCTCTCAAGATTCCCGGTGAAGGACATCATGGAGTAACGTTATCACACACTCATTCAAGTCCCCCTTTCCCATACTTCCATCTATAGAAGGAGAGAAAGAGAGGCAAAAGAAGGAAACAAAGAGAGAGGGAAAGGGAGAGAGAGAAGGACAGAGAGACAGAGAGACAGAGACAGAGAGACACAGAGAGACACAGAGAGACACAGAGAGACACAGAGAGACACAGAGAGACACAGAGAGAGACAGAGAGAGACAGAGAGAGACAGAGAGAGAAAGAGAGAGAAAGAGAGAGAAAGAGAGAGAAAGAGAGAGAAAGAGAGAGAGAGAGAGAGAGAGAGAGAGAGAGAGAGAGAGAGAGAGAGAGAGAGAGAGAGAGAGAGAGAGAGAGAGAGAGAGAGAGAGAGAGAGAGAGAGAGAGAGAGAGAGAGAGAGAGAGAGAGAGAGAGAGAGAGAGAGAGAGAGAGAGAGAGACAGAGAGAGAGAGAGAGAGAGAGAGAGAGAGAGAGAGAGAGAGAGAGAGAGAGAGAGAGAGAGAGAGAGAGAGAGAGAGAGAGAGAGAGAGAGAGAGAGAGAGAGAGAGAGACAGAGAGAGACAGAGAGAGACAGAGAGAGACAGAGAGAGACAGAGAGAGAGAGAGAGAGAGAGACAGAGAGAGAGAGAGACAGAGAGACAGAGAGACAGAGAGCCTTACCAAGTGTAAAGGCAACAAGATGAGTACAGACTGTCAGTGCAAGTAAAACTGCCGTGCTTCTGAATGATGTACATCGACCAGAGTACACACTTCCCGTCTGTCTGCATTCCGGATCCATGTGCAACCCGACAGGTACCCTGGCAGATAAGTCCTGAATGCTAACACCACCGCAGAACGAATGACCAGTGATCCACAAAGCCGCCACAGATTTGCAACACAGGCAGAGCTGCTCAATTCTGCAACAATTCAGCCACTAAAAGAAACTGGAAACAAGGAAAATTGATAACAAACCTTCTCGAGTACTTGTTACTATCTGCAAGTAAACTGCACCAGCAGGCTGGCATCCACCTGACTGAGTACAAGGCGAGAAAATAGCGCTACTGGTGCCAGTACAGTTGTCTGGAAGGATCAGTTTCAGCTTTCTCAGCCCCGAAAGCGTCCAGCAGGCACTTCGTACAAAGCGCTACAAGTGCCAGGAATGGTAAAGGGACTATTCGTAGCAGTAATACTTATGAGTAATACTAATGAAGTTTAGGGTGAGGTATCGTCCCTTTAATTCGTGCTATCATCGGAGGACTAACAAAAAGACGAACTGGAGAAAGATAGCGGCCTGATGTGCGATATATCCACTGTGATTTTCGCATTGCATCTTCCATGGAGTGAGGGTGCAAGCTTCGCCCTGTGCAGCGCAACAGCTGAATGCATATTTTCATCGCCGTCTCCTTGGCCTTCTTGTTCTAGGTATGCGGTGTGGATGACTACAGACTTGTGTGTTCCAACTATTCTTGGCATTTTGGCCTCGAACTTGCTTGACTCTTTCGTGCGGGTGACACACACAATACCGCTGCCCAGGTTCCACTGGTCACTTGCCACAGTCTTCAGGGAACTGTTGTTGCACAACTCCCTGATTCAGGTGTACCATGGTATACACTAGCGCTTCCTACTAGACATGGACACTTGGCCGAACGTCCGGCCCAGCCGATTGACCGTGGATGCCGCGCTGCGCGCGGTGACGACAATTGTCCGGATTGGAGCTGAGCATTGAACGACTTTACGCTGCTGCACCCAAGTCGGGAGCCCAGCACGACTACTACCGATGTGTATGACTTGTTATGACTTAGTGACCATTCTGGGCATTCACTGTACTGTGCAGATACAGCATTGTATATCACTGTACTAGGTAGGGACTAGGGAGTTTTTTAGTACATTGTACTGCTGGTAGTGGTAGGGACAAAGCTTCCTCTCCAGGCTTCTGTTTCATGAAGTATGTTGTTGGCCCTGGCTGATATGGAAATACTGCAAAGGTCCGTCACTGGTCAAGCATGCGACAGTCGGACATGGCTGCAGAATGTTGCAGTCCGCCTGCGCAAGCTGAGCCAGCAGATCAACCTAAGGCTAAGGACATAAGTGGAGCCTATCCGACGCTAGCTCGACCGGACAAGACACCTACGCAAGCTGGCACTGGCTCACTGATCAGGCTCAGCGTTGATGTTGATCGGGGATTGGCAGACACGGAGTGAGTGTGGAATTCACGACTTCTCTTCAGCTACTGTAACTGTTAGTGGTCACAATGTTATTCACAATCACAGACAGTCACGTACACGTACATGTAGCTATAAGTAACGATAACCGTCGAAATAGGATTCGGAATGCGGAATTCGCAATCTGGACGAGCGGACTGAAACATCCAGTATTAGCGTGATCATGAAACAGCACGCATACATGTGCCGGCTCCGGCGCTGTGGTTTTGAAACTTTCAGTCTCATAATCACTGTCTAAAATGTGGCAGTTTGTCACACCTGCTAGTACGTGCACATGACGATGTACATGTACACCGTTTGAACCCATTTCAACCGGCTACATACCTAGTACTAGTAAGCGTGATGAATGTAACAATGACTGAGTACTGGAGTGTTGTTGTCACCATCATGACTGTTGTTTCAATTCTGTGAAAGAGATAACAGACATGTGACCACTCAGTGTTGGAGTCTTATGTGAAAGGTCTTTGGTTTAGTGTAGTGAGCACCATGAACACTGCCAGCAGCGTTCCAGCAACTGTTGCTACTCTCGAGATCTCCGCGACTACATGTACATCATGACGTCATGCAGGGAGTTCAGTGACTTGGTGCAACTGCAACGTTTAATACGTGTTAATGCGTGAGTAAAACATGTTATCGAGAGTACATAGCCCCACTCTTGGTTACATACTGTAGTACCGGTATACATGTACATGTCACAAGATGGAGGGTGAGGTGCAGAATTTGAGGAATTGCCCGCGTCGTAAGCTATAAAGTAAATAGTATGATTCCAGTGCCAATTTCAAAGCTTTCTGAACAGAATATGTCAATTTGTCAAAACACTGACTTATCCCAGCGCAAAAATCTTCACATGGGCGTGACAAAATGTGATTTGAATCGTCCTGGGAAGAAAATTCCAAGTCAGGGGGTCGTCGGATAGCCCTTGGTGGATTATGCTGTTATAATTGTTGGCATAATCTTCGGATTTTGTCTAAAAATTATGCCCTGGCATAAACGTCGGTGCAGCTCCTGATCAGTAGTTGTCACGTTTGTTCTAGTCTCAGTACCATCGTCTTTCTTTCTTATTTTCGAGCTGGGAATGTCAACATACATGTAGTAAAAAAAGTTTGAAAAAGAGGACTTCTGAGACCAGACGGGTGGCATAATCTTACGATGCTGGCTGAAGATTAGTGCTCCAGGCATATTTAGGCATGTTACAGGAAATAACCTGTTGAATGTGACCCCTTACGAGCCATGCTGTCATGGTGCCAGAGTCGTTGTAACGTTGCAAAGAAGTGCAAGGGTACAGTATAGCACAATCATTGGCATACTGATTCCAGCATAATGTAGCATAATCACTGGCATAATGGAAAGCATAATTCAGCAATTTACCGAGCATCATTGAATCCGCCAGGGGATGTTTGTACTGAGTTTACCATACCATCATTTATTTATTTCACCTTCCCATGGCCAGGGAGTATAGGCCAATATGGAAGGAGGGGGGGGGGGCGATAGCCAGCCATGGCAGTAAGCAAAAACAATGCAAAACTGATGACAAATAGAAGAGGCAATAACCCACACAGGGCGAGGCAAAGAGAAACAAACCTGAATGAAGAATTAGCAGTTATTAGAACTCAAGCTTCATGTTGAACTTAAAATCCTTTAGCATACAAGATGATTTTTACTGATAGAGGCAGGGCCAGCCAGAGAGAATAGGCAGCGACGAATGGAGATCTGGTATACAGTGCGTATCGGTGATAGTGTGGTCGTATACAAGAATATACTGCCTACAAGAATGAACACTCATTTTTTCATAATCATAACACCTATTTTATGTGTATATTTATTCTTACAAGCAGTATTATCGCATAGTAGAATATATCGGCCCTAAGAATGGATTTTGTGTAGCAAAATATGCCAGATTAGTGCAAAATGTATCGCCTGTAGTAATAACATCTGTGCTCTGTGCATGTTCAATACAATAATATTCAACACAAAAAGAGAGTTATGTCCAACTGAGCATTGGAGAATCACTTTTTCTGTCCAGTCGGACTCTTTCCTCCGACTTCTCTCCTATCTGCTGCTCTGCAGTCGCCTAGCACGACCGCGAGTCTGATCCGTGCGGTGTATCATGATTGTGTATACCTACATGATTGTACGTGTCCACATGCCAAACATGTATTATGTCACACGTGATTTATCGTGTGTAAGAAATATCGGCAATAAGAATAAAATGTCGTTTTTCAAACACCCACGCTATAACCGATACCTACTGTACTGTATAAGTTAGTACAAATTATCGTTCATGAAATCTTTCGCTATTTCACTCCACCAGCAGGCTTGTTACGTACTAAATTTCGTTTTTGGTCGAGGTCCGTCACCCCGAACGTTCAGAAAAAAGACTTTAGTTTGGCACAGACTTTAGTTATTTTGTGCCCGCTAACGAATATAGCGAAAGTAATTCCAAACGAAAATGTGTACATGTACGGTAAACTGATGTTGGGGCTTTAGGCAAAGTGCAGGAATTGCGTGAAGGACGAGTGGCAAAAAACCCAGTTATATTTACACAAGGGTGGCGGGGCTTTATCGAGACGAATAGAATGAACAACAATACACAGTTTTCGATCCGCTTGACTAACGAGATGGGGAACGTGTTAAACATAAATTATCATACAGCTCGGCAGAAGGAAAGCATGATGGTTTGCGGAAAAGGACTTTGAGTATCCTCTTGTTGTGGACTAAGTTCCAGGGTACTCATTATAAATTTACTTACAAGACATGTACAGTCAACTTTGCGTATAACAACACTCGGCGGGGCATCAGAAAAGTATCCTTATTTGCGAAGTGTCGTTATATGTATTTAGTTCGATGGGACTTTGCTCTGGACATGGAGATGCTATCGCTATTCGCGAATTGTAGTTATATCCGCAGTCGTTATTAGCCGAAGTTGGCTGTAGTAGGGATGACCAGGCGGTTGAGCAATAGAGAAAAAGGGGGAGAATATAGCAATGATAAAAAGGCAAAGCATTCCAGCGGTAGGTGGGAGCAGTGAGACAAGAGGTAACCAACAGCTTTACTGACTTTGCTACAGATATAGTCTACATGTTTACCAAACGATAAGTCTGAGTCCGACCAAACCAAGTTGCATGTTCTGCTTTACCACTGTGAGCTCTGTGAGGGATCCGGGAAGAGTGAATGCAGGGGTTGGCTCTGAGTTCGGCAGAAATAAGATCTCAGTCTTGGTGATATTAGGTCTTAGAGTCTCCAGGTAGTCCGGCATCCGCTGATGGACTTTGTTGATACTGCGCTGGAGACTGCCGCGCAGCCTGCTTAGGCTCTCATTGAACTTGAGCAGCGCAGTATTGTCGGCAAATAAGGACACACCTTCAACATGACTGGGAAGATCATTTAATATACACTAGGAAAAGGAGAGGCCCAAGGATGAATCCCTGGGGCACTCCGAACAGAACAGGTGAAGCATCTGAGAGAAGTCCAGCTACAAAGACAACTTGCGTTCTGCCGGATAGGTAGTCCAGCGCAGCGCCACGCACACCGAAAACTTTGGAATTAGATTGGACTGCAGCATAGTATAGCACCATCAATGGCATAATGGAAAGCATAATTCAGCAATCTACTCCAAATCCGTCAAGGGCTATCTTCGGAAAAGCCTTTTCGTTGGCCCTGAAACGAAAATCGCTGATTTCGTACTCAACCCCCCCCCCCCGAAATGAAGGCGAAAATCGCATGCGTGTGCAAGTAACACATACATGTAGATGCACAATGTTGGTCAACTTGCGAAACCGGCCCACCTCCTATGAACGATGTTCGTTGCAGGGACAACAGAAAAAAATTTGCAAGGAGCATAACCAAGAGTATAAAGTTATGTACTCTTGGTAGAACTGATTAAACTGTTAAAACAGCCCCCAAGAAGCAAAGAAAGCGGTTGCACTGCACGACTAGAGAACTCTGCAACGCAGACACTGTATACTGCAATACAGGTGCATGTCACAGTATATTGCGCTACTTTGGCTCCAATAGTGGGTGAAGCCTTTGTGAAAGGTCCGTTCAGCTCGTTCTGTTGATCGCAATTCTAAAACTATTGAGTATTGTCGCTTATGATAGTTATTTATAGCGATATGGCGGACAATTCCTCGAATTCTGCACCTCGAGTCGCCCTCCATCTACTTGTGCGGTACATGTATACCAGTACTAGTATAATAAGGGGTCGTCCACAAATATCGATGTTTTTTTTAGAGAAGATATTCGTTCATGGGGGGGGGGGGGGAGGGGGTTTGGGCCCTGTTCGTCTCGTCTTTGAGAAAAAAATATCGAACTCTATCTATGGACGGGCATTGTTCGAACATGTAGTTTATGACCTACACAAAGTGAAAGTCAACCTCGTGAGCATAGCCATGGCAAGGTTGTGCGACCGTGGCAACATAAACCTAGGTGTATGATGAAGTTAGAGTTGCAGCTGGTCACGTTTCATGAGAAAATTGAACTTCATTAAAAAATATCGATCCTTTGCATAAACATGTGTATGTTCGTTTTGAGGGGGGCCGGGGGTCTGGGGAGAAATGAACAAATATCGTCTTGAAAAAAATATCGATATTTACGGACGGCCCCTAACCAACAGTGTGGCTAGTTGTAGTTGTGGTTTAGTGTGAAACTCTCGCCACTCTCATGAGACATAGTTTCCACGCCTGTGTTATTATCTTCCTATCATACCCTGTCTGCAGTGTTCCAGCAACTGTTGCTACTGGTGGCGATTATATCATGACGTCATGCAGGGAGTTCAGTGACTTGGTGCTCCTGTTCGTGGGTTGAGCACTTTCGCAAGTCAACTCTGCTTTAGGCAATAACAACATTGGTTACTTTAGATCCTCCAAGATCACCGATGTGCCAGGCTCAAGCATACTCTATGTGCTTTGTACCAAGAGCCCCGGGGCAGAACTTGAGCAGAGGGAGGGTGGCGTGCGCCAGCACGCTACATTCCTCAACCATCGACCGTGTTCTACAACCCATGTGCAACGGTTTGCTGTTCCATTGCCAAGTCCGGGCAAGGAAACTAAAGGAATATAGTGGGGAAGATTGACAGCTATGGTGGCGGCAGTAACCAGTAAATACCAACAACAACGATAACGTCAAGAACAACAAGAACAATCAGAACGAGAACAACAACAAAGTGTCTTTTATTGCCCAGTTATTGGCCATTGGCCATCGTGAGAAAATGAGAATAATTAAAGATTACTTCAAAACAACAAGAACAACAACTCTTTCAGTAACGTGCAGCGCCACACATCCCAAACCAACAACCAGTAAGTTACTACGGATGTCACAACATAGACGAGTAGCAGCAAACACACGGACACACTTCAGCAGCGCTCTTTCCGTACACATGCACGGAGGAAATAACACGCGAGTACAGTACTACGTCACAAATTTGGCAAATCAACTGGGCACAGAAGAAACATGAGGCACTCAAAAAAAGGGTAGTGAATTCAAACTGCACACAAGCACATGGCTATTGAAAAAATGCTGACGTATAAGAGTTGGTCAAGGATAGAATCATGAACTTGAACATCACAATGCGGAGCTGGGTTACGTTATAGCATACCAAAAAACCCAAACACGAAGCTGGGCTTTTTCTTGAATTCGCATTTCCATGATGAAGAAATGTTTACGGCACATTTTCATAGAAATTAGTCAGCTTCTGCAAACGGGCACGATGTGACCAGCATCACCTAAAAGCATAATTATCGTTTTCGCAGGTTTCAATTCTATGAAGTCTACAAAAGTAAAAAGACCCGGCTGAATTGTCTGGCTTCACAGCGGCTAGATATACAACAACAAATGGCAACAACAACAACAATTACAAGAGCGCAAGAGTAAGGGGGAGCGGGCTTAGGCCTGAAAAAATACACCGCAGCGCACGCAAGGATCAGCTAGCTAGCTAGTTAGTCCAGCAAACCACAGCCATGAGCAACCAGGCATAGTAAACAACAAAGCACGCACACACCTTGTGTAGCTCTAGCAATCGTGCGGAGGACTTTTGCGCAACAAGACGTCTAGCAACACATCGGCGTAAAGCGTGCAGCAGCGAATAAAACCCACAGTGGCAGTGCACATGCAGAGCGGTAGAAAAAGACTCATGCCGGAGGACCGAATAAATTCATCTCATAAATAGTAAGAAATTAATTTGTCGCGAGTTTGGCGTGCTGCGCGTGTAAGTAAGTAGGGAGGTGAGATAGACCATCAGACAGACAGAGAGATAGAGTGGGAGATAGAGAGAAAAAGGATAGATAGATGGGGAGCGACAACCTGATACCAGTGATAGAGCAGGGAGGGGGGATGACGCCAGGCGCTGCTGGTTTCTTCATCTGATCCGGATGTGCATGCGGCGGCGATATTGCGGAAAGTCAATCTACCTAGGTTGGAATATAGCGAGGCAAGACCCATGTGTTGCAGGCACCGTGACTGGATACACGCATAATAGTGTTAACTAGCTGCACCGCTCCAGCACTGCATAAGCACCAATGGCTTAGCGGACGAGGTAGCGACATGTACGAAAGGTCTGAGGTTAAAGCACGCTGCGCTGGAGAAGACAAATGCAATTGGTTCCCGAGAGCCAGCATGAAGCCATCCGGGTTGGACCGGGTGTGCTGCTGCTGCTGGTGGCGGTGCTGCTGCCGCTGCTGCTGGTGGCGGTGCTGCTGCCGCCGCCGCTGCTGCTATTGCCGGTAGCATTAGGCAATGACAGTGCAAACAAGCTTACTGCTGCGATGTCCAATGTCACTGCTATGTTACCGTACAGAAAGCTGGATACGAGGCAGGACAGGTATTGTCTGGCACGAAGAAAGAGCGAGAAAAACCGCTGATGGTTGTGGGCAGACAGCTACCGCTACCGTTGGCACTACGGCACATGCACACACGCATACACACACACACACCAGCGCACGTACACATACACGCTCATACACACACACACACACACACACACACACAAGCGCACATGCACATCCGCACTCAAACACACCACACACACACACACATGCGCATACACACCCATACACACACGCATACCAACGTCACCGGCAGCAGCCTCCCTTTCGGTTAGAATCTGTACTGAGTAGTAAATTGTCAGGATCATCAGTTCCTCCACTACCACCGTTCACACGCAGTATCTCCGTTGCGATTGCTGCGAACATCTCGTTCACATTCGCATTCGACTTGGCCGATGTTTCGAAGAACAGCAAATCCTGCTCATCAGCGTACGCTTTACCCTCCTCTGTTGACACGCTGCGTGTGGCGTTTAGATCCAGCTTGTTTCCGGCCAGCGCGATTCTGATATCAGGACTTGCCTGCTGTTTGAGCTCAAGCACCCAACTCTTCGCCTTGCTGAACGATTCCTGCTCGGTGATGTCATACATGACGACAGCGGCAGGCGCGCCTCGATAGTACATTGGCGTGAGGCTGTGGTAACGCTCCTGCCCTGCCGTGTCCCAGATCTCAAACTTCACCAGCTGACCACCGTCCAGCGTCATCGACTTCGTTAGAAAGGCGGCGCCGATCGTGGACTCCTGGAAATCTTGAAATTGTCCCTTGACGAACCTCAGTGCCAAGCTGGATTTCCCGACCGCCGATTCACCCAGAAGCACCAGCTTGAACTGGAACGGCGTTCCATTGGAGACAAAGCTCCCTCTATGGGCCATGGCGAGCTGGTGTCCACCGACAACAAATGTCAGGAGCTCTTTCCTTTCGCTGAGTACAAAAATTGAACGTGAACGCAGTCCAGCGCTACGTGAACAGGAAGTCGGGAAAGGCGAGTCGACAACTGCACGGAGGAGCGCAAATACATGCAGGTCTTATCGAATACGTCTCCAAGTCTCAAGTTCACACCCTGGGTAGAACGAAGGAGATACGGATGCAAGAGTGGACAACGACCCACCACAACATGTCGAGCAAACAACAATCGTTTGTGTTGGCCATCCAAATCACTTCGCAAAAATCGCTGTTCTGAAAACTCGATGAGTCATGACGACACTTCATCGTACAAAAAAAGCCTTTCATGCAGATAACACGTCACTATCGACCCGGGAGTCGTAAAATACCGGTATTTTACGACTCCCTGATGATCACGACTTGAAAATAATTATTTTCTCTATGATTCATGAATCACACATTATCGCGGGAAGATCAAAAAATAACTTTGCAGGCTTTCGAACGGAGAAAGAAGCACGAACATGTGTAGCATTCCAAGAGGTAAACTACATTGTCAGCAAGAGTTTTTTTTACAATAGTAGTTTCGTCTGGGGTTTGGTTCGTATGTGTAACTATTATCTCTTGAGTCTGGGGACGTAACATGAGATGAAGCAAATGGCTACTTTCAGTGCTTTTAATATGAGAACGAAAAATTCCTAAAATATCGTATATCGCCGAGTAAAGAGACATTTATTTGACTACACAACTGCCACGATCTTACCTTACCACAGCAGCCCATGGATTTGCGGCGGCACAGGCGTCGCTCGGGAGGAGTACTCGCCTCTCCTACTGGAAAAGTTTCGCCCAGAAAGCGCTCCATGTTGGATTTCTCCGGCGATGAATTCGAAGCAGCCCGGAGTGCCCCGCCAACGAATGTGGCCCCTGAGCCGTTATCGAGGATAAAGAATAGGCTGGCCGATGCCGCGGCACGTTCCTTGACACCACCACACAGACCGGTAAGTGCATTGAGTTCCCTATCAATACGTGGTGGAAGTTAGTTGACAGATTCCACTTCAACCTGTAGTAATACTACAATGTACCACATCACCCCCCCCCCCCCCCGCATGCGTCACCATATTACGGAGGATAAGCAAGACGAAATTCGCGTTCGTGTTTGCACTCCAAGGAAAGTCGAACTCAGTGACGGAATTCGCGTTATGAGAAGGATTAGCAAACAGAATTCGCACATGCATGACGTTGACACGTCGTTTTGTACAGACAGTACAGCGTAGTAAATTTATGACTGTCCTGACACAAATCCGCGGTTCGTGTTTCGACTACTTTTCCGAACGAAAAATGCGAAAGTTCGCAATCTAGTTCGCGAACTGAAAAAATGCTCGCGAACACGAACGCGAATTTCGTCTTGCTAATCCTCCGTATTATTGACCATAACACACTGTCCACAAAAGTGGATCATCTAAATGCCCATGGCAGTATTCCAGTGTTCTCTGCCTCTAGGTCTCCTTGCTTTCCGCCTACTGTAAACCCGGAATCGTTTGCGCCCGGTTTAGTTCGCGAATTGTGATGAGCCGATGACAGACCATTTTGCGCCTTCAAGCTCCAGTCAGTGTCGCTCGTGCAGTCATGGAGGTGCTGAACAAACGCTGAGGACTGCTAGCCATTCACAACGTTGTTGCCTCCAAACCATCTACATGTAGTTCACGAGCGCGCCCTGGGGACAACAGTATGAAGAAGCGGTTGGTGCGACTTTGGCGATACTTGGAGAATTGGGTGTTGCTCCCTACGTGGGAGCTCGCGCTTTTCCTGCCAACTTGAATTTGTTGGTATCCCTATTGATGTTTTGGCTAGGAGAGCACTACATAATGCGGTGCTCTCGGAGCACAACTTTCATTAGCCTACTCAAGCTCTGATGAGAGGTGAATTCCCCGAAACACTGTGTATTGAGCAGGGAGTGGTGCTTTCCTGCAGGTGTGTCGAGTGGAAAGTTCGATGGAATTCTCGTGTGCTCTGGATGGCAGCCGTGAGTCCGTCAAGCGAGATTCAAGTCGACGGGAAAAGCGTGAGCTCCCACGTAGGGAGCAACACACAATACCCCAAGTATCGCCGGAGTCGCACCAACCTCTTCAAAGCATATAAATACTTTGTTTTCTCGTCACTCGACACCTACAAAGAAGAAGCGCAAGGGAGTTAAGAAACCAAACCAGCTAAAAAAGTCTCTCAAACCTTGGTATGGAATGGGAAGGAAAACATTTGCAAACCGTTTGCACCTAATCTGATGATGCCGATCTCCTAGAATCTAGATATTACCAAGGGTGCATAAACAAGAACAAACTGTGGTTATGGGTCAGTGCGCTGCGCGCTGCCTTCATTACATAACTTGTCTTCATCAGGCTCTGAAAGCATGCACTCAAACCCACAATTTCTCGTGTGAGCCCATCCGTGTTTGCTCGATTCGTTCCAGTGCCTACACGATCTCTAAATTTTGGCACGTGAACTCCAGTTCAGTACGAAAGTTCATTTCAAACCGGAGGGAGAGTGCGGTGTTTGATTTTCCGCAGTGCACGGACTGCAGCTGAATGATGTAATGAAGGCAACGCGCCGTGCATCTGGCCCATAGAAAAGAGATCACAGTTGCATACTCTTGTTTATGGACTCTTGATATTACCAATGTATCCATTGCCTGACTTGACAGCAGACATACACAAGAGCTTTACTTTTTGTTTGATGTTTGCTTCGATAGAGGGTGGTGGTGGTGGTGGTGGGGGTGCTGGTGCTGCTGGTGCTGGTGCTGCTGGTGCTGGTGGTGGTGTTCCTACGGATGCGGAAAACTCGGCCTTCAGCTGAGTCTGACACGAACTGTGATTTTTTTGCTTTCTTTCATCTGTACCATTCTGTTGTTTGCCTGCAGGTCAAAAGCCCAACCCTGGATCTGATCCAGTCGTCGGCCAGGTCGCGGGCTGGAGGATTGTTCGCTGCCACTACTCGGAGCGGCGCTCTCCACACAAGCAGCCTGGCGACCACGGCGGCTGATGGTACGTTCATGGCATGTGCTGATGATGGTGGTCACAGCGCTGACACGGATCTAGGAGTTGCTGCTATTCCTGTTGGTGGTGGTGGTGATGTGCCCGCTACTCCCCGTATCAGCCAGGGCATTCTCCACCGACAGAGGCAACTGGAGGATCAGCACTATGCCAGCAAATCCAAGGCCAGCGATCGGCTTGCGTCCGGTGAGCTGAGGCTTCTTTGCCTCCTGTCGTGCAGACACACACACACTCACACACACGCACATGCACTTGTACTTGTTCCTCACTGCCAAAACTGGTCACGTGGGTCTCCCCGGGAGAGGGGAGAGAGACTCAAAAGGAATCTGGGAAAGATGACTCAATTGGCTATTGAACCACCCAACGGCCGACACCCCCTGAAATCCCCGAAACTCTGGGTGGACTTGAAAATGATCCCACTTATGAGCTCGCCACACCTCAGTAAGTAGGTGAGGACAAGGTGCAGAAAAAGGATTGACGGCATCAGGGTATCCGTCCTGGGATCCAAGTGCAGTGACCCCTGCCCCTAGTGAAGGTAATACTTGCTACTAGTGTGGGTTGCTAAATCAGAGTGGATCTGATATAAGCTTCACTAGCACCATTGATTACACAAGAGTTAATCTAGCCTGTCCCTACGGAAATTTGCGGAAAAACTCTCGAAAACTTGCGCAAGAAATTGCGGCAGAAAGTAACAAAAAATGCGACGAAAAGTGTGGAATGATACAGAACTTGCCAGGAATTCGCGGAATTATTTGCAGAAAATTGCGGATTTGGGCCAAATCACGAAATTATTTGCATCGTTTGTCTACTCGGGAGTCGTACTGTGCAAATAACCTACAGGATCATGGAAAGAACTGCGTGAAAAGTGCATAAAAAATGTGAGATATAGTGCAGAAAACACCAAAAAAACGCGGGAAATCGCGGATTTTGCTGAAAATCGCGGGTTTGGACCAAAATCGCGAAATTTGTTGCATCTGTGGAATCGCGATTTCCTGGAGGGACAGTCTAGCCAGAAGCAGTCCATGGTTATCAGGTATGTATACTTCGAATAGAAAGTATATGAACCCTGGAACCAACAAGGTCGCAGGTACAACATTACACCATCAAGCAGCCGAGACCCAACACAATCAGGCATAAGTGTGCCCACCAACCGAACTAGCTGGCACACATACACACACACGCACACACATACACACACACACACACACACACACACACACACACACACACACACACACACACACACACATACGCACATACATACACACACGCACACACACATACGCACACACCATTGGACCATTGGACGCCCATCGCCAGAGGCGATGATAGCAATGCTACGGCAGAAGCCATAGCCAACTTGTGCTGGGATTGCACCATTCAACAGCTTGCAAGGCTGAAGAATTGACCGTCACTATTCAGCCTGGTCTACACCGTACAGCTACTTGAAGTGACTTTTTCTGGCCAGTGAATCCCTATTTTTGGTCTTTTCATTTTTTTCCCTCGCACACACATCACACCACATACTCCGGCATGCACTGGCTATTGGTAACCGGGAACCACCGGTAGAATGAAAGAAAAGTCAGGAAGAGTCTGAGAAGAAGAAGAAAGACGTGTGTGACCATAATCGTCGGGAATCGAACCCGCAACCTATCGATTGGAAATCGCTGCACATACCACTGCACCATATGGGACACACACACACACACACACACACACACACACACACACACACACACACACACACACACACACACACACACACACTTGGGATACATGCGTCCTACAAGGTGTCGAGTTGATGGAGGCTATTAGCCTCCGCGTATCCCATTTATAATGGGATACGCATTTACTGGCGTTTGAATTGTACATCGAACGCTGATGTAGGAGATCTAGTGGTCCAAGTCGAGGAAGTTCAAGGAATAATGTCACTTCAATAATTGGTCAGATTTTGGCTTTTTGTGTGTGGTCGTGGTGGTGGTTTTGCTGCTGCTGCTGGTGGTGGTGGTGGTGGTGGTTGTGCCTTACAGGTGGTGGCATAAGTCCGTGGCCGCTTATGAGCGACATGCGACTCACGTCTCGGGACGCCTCGTTCCTGTGCCTGCTCAATCTCCTACTACTGCCTCTTGTCGTCAGTGTCTTTCTCTGGCTGCATGGTCAGTACTGTACCATTGTTCGTCTAGGGCGCTAGCACCGTCCTGTAGATCTACTACTAGTACTCCTTCGCGTTTGCATGCTGAGTGTCTATAGGACCCGTGTCGGATTGTTGTGTTTGCACTGTGAGTGCGGTATGTGAGTGCGATATGTGAGGCTTGAAATACCTGCGTGTGCATTATGGAGTACTGGTCCATCAAAGGATATGAAAAGCAAAAAATGGAGGAGGAGGACGACGATGCGCATTGCACTTCACATATAAATGTTTGTTTGTTGTCGGGCGTAGGTGTAGTTGTCTTCTTGGTGGACACATGGCCTGTTTCTGGCAGCGAGTATGTATGTGTGCATGTGTGTGTCTGTATGTGTGTGTGTGTACTTCGAAGTAGTATGTGTAGTATGTGTGGTTGGGTGGGTGGGTGTCTCAACTGCCATGAGCGCCACGCTCCGTACTGCAAAAGCTAGTTGATAGTCCCTTCGCTATCATTGCCGTCGGCAATGGGCATGTTCAAGGTGTGTGTGTGTGTGTGTGTGTGTGTGTGTGTGTGTGTGTGTGTGTGTGTGTGTGTGTGTGTGTGTGTGTGTGTGTGCATGCTCAGGTGGCATCGCTGCAGACTTGCTCCAGTTCACTCAGGACGTCGCACAGTTCAACAGCCGTCATATAATTCCACCCAATGGCAGCGACGTGGAGTTCCGATTAGCCCTGCTTGCTTGGCACAATGACTTCCTCAATCTAACCGTACGTGTAGATGGTGTTTTACTCCATCTGCTGACAGAACTGTTCCGTCCTCTGCGGACTCGTTAGCGCAGCACAGAGAAAACGAGGCCGAATCTGGTAGCAATGAAAAATAAAATTTCCAAAGCAAGATTAAAAGCTAGGCCCGAACGTACCTTGCCAGACTGAGCTCTGCGTAACGCAAACAGCAAAGGCACTACCCCACATAAAGTGCTCGAATACTACAAGAGTAGGAGCGAAATACTCATACATGGTGTTTATGTGTATAATAAATGTAGAGAAAGGAAAAGGACATAAGGATACGAGTTAAGAGTAACTCATATCCTTATGTCCTTTTCCTTTCTACATTTATTTATGGCTCAACATCCGAGTTCTAAATGTAGAGCCGAAGGATTTATGGCAATTACTTACTTGTATGTAATACTTGTAATTGCAACAAATCCTGAGGCTGAGAAGAAGTAGCGACGACCCGGCCATTATGGAATCCAATACACCACACCACCACATTGCGCTCTTGGCCGATCCTAACTCTGCACTCACATCACCCTCACCACAGCGAGGACAATTCCGGTACACTGTATATAGATTGATATAGACAATGCCCCTCCAGACAGCTGTTTCGCTCCTCCTGAGCTCATCAGTGGAGGCATATGATGTTGAATGAAAGCATAATAAGAATAGACTGATCTTTATAGGGCTAAATTGGTGCAATTGCGCTCATTCTGCATATAAACGTGGCATACCCTAAGTGACAAAAGTGATAACAAGGTCAGGTGATAACGACACCCGCTCATGGCTGGGACAGGAACATGTAGCACGTGTGAAAAGGGGGGGGGGGGGGTGCAAAAAAACAGCAGTCAGTCTAACACCAGAAAAGTTAGTTATTGCATGTGCCACAAAAACAAAGATGCTGCGGCTGACTGTACTTGTCCCATAGTGACGTGACGGGGAACGAACGACGAAGCGAACTGGCCGACCCAGAGGCAATCACTGTCCTGCCAGCCCGTCGCACACAGCCACACCACGCCGCCATACCCATTGAACACGTACACTGATGTTGCCTGCGCCTTCAGTCAGCATCTTCCGCTGCAAAACAGTCACTTGACACACCGAGAGGCCCATGGGGCATTCACTCCAGTCAGGGCTGTGCTGTGTCCGCTGCTGCTAAATTTTGATCTAGCGAAACAGCTGTCTGGAGGCCGAGGGTCATTGTCAATCTATATGTAGGACTCAGTAGCCCAGCAATCCTCTATATGTGGTCATTGCTCTATATATGGTCAAATTGTTCACAGACCGCTATACATGGTCACTCTATATGTGGTCTTATACCCAGCTCATATTAAAGGGGCACTCCGGGAATTTTTTCGGTGGTGTGTTCTCTTCATTGGAAAGGCTTCCTGTCTGAAGCCTTTCCATACTGGTACTCGATGTTCCAGTTTTGTGACACGAGAATGGCACGAGAATTAGTGTACCGCTGAGTGTACCGCTATACACGTGGTCGACACGTAGTCGACACGTTGTTGATACTTTTTTGACACGTGACCCCTTCAACGGTCTGCTTTGTGCCAATGACACTCGGTAAACGCCGATGTCGCGTAGGTCTACGACAAAGACGACTATCCCGTACGCGAAAGAGTTGAGAACTGCATGACGTGGACCTGACGGCAAGGACAACTGCGAGGAGGCCCCTTTCGGTACCCCTGACGGGAAGGAGAACTGCAGAAGTCGACGAAGTCGAACGAGGAGGCCCCTTTCCGTACCCCGTACTGCAAAGTGCCATTGATTGATGCCTTTTGCACCTGGAACGACCCCTTAAACGCTGTCGCGGCGACTATCCCGTACGCGAAATAGTTGAGAACTGCTGACGTGGACCTTTTGCACCTGGAACGGCCCCGTAAACGCTGTCGTGTCAGCAGAGTGAATGTGCAGGGTGAAAAGCTGCAAAGACGTCCCCTCTACAATTTTGTAGGCCTTTGGAGACATCGTCGGCGGACTGAATGCGCAGGGCGAAAAGAATTGCTGCAAAGACGTCCGCTCTAGGCCTTTGGAGACATCGTGGGAACTCCTTCCGGTACTATACAAACTGCTGACGTGGCCGTGGACATGTACATGGAGACATGGTGGGACTTCATGTACATGGATACATGGTGGAAATTCCTTCCGGCACCCCCGTACCGCAAAGCCAACGGTGGGGAAGGAGAAGTGTAGACGTGCAGGAAGACAAACGAGGAGGAACCAGGACGAGCGAGCAATGGCAGGACTAGCTGGACCGTAAGTAATAGCTGAATTGTGCATGACAACTTGACAGCCATGCGGCACTCGCCACTTGCCACTGCATATTTCTTGTCCCCTAACAATGTCTCTCCTCTGCCCCCTGTGTGTCCACGGCCCTGTTGCTGAATTGGCCCGATGAATCGAATGTCTTCCGCAACTGGAACGGCCCAGTAAACGCTGTCGCGTCGCCGACTGAATGCGCAGGAGGGAAAATATTGCTGCGAAGACGTCTCCTCTAGACCACGGTAAGGCAACCCATTGATATGTTGCCAGTTACCTTCTACTAACACGTTTTCAGGTGGAGAGTGTCTTGTACTCACGTTATCAGGTCGAGAGCGTATTGTAGTCACTCTCTCTACTTCATTACGTTTAAGGTGTACGTATAATTTCTCAAAAAATTAATGGTCCACAGTCGTGTCGGAAGGGTACGGTGGGACTGTAGATCTGTTACCTTCTAACACGTTATCACTATATCTGATTATCAGGTCGAGAGCGTATTGTAGTCACTCTCTCTATTCCTGAACTTCATTACGTTTCAGGTGTACGTATAACTTTTCCAAAAAAAATAATGGTTCACGTCTTCAGATAGAGAGCGTATTGCACCCACTGTCTAGTCTCTGTAGTGCATTGAGATTTTGTTGATCGCACATGAAAATGGATAAACAGACAAAGCAGGCCAAGTACATGGCGAGATGTCGCCAGAAGAACGTCTTCAGATAGAGAGCGTATTGCAACCACTGTCTAGTCGATTTTGTGGATCGCACATGAAATGGATACACAGACAAAGCAGGCCAAGTACATGAGAGAGTGGACGATGTGCGGATCGACACGGCCTGCGGGTACTTCATTAAAGTTACCCGTGACATAACTAGGATAAATGTTAATCACTGCAAAGACATTGCCAAGTATGTGAGCACTTTGGACTTGACAGAAGAGTGCGACGTTGACAAAACATACCGCGGTGACTGTCACTATCATGACAGCAGGGCACATCGCACGCAGCATCGCAGATCGTGTCGAATTGCGCATCATAATATTGCAAAATTGCTTCAGGCTCATTTCTGAGAAACAGTAGATCAACGGTAGTTATGATAATTATGTGCATTCTCTTTTCCGTGCACTGTAATGATGTACATGTACATGTAGGATACATGCAACAGGCTACTGGCAATGTGTAAAGTGGTGGTTCACAGCAGGAAGGGGTGTACGAGTTTGCTGTCGCAGCATCGCTGCATTTCTGCTATTTCTTCTTCATGTTTTGTAGGTTTTGCACAAGAACTCTCCAAGTTTGAGTTGCGATATTGGCAACTTTTGAGCTTTTTCTGAAAATATGGATGCGATTTCAGCAACTAGCACTTGTTTTGGCACGGTTGCGAAAAGCATAAGTTGCGAAAAACTATGGCATCTTTGGGAAAGGGCTACTCATAGCCTACCTCACGACCTTCTGCTTTCTTTCTTCATCACTTGTATCTTGCAGGTATATCATCCCGTGACGACCACATTGAAGTCTGAATTTGAAGTGTGAAGATGCTTCAGCAACCACATCGTACTTTTCCATTGCTTTCATTGTGCTTCTACTGTGCATGTGTGTAACTTGTGGGGTAAACATGTGATGACATTGTATGCTGGCGACACGGTCAGATGTTGTCCATGCGTCTAACGTACACCTTCATGTTATGCATTGAAAAGGATTTGCCACTTGCGATCCTGGGACGAGTAACAGGTCAGCTTTGTCCTGTGTGGGCTGTATCAGATTGCTGTTCACTTCTCTATCTGTTGGATGTGTGACTTTCTGCAAGTTTCTGGTGTATGATGGCCACTTCCTTGCTTGTCACTTTGTATGATATTACATTCTGTATTCGCTGCTTCCATGGCGTGGTCTGCAAACTGCAATCCTTGGCCAAATGTCATGTTTGCTATGTTGTGCTTTGGCCGTCAGCTTGTCTGCACGCTGTAGTTGAATTATTTTTGTTTCACAACCGACTTCCTCAAGTACGGTGGCCACTGCTTTGCATGGCATTATATATGAATAATTTCCTGTTTGTGTTGTGTGCATGTGCGTGGCCACGTGTGTGTGCCGTGTGCATACGCATGTTTGTGTATCTGTGTGCGGGGTAGCGAGGCGGAGAGGGCTGGTATGTATCAGTGTGTTATTGCAGTCTCATGGCTACATACAGTACATCGCACGCGCGCGTGGTCATCATGTTTACCTTCGGGGTTGGGGTGGGGAGGGAACGGAAAAAGAACTGAAATTATCCATATAAAACCGCTCTGTGAGCGATTCTGAAAAACCTTTACTGGTACTGCCCCGTCGTAAAAGTAAGAAATTAGAACTGGCCCATTGTCCCCCCAAATGTGAACTGATCCACCTAAATCGCGAATGACGGGACCCGAACGCACCAGTAGCACGAGGTTCCTACCTGTGGATGCAGATGGGGACGTTGGTCCGGACTATAGGCCATGTACTGTACTAGCGGTAGGTGGTGTTACCCTATGATAATTGCTGTCCTGTGCCCTCCCGACCTCGTGCTACTGGTGCGTTCGGGTCCCGTCATTCGCGATTTAGGTGGATCAGTTCACATTTGGGGGGACAATGGGCCAGTTCTAATTTCTTACTTTTACGACAGGGCAGAACCAGTAAAGGTTTTTCAGAATCGCTCACAGAGCGGTTTTATATGGATAATGGGGACCTTATATGGCCCCCAAGGAATGGGGAATCGCGAAAACTAGACCCAAAAAGTCGATACATGAAGCCAGGGAGGGCCAAGTTTGTCTCCTCTTTTGATGGTTTTGATGACGTCACGTGTGATTAGTATTCAAATTCTCTGCATTTGAAGATCTTAGTTGTTTGAATTTTCCGGTAATGAAGAACGATGTTTGGTCAACATTCCCAAGCTTCACAACTGCGACCATACTCTAAGGAACCTGAAGGACCTCCTGAGGTGCCCCTGGTAGAAGCGCAGCCTGATGAGGGCTAGGAAATTGGAGCGGACGACTCGAGCGGTCGACAAGGAAATAACGATTGGTGTTCCTGCCAGAAATGTGGGGTGATGCAGAGCCGCCCCAACCGGTTTTCGACCGGTTGAAATTGTTGGCGACCGGTTGAAATTGTTGGCGACCGGTTGAAATTGTTGGCGACCGGTTGAAAAGTTACAAATCAGTTCCAACCGCCCGTACTTTTCTGTGGGTGAATGGAGCTGCTTATATCTTTGCTACACTCCAGCACCAAGAAATCTGTTAAATTGCTGTCGAGTGCCATATTTGGGTTGTATTTTGAAAAAAAATTCCGGGGGTACCCCCGCACCCCCCAACTCTTCATTGGACCGTAACCGGTTGGAAATTCGTCCTAGAATATACCCTGCTTCTTACCATGTTAGAACAACTACCACCGAAATGTGGTTGAAAATGGTTAGGCTGCACTGAAAGGTCCTTTGTTTCTGGTAACATGACAGTCGGCCAGCTTTTTTTCCTTTTTTTTGGCGATATGTATGCAAGATGCGGTAGGCATACAAGGTATCATGTACTTAGGCATGTATGCAGGGCATGCGCTAAGGATTAAAATATGCTCTGACACAATGTCCTGCCAGTTGCAAAAATGGCCGGACATGTCCGGACATGCAATTTTCACATCAAATCACACAATGTTCAGTGTAGAATTAATACCATCGAAATGTTATCACGACGATGCATTTCAGAAGCAGCATGATCTTTGAAGGCTGACGTTTTCAGGTTCCTTGAGCCAACGACGAAGGAGTCAGAAAAATTCTTGCTGCTGCGAATTTTATCAACAAAACGGGAACACATCTTACACTTCAAATTTTCGACAACGCTGCGATCTGAGGGACTGCGCTCATAGCTCAGCCAAACAGAAGTTAGTTGAAAGCTCCCTATCAAGTATCATACTCGGCGACCCACTTGTCACAAGTGGTCGTCTTGACCCTCTGGGCTTCTTTCCAAGAGGAGCACCCGCATCAGCGGTGCTTGGCTTTCTCTTGCCAGACGACATCACTAATGACTAGTACTATGAGACAAAGGATTGAAGTGCCTTTTCTTTTTTTGTACTTTGCAAAAAGGTGCGCGGACACTTTGTCCGGATATGTACAAAACATCCGGAAACTGACCGTAAACGGTCGGAAATTGTCCGATGTCCGACCGTTATTTCGCGCCCTGTGTATGTACATGCATGAATGAATGCATACACACACACACACACACACACACACACACACACACACGCACACACAGACACACACACACACACACACACACGCGCACACACACACACACACACACACACACACACACGCACACACAGACACACACACACACACACGCACACACACACACGCACACACACACACACACAGACACACACACACACACACACACGCACACACACACACATACACACACACACACCTCAGACCTGCCCATCGCGGAAGCGATGATAGCGAACAGCTATGTTAGACATAGCAACTTGTGCTGGGATTACACCATTCAACAGCTTGCAAGGCTGATGAATTGACTGCCACTAATTTTAGCCTGGTATCCACCACACAGCTGATTGAAGTGGCTTTTTCTGGCCAGTGAATCCATATTTTTCATTTTTTCATTTCTTTTACACACACACGCCACACCACATACTCCGGCATACACTGGCTGTTGGTAACCACCCAGGAGAATGAAAGAAGAGCTAGGAGAATGAGAAAGAGAAGAAAGACGTGTGCGACCATAATCGTCGGGAATGAACCCGCAACCTCTCAATTGGAAATCGACTGCACATACCACTGCACCATATGGGACACACACACACACACACACACACACACACACACACACACACACACACACACACACACACAAATGGACCGGGGCTCAAAACATCGGTCAGCCGGGGTAATCAAAACACAGGACTAATTGGGTGCGTCCTTAGCACCCTCTCTGTGTACACTAATATAATACCTGCTATGTCCTGATGACTTGTGCTTGTTTGTGGGGTTGGCTGTGCGGATGTATATTCTGTTCACAGGATCACATTGAACACAGCTACGACACGCCATTCTGGCAAATGGACACGTTCCGGCAGCTGATCATCGTCCTCTATATGGTGAGTAGAGACAGACAGGCAGACCGACAGAGACAGAGAGAGGAAGAAACAGAGACAGAGAAGGAGAGAGAGGGGGGGGGGGGGGGTGGATGTGAAAAGCAGCATTCTCCTGCGACGTCTGTGTGCCTTTTGCTTTCAAACCAAGTCTTACTTCAGAAGTAACTGATTCTGTGTGTCTGTGCATTGTGTCATGCCTGTTGCTGCTTGTGATGCTGCTGATGCCCCTGCTGCTGCTGCTTTTCACAGCTCTTTCTTTTCGTTCTAGTCTACTATCTGTTTGAGAATGTGGTCTCTGCATCGCGACTGACGCCTAAACGCATCAAACTCTGGTAAGATCTGCTGTGAAGGAGTCGGTGTTGCTTTCTGTCTCTTTGCTACGCCGTGACCCTTCTTCCCACCAATGCTGCACTGTCCTTGTTCACAGTACAGAGCTTCCCTTGCCAGAAGCCAATCCATATGCGTTTCATTCTGCATAGCTGTTGCTCAAGTTTATGCGCGGGCATGGGCTTATACGCGGGATTCTACGGTACCACAACTACAAGAGCGCCTCGCCAACTCATCCTTTTGTGGTCATGTTGTGGAGTTGGTGTCCTGTCTGTGGGCCATACGACGCATACCGTATACACGCATTGCACCTGTGTGTGGGCCATACGACGCATACCGTAAACACGCATTGCACAATTCCTACTCAGTTTATCTTGGAGCTCCACACAAGAACATGCAAAGTGTGACCTTAGTACTAAGGTCCTCATACCGTACAAACTTGCGCTCTGCCATACTATTTCCCTTCCCTGGCTTTGAAATCAACATGGGGTGCCCCCACCAGACGGGGCACTCTCGCGGTACGGCACTGAAATGCAATGCAGCGTGCGTGTGTGCGTGTGTGCGTGTGTGTGTGTGTGTGTGTGTGCATGCGCCCTCTTCCGATGTACTATTACTCTGTGTGGTGTAGACCAGGTGTGCAGGGGGGGGGGTCAAGTCACACGACTTCACCAGTTATGTGGATTAGACAGTTATCTGGCGCTTGTCTTGATCTATTTCATTCAGAATCAAATCCGCTATCGTTGCTATAAAGAGAAAATTTGTGGGTGCATTTCCAGATTTGCTTCTCTTGTGACGCGCGTATTCACGGTACATGGTACATGTGCATGCACCTGTGTGTGTGTGTGTGTGTGTGTGTGTGTGTGTGTGTGTGTGTGTGTGTGTGTGTGTGTAGGTTACGGGCACAGAGATGCGGGCATGATGCAGTGAAACTCAGGGCCGCAGCCAGCTTGAACTTGAAGAGGGATGGCTTGGAAACGGTTCATTGTTAGCTCCTGGTTTTCTCTTTGTTGGCCTCCTCCACGGGGCGGCCTTGGCCTTCTGGTCAGGGTCGTCCCTGGGTATTGAGTGGCAGTAGGCTTTTCATGCCTTGCAGCCGGTTTCGCTCGCGCGGAAGGACATTCAGTGAGCTGACGACCAGGGCGGGTAATTATTTGTTGTCGTCACCGTCTTCTTGCGTCCTTTCCGCATCCTCCGCAGTGGCGTGGCGAGCCCTCGGATCGATCCCCAGCCTGAAACAATGCAGTGGCGTTCGGCAAAGCAGGTGGATTCCTGGATGAGAAAGGAAACAGGCCACACTCGCAGCAATTTATTCCTGCGCGGTGTATCGCTGGAATTGTGGATTTGTCGTGTTGTTTGGACCTGAGTGGCCAGTCGTCGTGCGGCGATGGTGTAGTGATGTTAGCTTGCTGTGCACACTCCTCGTCGTTTCGTGAAAGTTCGTCTTGTGGAGCCCTTGTGGGACGTTCGGTGCCCACCCTCCAGTTCAAGATTGTGCTTTCCTGGTTTATGAAGGCCGAAGCAGTACGCGTACAGACGTTGAACAGAACATCATGTTCCTTTTTCAGTCGTTGCATGTTATACTTATAGTGGACCTACAGCAGACTGTTCATCTGGTTTGTGATATTTCTTTCCTCTGTTTGTGAGTCCTTTTCCATCAATATGGCAGCTTGTTTTGATTTCCTTTTTTTCAATTCATTTTGCTGTACTTCCTGTTTTGTTTTGCGCCACTGCCCCTCACCTTGCGCTCAGTTCTCTGAGTGGAGGGCGGCGTGACCCCACGGGGTAGCTGATTGATAGTAGTGTGTGTGTGTGTGTGTGTGTGTGTGTGTGTGTGTGTGTGTGTGTGTGTGTGTGTGTGTGTGTGTGTGTGTGTGTGTGTAGGATAACCCTGCTGATGATCGTTCTTGTATGGACATCTTTCCTCTGCAACCTTCTGTTTGCCGCCATCAGCGTGGAGAGTGCCATCAAAGAAGCCGTCCTTGACCTGAGCCAAGAACTGGTATGTCTTCAGTGAGGATTCACTCTTGATATGTATGAACCAGTGTACTGTTATCCATAATCAGCAGTGTCTGCTTTAAGATTTCAAACCAACCGGGTACATGTGTACCTGGTACAACTCTTCCAACCGGGTCAGAGCTGCGTACCTTCAAGTGCGGATACTGCATGTACGTCAGGACCCCAACCGGGTCGCTGATTCGGCTGACCCGGCTCTGGAGCAACCACTGAATTTAAGAGAGAGAAAGAGAGAGAGAGAGAGAGACTTTTCGCACTGTGTACACAACAGATCAATGGCCAAATGCTTTGTTCTTGTTGTTGCTGCTGTTGTTACTGCTGCTGTTGCTGTTGTTTAAAATCTTTATTCTCGCGATAGCCAGTGGCCAGTAAGAGATTGTTGTTGTTGTTGTTGTTGTTGTTGTTGTTGTTGTTGTTGTTGTTGTTGTTGCTGCTGCTGCTGCTGCTGCTGCTGCGGTTGCTGTTGCTGCTGCTGCTGCTGCTGTTGGTGTTGGTGTTGGTGTTTGAAATCTTTTATTCTCGCGATTGGCTGTGGCCAATGTGTTGTTGTTGTTTCAAATCTTTATTCTCACGATAGCCAGTGGCCAATAAGAGATAATAGTGTAAGAAAGGAGAAAGAGTGAGGAAGAATTGGGTGGGCAGGGCCTAGGGGTTAATGACTACTTAAGTGTACGGGCAGGGGTGGTCGCCACACGAGCATACAGAGTTGCGTACTTAAGTGTACGGGCAGGGGTGGTCGCCACACGAGCATACAGAGTTGCGTACTTAAGTGTACGGGCAGGGGTGGTTGCTACACGAGCATACAGAGTTGTGCAACAGCAGGGATACCTCGGATTTGAAGGGAGTACGAGAAGGGATTTCGCGAAGCTGGGTGGGCAGGCAATTAAAGTAATGAAGGGCCTTGTACAGGGGAGAATGGAGACAGCGGTCAGTCCGCGGAGTTGGCAAGTGCCAAGTACGAGAGCGACGTAAATTATACGAAGGTTGCACGTTGCTAGCAGTATGCAGCGAGAGTATATGTGGTGGGGCATAATTGTGGCGCAGAGAATGCGCGAAGAGTATATGTTTAACTTTAAAGCGTGAAAATAATGTTGGCCATTTGATGCGATGCAAAAGGTGGGAGTGTTCTAAGTGTGTGTAAAGGGGAAGGTGGAGACGTATTCTGGCGACTTTCCGCTGGAGTCGTTCTAGCCTGTCAAGGGAAGTGTGGGACAACGGTGTGAGAGCATTGCTCGCATATGAGAATATAGGCAGTATGTATGTCTGATAGATGTGAGATAAAGAATCACTGGTGAGTGTAGACCTTAGTCTAAAAAGAATATTGAAAGACTTGAGTGATTTTTTGACTATGTATTCAACATGCTCCGTCCAACGGAGGTCATGCTGAAAGATTATTCCGAGGTGTTTGTGTTTTTGTGCTACGGTAAGCGGACTATTCCAGAGGGTGATCTGGGGTAGCTGTTCAGGGGGGCGGTTATTGTGGTAGAACGGGAGGATGACTGTTTTCTTTGTGTTAACCAGCAGGTGCCATTTTTTGAAGCCAGTCTCCAGCTGCTGTAACACTCTGTTGTAGGTTTCGGGTGCAGTCTTGAAGAGTTCTCGCTATGGAAATCAGAGCGGTGTCATCTGCAAACTGGCTACAGGTGGTGCTGGGATTCTCACATGCGTGTGGAAGGTCTATGGTGTAGACGAGGAATAGAAGCGGCCCAAGAACAGATCCCTGAGGGATGCCGGCAGGGATCTCGAGGAAAGGCGATAGGTCGCCATCCACCTGGACCCTTTGCCGACGCCCCAACAGGTACTGTCGGAACCACTCCAGGGCGTTGCCCTGGACACCATAGTGGGAGAGTTTTGCTAGAAGGCCTGCATGCCACACACGATCGAAGGCCTTGCTTAAATCGAAAAAGCAGGCATTGACGTGTTTCCCGTTATCTCTCGCAGTGGAGAGGGTATGGACGAGACGGGCGAGCTGCTGCTCAGTGCCGTCTTTCTCGCGGAATCCGGACTGCTGGTTGGGCAGGTGGGGTGTGATGTGCTTGTAGAGGAGTTGATGTGCAATTTTTTCTTGGATTTTTGATGTAGTGCTCAAGAGAGAGATGGGTCTATAATTTGTTGGTTGGGTTGGGTCACCCGGCTTGGGTACTGGAGTAATGGTGGCATCTTTCCACTCCTGTGGGATTTCTCCGGTTTGGAACGATAGATTAAAGAGAGACGATAACGACGGTGCAAGTTCCTTAGCCGCTTCTTTGAGTAGGCGGTTTGGAAGAGAGTCAAACCCGGGGCTTTTGTTGGTATCAACTCCGCGGAGGAGTTTTTCGACCTCAGCTTGGGAAGTCGAGATTTCTTGAAGGGGACTGAGGATGTCAGGGGTGGTGTTGATGGCTGGAGTTTGCTCATGCGCATTGGCCACGGACAGCTTGCTCTGTGAAATGAAGAATTCGTTGAGGGCAGCGGCTTTTTGTGCTGGTGTCGTTGCAGGAGTTGCTTGGCTGACGAGTTCGGGTATGCGTTGTTTTGTAGCTGTAGTTAGGTGCTTCATGAGGCGGTGTAAGGAAGTAGAGGAGGCTGTTGAGTTGTTTACGAAATCCGATTTAGCACGACGCAGGAGGGTGGTGACACGGTTTCTTTGGGCAGTGAACGTGTTCCAGTCGTCAGGCGAGCGTGAGTGAAGGTATATTCTGTGTTTTCTGTGCTTATCCTTGATCTCTTTCAAGAGGCCCTTTGATATCCATGGTCGTGCTGACACGTTCTTCCTGTCCCAAGGGGGGGGGGGGTGAGTGCGAGTAACTTGGCAGTGTTCTTGGGCGATGCTCAGGACATTGTCGCGCCAGGATCGCCAGAAGGTGTCAACTGGGCATGGGTCGTGTTGGTTTGGATGGTGGTTGAGATTTGTGCGTGAAAGGGCTTCTCGAAGAAGGTGGATAGTGCTGTCTGTCCATGACCAGAATGTGGTGCTTCTGGATCGTGGAGGGGAGTTGTTAATTATGGGGGGCAGTTGATTATTGATGTGGCCACTGATAGTAGTGTGATCGGATGCGCCAAACGGTGGAAGTGATTGGATATGAATATCATTGGTGTGGAGTGAGGAGATAACAAGGTCTAGACATGAGAGAGGTGTTTGTCGGTGGATGTAAGTAGGGAATCTGACATGTTGTGTGAGGCCGTATGTGTGTAGCAGAGTTTGTATGTCGTCCCCAAGGCGATCTGTTCTGTCTGTGGTGAGCCACGCACTGTTCTTGGCATTGAAGTCTCCAAGTAGTAGGAGGTCGTCACCTTCGGCTCTGGCGGTTTTGATGCTTCTTTCCAGTTCCGCACAGAAGAGGGTGCCATCGCTACGGGGTGGTCGGTAAATGTTTGCAACAACGAGGGAAAGGTTACCGGTGGAAATTCTCGTCCATATGCATTCTGCTGCTGTCATTGGTATTGTCAGTACCCTTGTGTTGAAACGTTCCGCTATGTACAAGGCAACACCACCACCATAGTCCTGTCTGTCAGCTCTGATCAGTTGTTGTTGTTGTTGTTGTTGTTGTTGTTGTTGTGGTTGTGGTTGTGGCTGTTGTGGCCGTGGTTGTTGTGGCTGTTACCCAGAACTAAAAGTGCAACATTTTTGTTTTGTTTTGTTGTTGTTCAGCCACGTCAAATCTCAACGTCGCATAACTTGGCTCCCTTCACTGCCCTTATTCAGCACTGGACATTGAGGGCATTACCCCCGACCGGACCGGGCATCTTGTCCCTGTGGGGCAGCTTGAGAATTCCGGACATTGTACACTACTTGCAGTTCTACTCTTGGCCATTCGTGGCCGCCCTTATCACACCAATCTTCAAGCTGGTCTTGTCGCTCAAGACTGTGTACAGTGCTGGCGTGACCATATGAGCCGTGTTTGAGCATGCCGAAACCTACACAAAGCCGAGGATTTGAGCGTGTGCTGCATTTGCTATAGCGCCCTACAACCAGCAGGAAGCCTGCGATCACGACGCATTGCAATCTGTGTTCAAGTAGTTGTGCTCGATGCCATTCAAACTGTGTGCTTCGGGCATCACGTGCCCTACACTCCTACAGTACACCCTGGCAGCATCGGATTGCCGGGACAGTGTAAGGTGGTGCACTGACTGACTGGCACGTAACTCACGCTACTTGTCTTGCTCCACACGATCGTGTTTCTACACCAGCCGATGCTTACTCGGTAGACAGTGTGCCATGCACAGCATTCTCCCGTTCAGATGCATGCGTGGGCACTGCGCCAGGCTACTATTGGCCGCGACGATAGCCAGCTAACCGGGGATACATGTGTGTGTGTGTGTGTGCGTGCGTGTGTGTGTGTGTGTGTGTGTGTGTGTGTGTGTGCATACGTGTGCGTGCATGTGTGTGTGTGTCACTCTGCTAACCTTGCTGTATGTGCATCTCTGCATCCGTGGATGTATACAATGTTCAGCATGCTGTATGGCTGCCGTGCTCTATGCTGCTTTTTCACACTACGAGACCAGCACTGCTTCCCACTGTGACCAGCGTGTGCTGAATATGTGCACAGCGCTGCTCACCGCTATGGCCAGTGTGCTGAATGTGTGTGTGCGTGTCACATTGCTCACCGCCAACGGTGGATGCTGTCATTGGCGATTTCCCTGTACGTTGATCTCGGTCTTACGCACGTTGGCCCTGGTTTGATGGAGCCTTGACCCTGGTATGCGGGTGGCTTGTGTAGTGCTTTCGGCGACTACTTTCTTTCTTATGCTGTCCGAGCCCAGGGCTACATTGCTGGTAGGTATGACCAACTGAACTATCATTCTTGTACGTGCCAGACCCAGTACAGTATGGATAGCTATCACACAGCCCAGCACAACACCTGTAAACCAGCCCGGCATAGCAACCAACCCAGCATGACAACCAGCCCGGCATAGCAACCAACCCAGCATGACAACCAACCCCGCATAGCAACCAACCCAGCATGACAACCAGCCCCGCATAGTAACCAGCTCAGCACGGCAACCAGCCCGGCATAGCAACCGGCCCAGCATGCCCCAGTGTGGCAACCAACCAAGCGTTGTACCTATACCACAGCCTGGCACAGTAGCAACCAGCCCAGCACAACACCTCTACAACAGCCCGGCACCGTACGGATAGCTGTCACATAGCCCAGCACAGCCCAGCATGGCAAGCAGCCCAGCACAACACCTATACAACAGACCGGCAAGGCAACCAACCCAGCACAGCACCTGTACCACAGCCTGGCACAGTAGCAACCAGCCCAGCACAACACCTCTACAACAGCCCGGCACCGTACGGATAGCTGTCACATAGCCCAGCACAGCCCAGCATGGCAAGCAGCCCAGCACAACACCTATACAACAGCCCGGCAAGGCAACCAACCCAGCACAGCACCTGTACCACAGCCTGGCACAGTAGCAACCAGCACAGTGCAACACCTATGCCCGGCACCGTACGGATAGCTGTCACATAGCCCAGCACAGCCCAGCACAGCACCTGTACCACAGCCCAGTACAGCACCTGCACCACAGCCCAGTACAGCACCTGCACCACAGCCCGGTATGGCAACCAGCCCGGTATGGCAACCAGCCCAGTGCGATACCTGTACCACAGCCCGGTATGGCAACCAGCCCAGTGCGATACCTGTACCACAGCCCGGTATGGCAACCAGCCCAGTGCGATACCTGTACCACAGCCCAGCACAGTATGCTGCTGAGTGCTGACAGTCAAACATGTGCCGATTGTGTGTGCAGCAACGAATTAATGTACCTGTCGTGGGCGCACATCACACTTGTAGCGCACGAGAAGAGGCAAGTCGGGCACTCAGCGTAGCTTGTCATGCATAGCTTCACTATGCACTACTATGCAGACGTCCCAGATGCAACTATGCGGAAGTCACCGGATGCTACCAAGCAGAAGTCTCAGATACAACTTATACAAGTATGCAGAAGTCCCAGACACAACTAAGCAGAAGTCCCAGACACAACTAAACAGAAGTCCCAGATGCTGCGCACCCAGTCCGCTATGCATGGAGTTTGTGCCTTGGGATTGCGAAGCCAGAGAAAAAAGACCAAACACCCTGTGTAACAAGCATACAATAATTATTGTTATCTCTGTGTGTCTGTTCTGCCATAATTAATTATTGTTTCAACTTTTTTTGCTCCATTACCGCCTTTCTGACTTACTTTACTAGACAAGTATTTTTAGACCGATTTGTTGAAATTCTCCTTCAGAACTATTCAGCCTAAAACGAACTCTCTCTCTCTCTAGCTGTTTCTGTACGCTCACTGTACACTCACTGTGCTACACTCACTGTGCAGTGTCGGCTGTGCTAAACGTGTGGTCTGACTGAGCAGTTGTCGCCAATATTAATAATATTATTTTCTATTGTATTGTGACATGGAGTTGAATAGTGAATGTTCTATCAACTCTGAGCTGTGCTGGGCGATGTGATGTGAGAGCTGCAGAGTTTGAGAAAGTAGCACGTACGTGTGCGCCACGTGTGCTTAGATATTGTTGCTGGGCCGGCTATGTGGATAGGTTTTGCTCCTAGCGACGGCTCACTGTGCTGTGTGTGTATGTATGTGTGTGTATGTACGTGTGTGTATGTACGTGTGTGTATGTATGTGTACGTGCGTGTGTGTACGTGTGTGTGTGTGTGTGTGTGTGTGTGTGTGCCTCTTTGCGCACGCTTTTGCTGAATTCCGTGGAGCTGGTGTTGATTATTCATGCAATTGTCTAGTCCTACACCAGTCAGGCGCACCGTGTTGGTCTAAGACCAAATTTGAGAAACGAATGGTAGCAGGACATGAACTTCTGCTTGGGGATGGGTGGGACACCCTTGCACACATGTTTTACAGCCATTCTGCAGCCCACCGGGAAGGAGTGGCAAAGGCTGTGGACCTAAGTAAGTATGGTACTCTCCATCACATCTCACACCGTTTAGCCACCACACTGGCCACTTGAACTACAGTCCACTTCGCTAATAACGACTGCAGATATGATGACAATTCGCGAATAACGACAGAATTTCCATGCCCAGAGCAAAGTCCCATCTAACTGTAATACATAAATTATAATGAGACTTCGGGTATAAGACCACTTCGCGAATAAGGACACTACTATTTTGATGCCCCGCCGAGTGTCGGTATACGCAAAGTTGACTATGTCTTGTGTGGTGGCGCTCCAGGGCAGGCGCTCTGTAGATCGGTGCAAAGGCCTCACACCACAGCAGGCTGTGTACATTTACTCTATGTTTTCATGTGCCGCGCTTGCGGCTTGATATCAGCTTTTGCTTCTGACAGTCATGATTGTCATTCTACAGTTCTACTTGGTAGATCTCCATGTACAGTATGAACAGATCAGATCAATATCAGATTATTATTCTGTTTTTCACAGCAGGGAGAGGGGATGATGTGTTCACAGATTGTGACTCGCGGGCTGTATCAGGCCATGCATTCATTCACTCGTACCATGCATCCTGCCACTCTTCAAACCAGGCCGGAGGAGTAAACTACTACTCCCTGGTTCAAACGGTCTATGTAGTGCGATGAATAACACGTACGGATAGAAACATTTGGTGGAATATAGAGAATAAAAAACTGTCTTCGAATCTCAACAAACAGGTTTAAAAAAATCGTCGAAACTCAAATTCACACTTGAAGTGCACTCAATGGCAATCAAAGTCTTCGCTGTAATGTGTGGCAACGAGACAATAGCAGCAGCGGCGAGTGTCAGATCGGTAGTCATGGTAACTGTACATATGTATACCGGTAGTATACGCATGCAGTGTAGAGTAACAACAAGGTACTAGTCGAGACTGTCAGATTGGCGGTAGTTTGGTTCTTCTGCCGGTGCCGAATTCTGGCTCTGTGGCGAGACTTGCACGTGGAGTTGGCACCCTTCCAGCAGTTGATGCAGCGGGAGCAAGTTGAGTTGTCGCTGACGACCGTTTCCGGCTTCTGTACACCAATGAATTGGTTGTGTCAGCACACAGCGTTTGTGCGTATACGCAATACACGTGTGCACTCGCACACCCACGCGCACACTCACACACACACACGCACGCACACACACATATACACACACACACAGACACACGTGCGCGCGGGCACACACACAGACGCACACACCAACCACAACAGCATGAATGGGGAAGTAAGACAGGATAGATCTGGTGCAGGATAATGAAATGTATACAGTGACTATACATGGTGATATGATACAGGTGTGTCCAATCCTGTAGGATAAACTGGATGTAGTCTGTTGTTTTTCCATCTGCAACACAACAAACAACTGTAAACGTCTCCTGAGGCTGAAAGCACCACTTTTGTCCGGCAAATGTGTACGGGTGACATTACCAAGATATTTGACGTCATCCGTCCACATTTACCGGACAAATTGTGAATATAGTCCGTTGATTTGCCCGTAATTAGTTCCCTACATGCGCTACAAGAACATCAAATGGTATTTGTACGCACACAGGCGTGTACATGTGTGTGTTTGGGGGGGGGGGGGTGCGTGCGTGCGTGTGTGTGTGTATGTGTGTGTGTGTGTGTGTGTGTGTGTGTGTGTGTGAACGCGTGTGTGTGTGGGGGGGGGGGGGTGTACTAGTATGTGTGTGTGTGTGGGGGGGGGGGGGGGTATGTGTGTGTGTGTGTGTGTGTGTGAGCGTGTGTGTGTGTATGCGTATGTGCATGCATGTGTATGCGTGTGTGTATGCAGGTATGTATGTATGCATGCATGTGTGTGTGTGTGTGTGTGCATGTGTGTGTGTGTGCATGTGTGTGTGTGTGTGTATGTGCGTGTGTGTGTGTGTATGTGTGTATACGTGTGTGTGTATAGGTATACTATGTGCGTGCCCCTTGTCACATCGGGGAGCATCAGGAGAGGGCAAACTCCACGGTGAACACGTACCTGACTTTCCGCTTGTCTGCCGCCGCTGCTGCTGCTGGGGTGCGGGCAAACACCGCCGGGTCTATGCAATGCCTCTCTGCGCGGCGGTGTCGGCGTGATGACGAACGCTTCTCATTCTGCCCATCGGCAACTGCACCATTGCTCTCACTGCCATTGCCTTCCTGGTCCAGTCTTAGCCGATTGGGAATGAACAGCTTGAAGTAGAACTGATCAATGTTTTGGACAGACACACAAAGTGAAATCACACTGTTGGGTTCTTGTTTGCGGCAACCATCCTCCCTAGTCTAAGAAACCCCCTGGTCTTTCCATGCGTTTCCTGGTGATGCTGGCTTTCCACACAGCAGTTTGAGTCCGCCGCTATTGCATCACCTCACGCACACACACGCACACATACGTACACACACACACATACCGGGGTAATGGAAGGACAAAAGGCGCAAATGTGAAGAATTTTCAACTTCAAATAACGCAGTCGCCTAAAGGTCACAGCAGAGGACATGCAGCAGCAAAAGCATCATGAGCGGCAGCAGAGCCAGCAACGGAGGCAGCAGAGCCAGCAACGGAGGCAGCAGCAGCCAAAGCAGCAACAGCACCAGTGTCGGCAGTGATGGCAGCAGCAGCCAAAGCAGTACATGTACAATGCAACCAACCATGGCCTGTGATGGTGGCTGTAGTGATGTCAGCAGCAGCTGCCAGTCTTGCACGCCAAGATGAGCCATGAGCAGACGGTAGTAGTGGTGGAAGGATGTGGCAATGCGGTGCATGTTCCCATTCATCTCAACCAACCATACTGAACCTGCATACGACAACAGAGCAATTGAGCAATACAACAAGTCAAGCATAGAAACATAATCAAAGTCAAATGCCTCTGGACCTAAAGGGGAAGTATACCCTAAAATCAAATTTTCACCAGTTGTAGTCTTTGGGGTGAAGAGTGGAATGGTCTTGGTCCGAGGAAGCTGAGACGCTCCCTTCCTCCTTTATCCCCAATTGAACTCGCGCACTTCCACCGAAACTGGGTGATTGCGCCCTACTAGATGGGGATTTGTATGCAAAATGTCACTAAAAGCGCCGTTTCGCTCTCATAAAAGCACGGGTGACCGCGATTGGTCCATATGTTGTAGTCTTTTGGACCCTGAGTCGACTGGTTTTGGTCCAAAAAGGCAGCGATGCAGCATTCGGCCCTTATTCCCAATCAAACACAGTTAAGTAAGTGGTCACATGCTCATGCGTACACCAGTCGCCTGGTCACCGTGCACGCAGGCTACACCTTTCACACCAAGGTTCAGCTCGAGTGACAGGAACGCTGTAAAAGTTGTAGCCTGCAGGCATGGTGGCCAGGTGACTGGTGTACGCATGAGCACGTGACCGTTTACTTACTCGTGTTCGATTGGGAATAAGGGCCGAACGCTGTTGTAACTTACACTTAGTTACTGCATGCTTGTGGCACACGACAGTCACAAGCAACACGAGGAATAATTATTGTTGGTAGTTATCAAAACGAAGGTAAGCAAGAGAATGACCCGAGCATGCCCAGCGCAACCAGGAAAGGGCCAGCAGCCATGATGAGAAATACCGTAGACATGCGCGAATGGAGAAGATTGTACGAAGCGAAAGGAGATAGGATCGTACGAAGAGGCAGCGAGAGAGCAGCATGCAGCGACGGCAATACGAAGTGAATGCAATCTATAACAAACGCTGCATCGCAGCCTTTGCAGACCAAAACCAGTCGACTCAGCGTCCGAAAGACTACAACATATGGACCAATCGCGGTCTTCCGTGTTTTTATAAGAACGAAACGGCGCTTTTAGTGACATTTCGCATACAAATCCCATCTAGTAGGGTGCAGTCACCTAGTTTCGGTGGAAGTGCACGAGTTTGATTGGGAATAAAGGAGGACGGGGCGTCTCAGCTTCCTCGGACCAAGACCATTCGACTCGGCACCCCGAAGACTACAACTGGTGAAAAACACATGGGGACGAGTTATGGAGCAACTATCCACGGCTGAAACAAGACAATAAGTACCGTAAAAGTCCGTAAATAAGTACGTATTTACTTTCGAATTTAGTGACCACACCCGTACTAACTTTCGGGCGGGTACTGACTTTCGGGCACGAACTAACTTTCGGACCTGACTTGTGTGTAGTGGAGAAGTCATTTTCATGTCGATGTACATGCTACGTGCTGCATGTGCACACCGTACCGGTACTTATTTCGGGCAGTATGTTTATCGGGCTCGACTTGACTTCAACAGACAGAGCCAAAAGAATGAAAGAGGGTATTTCTTTCGGGCAGGTACTTATTTACGGACTTTTACGGTAGTCAGTTTTGTGCCCTGTTGTCACACTTTCTGACTGCTTATTATCTTATTACAGTCGTCGGTAGTTGCTTCATAACTCGTTCACATATGTTTTTCTTTTATTTTACGCCTCCGTACTTCCCAGCCTTAAATGTCCATAAAGACAAAATAGTTGAAAATGCAATACAATGTGGTCCTGCAAGACTGGTGTGGATTGCGTCGGTGCATACACTACTCAGGGCCGGCGCCACTGGTACGGCCGGTACGGCCATGGCCGTACCAAAAAAAAAAAAAAAAAAACTTCCCAAAAAGTCGGTCCACGATGTGGCCGTGGAACGTCCAAAACCGGGGAGAAAAAGTTTCGATGTATGATTTTGTACAGGGAGTCGCCCAGAGTGCAGGATTTGCAGTCTAAATTCAAAAAAAATTCTGGGGGAGGACCCCCACACCCCCTTAAAGATGGCCCTTCGGCCGCACCGCTCTGCGGAAGCTGCCTCCGGCCCTGCTACTTTCGAAATTGGATACGCTTCCAATTTCTCTTCACAATACAATACTTTTTGCACGGCTAGCGTGAAAGCGAACCAGGCTGCCAAACTACCGACCACAAGGACGAAGATTATTGTGTGTGTGTGTGTATGTGTTTGTTTGTGTGTGTGTGTGTGTGTGTGTGTGTGTGTGTGTGTGTGTGTGTGTGTGTTGTGTGTGTTTGCGCTCGCGTGCGTGTATACGAGTGCACGCGTGTGCAGGTGTGCAGCTCGTGTATAGCTAGCGTAGTCCAGTCACCACACCAGCAAAAGTCATAGCCATAGTACTACATAATCTAAATAGGCAGACTGAAGCCTATGAGTTTGCCGGTTGTACATAGTCACAACACCACAGATGTGATCTGGTACATAGTCACCACACCACAGATGTGATCTGGTACAGGGTCACCACACCACACATGTGCTCTGGTACATAGTCTAAGTCACCACACCACAGATGTGATCTGGTACATAGTCACCACACCGCAGATGTGATCTGGTACATAGTCACCACACCACAGATGTGATCTGGTACACATGTTCACCATCCTACAGAAAAGGCGAGGAGGGGTTAAACCTCCTAGCAACAATCACCGAGCCACACATTAGCCACACATCAGCCTCACCGCGGATTGAGTTAGTCTGCCAGCTACTGGTAACCAGGCAACAGTCGATGATCACATGACCAAGACGATTGATCTCATCCAGGACAAGCCATTGCAGACTGGCGTGTCCGGTGGTGGCCATGGCATCATCTGCAGACAGACATAACAAACGTGTTGTGGAATTACATTATACCATACGGCATGTACACAGGGGCATAGCTGATCCCCCTCTCAGGGGGGGGGGGGGGGGGGGGGTGCACGGCAGCCATATCATATGTGTAGCCTAAGATGGTTGTGTCATCATTGTCATTATGTACATTCTGAAACTAGGTCAAACATTTTTGGGGGGGGGGGGAGGGGGTGTGCACGTGTCCCCCTTGCCCCATGCAGGCTACCCGCCTGTCTCCAGACCATTCACAGGGGCGTCTCACATGCTATGGTCACTACGGCATTGACCGCAGCACCCGTTGTCCCAGATACCCCGTCAAACGAAAGGTACTGATTTTGGCTATAAATTAAATTTCGAAACATTTCAGAGGAGCCACGCAGCCTGACGAGTGAAGTGTAGATCAGGTGGCTGACGGCACTACCCTAAAATACCTTCCAACGCCCCTGATTCCTCTAAAACCATGCCACCCTAAGCTTTAGGTTTAATCCAAATTCGGATGCTTCAATACAAAAATTTGTTGGTTACAGCTGCAGTAAAATCATGAAATGCACTCTACCTGCCAAGTAGTGACGATGGCTCTTCCTGGTTGTTGCCAACTTGGTTGCCGCCAACTGCTGCGGAGTGACGTCTTTCAGCAGGTGCCGTACAATGCCATCAATTCTCTTCTGACACGGCCGTTGCAGGCATTCCCGGGGCATATGTTGATCGACCCAGGACTGCTCCCCGGAAGCCAGACAACAACGTAGGGCTAAGCCACGCAGTGACCACTCTCCAGGCAGGAATCTTCTTGCCAACGTGCCTTCTTCTTCCTCCTGATAAGACATTTGTGGATGTGCCGATGACTCGGCGCAATTATCCGCTAAATCCTGGTCCTGTTGTATAGCTGTAGCCGATGGATCATGCCTGTGCCCGTAGGATGTCTCAAAACTGGTATCAGTAGTGTTTCCACTGTGCGACTGGGGTGATGCAGGTGGTGATTTCCCGGCAGGCCTGGGAGGTCGGTGCATTGGTGTGATCTGTGATAGCGGTGGTATGCACACGTGGCCAACGTCTTGTCGTTCTGGCAGCAAGTAAATCAGAGAGAAGGCGAATGGGAGAGGGTATTTGTGTGTGTGTGTGTGTGTGTGTGTGTGTGTGTGTGTGTGTGTGTGTGTGTGTGTGTGTGTGTGCGTGCGTGTGTGTATGATGTCGTGTTTTTGTGTGTGTGTATGTGTGTGTGTGTTAGAAGAGAGAGGGTATTCGGGTGTGTGCTAAAAGGGAGAGGGCGGGAGATAAGGAGAGAGAGAGAGAAAACTTCAAGTTAAAAGAGCATGCCCTGGAACTTCCGTTTTGTTTGGAAAGCCTTGCCTTAGAGACCGTAATTTTAGTCCATATTTTCTTCTTTTCCTTTTCTTTTCGACTTCTTACTCTTTTCCTTGTTGGCCGTGGTTGGCTATAAAAAAAAACCCTGCAGTCGCAACGCAAAGTGGTCATTGGCTGCCACAGCCATGTATTGCTTGGAATAAAACTAAAACTAAGATCAAAATTAAAGAGCTAGCTGTCTGGAGATTGAGCACTGCCATAGAGAAAGCGAAAATAAGCAAGCTCTAAGTCTGTACCCTTGCTAAGAATCGGCACACTCCATTGCAGTCATTCGGACATTACTCTGTCTCAACATTCCCGTGACGCTAAATGATCCCTGGACTACAAAAATCTCCCTTTGTAAAAGTCTGTATCCACGGAGTATAAGCCCATTGCGCATTGTATGGAAGGTACGCGTATGAGTAATGCATGCGAGTAGTAAGTACGCTGCATTGTTCAGCACCCCACACGACCATGCCCAGGTGGCTGTGTGGGGTATTTATGGTAGAAATTACGTCATTGTGCAATGGGCCTATTCATGCATGGCCCGAGTATAGCAGCTACCAGTAGCCATCTTAGATCTAAGGCTTACCTTTGAAGATCAGTGCCTGCCATCGAATGTCCAGCCCGTCTGCACTTCGGTAGAATGCAGCGAGCGCAGGCGGTAGATGTATTCCGTGCTCCTGAGAGCAGATCGGGGCAGAGCAATGAATGCATCGTCTCAATAACAAAAGTCCATCGAAAGCATCCATTTTAACCTTACATGTAGGAGACTGTTCACCCTACTTGGTGGTGTACATGTACTGTGCGCCTGAGTGCTAGTGGAGTTAACCTGTACCTGTCACATGTCAGTGTTGTGTATACGCGGCACACCAAGCGCGCACCGAACGGCCAACGTCGCGTACACATGGCGCACGCTTGAGGACAGGCAGCACGTGCCAGGAGTCCCAGGACTGGCACTGCGATCGCGTAAGGTATGGCAAGGTAAGGCCACACCAATTTAATTCTATGTTTCGCGTCGGACATTCTCTGGAAAAGGCGAGCGGATGGGCGGACAAAAAAACAAAACCAGAGGAAAAAGCAAAACTCCATTCTACATGTACATGTATGTGTACTGAGCCATGGTGCACACAGAATAGCACTACTAAACTGTCACTTATATCCAAAACGACAACAAGTCGCCACATGACAGCTGGCACGCTGGGCTGGAGCGATACATGAGATTTCATGGATAGCTCCTTCTGCACTTTGATGTGAGTAGAGTGAATTCCATCACGATCTTGGAAAATCTCGAAGTTCTTGACACCTGGAATCTCCGCTCGCTTGGTGAGCAGGCCCTACCGTGCGGTTTGGAGAAATAGAAAATTTCATCGCTCGCACCTTCTACGCACCATCACCTGGAATGCAAGATTATCGAGAAACTGATAACCTCTGATTTGCCATACTGGCTAGAGAATGTTCGCCAGAACAACCATTGATTGCCTCGTCTCGGGGTTTTTTTTTCTTGTCAAGGATTCGAAATGGTACGCGCGCGGTGACGCGGAACATAGAAATAACTTGGTATGGCCTAAGCTTCCACTCGCAAAAAAATTGAGCATTTCCGAGCTAGATTCAGTGAAATGGCTGGGCGAAGGAGACCGATTTTGTCTCAGATCTGGAACTGGACTCGCGTTTGGAGCGCGTTGTGGCGGACAATGAGTAGTGCTCTTGGAGAGTTTGGGCTCTTGTATTTCTCTCATCAAGAGCTTTCCAACGAGCCCAAGAAAAAAGCGGTGAAGCAGAACCAAAGTTATTTTGGAAATGGAGTGCACATTTTCAGGCAAGAAACTCCGTGCTGTCCTTCAGCGTTGAGTGGGAAATTTGAAAACGTCAGCTTTCAAAGACATGTGTGGCAAAATGGCATTTCCGACCAATTGAAGAAGTGTCAGGACATTATATCAGAACGACCATGATTTCTTATCGCATGGCCTGTCTATACATGTACAGTAAATATCGGATATAACGTGCCCCTTTGATTTTCGAAAATGTATCACTATATCCGGTGCATCACTATAGCCGATTTGCATGTTTGACCGACACATGGCACATGACTGCACATGAAATGATGCGTACACGCTGGAAAAAGCATGCTGAAAGTGCATGCATGCTCCGCGGACTGTGTACCGGTGCATGACACAGAGCAGTGCATGGCAGTGCAGTACGAGTACAGACTGTACATGTACTAGAACTTCGATACATCATGTGGCATGGCTGCTTCTTCAGCGTGTTCTCCAAAAAAAGCCTGAGCTGGATCCGTGCTCACGTAGATCGTAGATCTACTCGGTGTCCAACGAGTTGCGTAGAGCCAGAAATAGACATGAGTGGCTGTGTACGTGAGTTGGCAACATCATCGTGAGAGGCAACACAGCCAGAAACGGACAAGAGCATGCAGAAAGATCACTCTTGATCATTATATGCGATATTTTCCTGTACATTTGATATGGTTTGCTTCCTGAAGGCCATCACAATAAGCGATATATCGGTATAGCCGATAATAGTGTATATAGTGATATTTTAGCTGTATTTTTTCAGATTTGATTTTGATTTTGACGTGTTCTATCACTATAACCGGTATATCATTATATCCGGTCACTTTATAAACGATACTTACTGTACTTCTATAGGAACCAGTGTCATGACTCATCGCGGCCTGCCACCAGTGATCACATGGATTCCAACTCCACAAGCATTTGCTTTGAAATCACTGGATTAGCAGGGATGCACGTTCGACTCGTGATCCACAGCAGTTTGATACATGACTCGAAAATGTGTCCAGTCAATACAGGATTCCGCTTGGTACAGGGTCTGGCAAACATAGGGTTTAGCTGTATATCCAACTGGTACACATACTTTTTTAACCCTTTGTGTACGGGCAGTCCACAAGAATCAAACTGTCTCACCTTTTCCCACGCTTGAATATCTTGTGATGACAGTCCTGGTTGACAGTCAGCGCGTGTCACACTCACTCCTTGCGATGACAAGTTGCCTAGCACACATGAGGTTGTACGTACATTGTACATGATAATCCGATAATATACAACACACACTCTCTAAAATTCATCTCAGGAATTCCGAAATTCGAGAAGAAAAAAATTATGCGGATGCAAGGCATTCAGGGGTTCTTTTTTTCTCTTTAAATTTGGAAAACTATTGATTGGCATAAAAAGTGCTAACTTGCATGCAGTAAGTATGCATACTCCTATTTCCAGACAGTGCTCGGTCCCAACCTGCCCGGATCTGGTGAGTTTTACTGTAATAAAAAGGGGACAATCCAGGTAAAAATTGAACAGGGTCCAGCTATGACCAACAGCACCCTGTGCCTGAGCCAGAATCCCGGAACAGGATTTTGTTCACTGCCGAGTCAGAGGCCCTGCATCTTGGAGTGTGTTTCTCTGCTAATATAACCTGTTGATGACATTACTGGGGTAGTGCCTATGCACAAATTATATGACTTTAGATGGGTCAGAAAGGTGCCTGGTAGACAGACATGCCCGGATTAGGGACGTCCGGATCGGGGCAGTTTTAAAATGTACTGACTTCGAAGTAAATAATCGACGCGGAGACAACAATTTAAAAATAGCAATAAAGAGAACAAATTCTGCTGTGATCGCCACACCACAACGAAGTCATGAAAGTTTTCCAAAATCAATTTCCCTGTCACATTCATCAGTGGAATGTCGTGACTGAAGAGTATCTGTGCTGAACAATGATTACTGATACTCTACTTCGAAGTACAGTTTTTTTTAATGCAGATCACTAGTGTAGTACAGTCATGTTGGTGTGCCTCTTGACCACATTGTGATGATTTCTGATGATGGTCACAGGAAGATGACATTTGAATCCGTGCATATTATTGTTGCTCTGATGCCAGGGTATGACGGTGCGCGCTCTCTTTTTATCGTTATGTTGGCAACGTGGTTAGAGTATTGGCCTTCGACACATTAGGCTGCCGAGTTTCATTCCCGGTTCAAGCGAAGCCGGTTATTTCCACATCCAGGAAGTCCATCTGAGATCGGGTACTCGACTTCGGTCGGGGAGGCAAAGGCGACCGGCGAGGGGTGCCCCCCCCCCCCCCCACCACTACCACACACACATCACCACCTTACAGTAGCAAGGTACTGCACGCCGGAGTGCACCTAGAGTGTGGCGGCTACAGCAAGGGCGTAGCTCGCACGTATGTGCCAGTGCACAACTGTGGTATGGTGATTACATGTACCGTAATGTCGCGTGCATAAGCCGGATTTGTGCATAAGCCTGTCTCGTGTAGAAGCATGAAATCTGCAACAGCTTTTCGCGTACAAGCCTGTCGCATGAATAAGCCGGGCCAGTACACGAGACGCGCCACGTGTCGCGTGCGTAAGCCGGGCTACTACGCAAGACTGGTGAGCGCGCCTTTTACATGTTCATGTTTGCATGGTACCGTACACTTGCACACGCGGAAAACGTGGGAAGATGCGGAAATCAACACCAGCTGCGCTCGACGGCCATGCAGCACTCTTCAAGCTTCAAACTTACCTTTCCCATGGCATTTTCCCGTTGGAAAATGTTGGTTTTGACGTCCAAAAGTCAGCAGTTTGCGCATACAAGCCTGGTCATTGAGTGGTGCTTGTCATATAAGCCTGTCTCGTGTATAAGCCTGTCTTGTGTACAAGCCTGACTCCATCACCGGCTTATAGGCATATAAGCCCCGGCTAATGCACGCGACATTACGGTATATGTATGTGCCAGTGCACAACTGTGGTATGGTAGTCATGTACCGCCGACAACCACACCGTGAGCCGCCATTTTGCCTATTTTGACTATGCAGTACCTATGGCGGCCATTTGCTGTGGTGTCTGGACTACTAGTACTGCCACTGATGACTATACACGAGCTACACGTCTGTACAGTTTCCAAAACTGTCGGCTTGAGCTCAGACCTTTCCGTCACAACTCCCGAAGTATTCTCTCTGAGTGTGACTGTTCATGTTTTCAACTTTGTCTGGAATTTTCTTGCCGCCCTGACTCCACTTCAGTAAATGCAGTGATTTTCAGTCTGGTTCAAGTCTAGAATAATTCTAAAATTCCTCACCTAAATAACTCAGGGCACCCAATGACATGTCGGCCACTCGTTTCTCAGCAGCTGAAGTAGCGCCGGCAGTAGCAGCATTCGCGGCAGCAGTAGCTGCTAGTGTCCCTGATTTGCTACTTCCACTAAGCATGACTAATTGGCACGACAGATTATTGATAGGGAGCTACAAGCTTCGTGGCTTTTAGGACTGGCGTCGTTCCGAAGCTGGCGGGCACCGTCCCGGTCCACTGCACCGGCGATGCTGCACAATTGAGCATACCACAGTGCACTAGTAATAGCAAGAGTACATCTTGCGGCTAGTGCTACAATAGTAGCAGCGAAACGGGTTTTATGGTTCTTGTTGAGAAACCAATCCACATAATTGTTGGTTTGACAGCAATCTATCTGGTGCCAGTACTGTGCTATCAAGCTGTCAAGAGTAGAATGATGATCTTGCCGTCTTGCACTTTTTATCTTGCCTTGGCTTGCAGTCTTGGACTTGGTGTACAGACAGTCCATTCAGAAAAAAATGAACTTCTAGCTTTTGGCCATAAATGGGTCAAATTTCGAGTTTTTTTAGAATATTTTTGGCAATCCCCTATGGAATCCTCTGCTATGTTTCTGAAGTTTTTTTGTCCAAAAAGCAAGCCATAGCAAGAATAGGATTTCGGCCAGGTTTTGCCCCAAAAGCACAGAATTGGGAAAACCATCAAAATCCAGGCCGTTTGACCCCGCCTGGCAACAGTGCATTCTGCGGTTCGAACCCCAGTTCAGGCACCCTTTTTGGACCCTTTTTCAAATTTCAAAGTTCGCAGCATGCACTGCACTGTAGCTGTGTACGATGAAATCACGAAAAACCGCCAAATACGGGAGCTCGCCAGAGCCAGAGCCCATCTTTTTATGAATGGACTGACTCTAGTGTTGGAGTATGAGTAGTAAAAATGGTATTTTACTACACTGATTGGTATTTTTACTACTCCGGCTCCCGAGTCGGAGTTGTGCCTCACTTACTTTCACTTGTGGCTGTGCTGGAGTCGGTATTTTTACTGCTGCAGTATGAATCCCGCGGGCCCGGTACGCGAAAATCGAATGGAGGCATTGGCTAATATTGGAGGGTGGGTGGTGTGAATCGTGATGTCATGATGTTGGTTGAGCAATCGAATCATTTTCGTTCTATGTAACCAATTTTGATTCCTGGATATTTTCTAGAAGAATTGAATCACATTGAGGAGAACAGACGAAAGTTTAGCTCAAACGAAAGGAGAGCAGCAGACTTGGAATCCTCCGTTAGTTTGTAACTTTCTGCACGGTTTGTCGAGATGTCTTTGGGGACAATGCGTCAGCTGGGTACTCAGGTGAGCGTTTTTTAGTTTGCCAGGCGTCAGATGGAATTTGAGTTCATCAACTTCCTAACACTGAGCACTTTTCATATGCAAGGCCTCCGCTAATCATGTGTCCTACTTTGCTCCAACCCGAAACAGCACGATGATGAGAGAGTGCATGGCAATTACTGTTGTTTAGGTTTCCCATTTCAAAGCACCTCAGTTCACTGTCACGTGCCACTCCTAGGGATTCTGGTGCTGCATTTCTCCATGGCCTGCATCATGTAAATTTGTATTCTATCAGTGTGCGGACAAAATAAGTCATTCGGAAAAGCATGGAAATTATTCCCGGCAGAAATTCTTGAATTATCTCGCCAAGCATTGTTGCTTTTCATTCGCTGTTATTGCGTAGTGCAGTTGCACGATTGCACTGTTTGCCCAGAGATTTCTGCAGGATGATCATAAGATTGGGAATAACGTATTACATTTTTGAATTTGAATGGTCCAGTTATTCGCTACGTGGAGTGGATGTTAATGGCTTTACCGTGCACACTGATTTGGCGGAATGTGCTCCGGCCATAGTCCAAAGCAAAAATTATCTGAATGTCTTCGGTTGATGTGAAACCTTGCAGAGAAGCACGGATCGAATAGAAGCAGGAAGGTATGGGGGGTACAACTTTTTAGGGGTAATTTTGACTACATTTTGACTGCATTTTTCCACGGACCTTTCATATAACTTTTTCAAATGTTGTTCAAAAGTAAAAATAAACTATAGGAGGCTAGAGAAGGCTCTTCTCCAGAGATTCACCCGAAAACATTTTCGAATTTCATCTCCTCCTTGCCGATAAACTCAAAAATGCAGTCAAATTTTTCCCGAAAAAGTTGTACCCCCCCCCCCCCCCCGGCCACCTTAATGTGTTAAAAACACAAACGCCTTCACAAAGATGTGCATGGTGTAGGGGCATTCCCAACTGCCAATGCTTCCCACCTTGTGTGTGTGTGTGTGTGTGTGTGTGTGTGTGTGTGCCCATATGGTGCAGTGGTATGTGCAGCGATTTCCAATCGATAGATTGCGGGTTCGATTCCCGACGATTATGGTCACACACGTCTTTCTTCTCTTTCTCAGACTCTTCCTGACTTTTCTTTCATTCTCCTGGGTGGTTACCAACAGCCAGTGCATGCCGGAGTATGTGGTGTGATGTGTGTGCGGGGAAAAAAAAATGAAAAAAGACCAAAAATAGGGATTCACTGGCCAGAAAATGTCACTCCAAATAGCTGTATGGTGTAGACCAGGCTGAATAGTGACGGTCAATTCTTCAGCCTTGCAAGCTGTTGAATTGTGTAATCCCAGCACAAGTTGCTATGGCTTCTGCCGTAGCATTGCTATCATCGCCTCCGGCGATGGGCGTCAAAGGTCAGGTCAGGTGGAAGGAAACCTTGTCAGTAGGGGTGAAGAAGAGAAAACAACTATTTTTTGTGACCATAATTATTATGCTCTGGGAATGGTTTCTTTAATAGAACTTTTAAACTCGACTGCAAGTGTGTTGAGTTTTCCCAGATTGCATACTGTCCCCATTCTCTCAGCTTTATTCCCGTAGCTATGCAGAAGACGTTACTTCAGTAACGTCTGGCGCTAGCCAGGGTCCACACAGCTTTAATTCCCGTAGCTATGCAGAAGACGTTACTTCAGTAACGTCTGGCGCTAGCCAGGGTCCACACAGTTTTAATTTGGTGTTTGTTTGTTTGTTTGTTTGTTTATTTGTTTGTTTGTTTGTTTGTGTCACGCCTCGCGTTATCCCGTATCTGTCCCGTACTGTACCGTACCAGCAAAGACAGCTGGCCACAATATTTTTGTTTGTTTGTGCCATCGATATGCCTAGCGCTATCCCGTACCTGTCCCGTACCATCAAGAGTACGGTACCATCAAGAGAATGAGTATATATGCGAAGTGTATCGGGGGAATGCATTCAGTGCAGTAACATTTTCTGTGGGTTTGTGTGCGAGGCCGAGATCCCACTAGCAGGCTGGCTGGGCCGCCTGTCGACCAGCCCGGGAATCGCATGTAGGCCGATAGCATAATAATTATAACGTATATACAGTCATTTAGATCTATAGCAGGGAGTCATATTATGTAAACGACTCCCTGCTGTATGGGGAGATTTTCTGAAGAAAAAAACGAAGTAGGGAGACGAGTAAATGCAATCAGAATGGATGTTAGTTGCCGTCAGTATAATAATAATAATAATAATAAAAGGGTTTGCTCCCCACACCGGAGCTCGCGCTGTGTGTGGGGAGCAAACCCTTTTCTTACAAATCATCGCCGAGGTCGCAACCACTACTTAATAATAATAATAATAATAATAAGAATAAGAAGAAGAAGAAGAACGCCCGTGATCGGCAGAGTCAGCGCCGGTCCCAGGAAACGTCAGGACAGACATCCCGTCGACTCCAGAACGCTCGTGATCGGCAAAGTCAGCGCCGGTCCCATAGCTATGCAAAAGACGTTACTTGTACTTCAGTATCTCATTGAAACGTTTTTGCAATACAATGATGTAGCTAATCAAAGGAAAAAGCATTTCCATCAGTTCTAACAACATGCACGATGAGCTAGGCAACAAAGCATAGCGCAGGGCCCTGAGCTTCCAAGCTCTCTCGTTTGGTATTTGTGTGTTTGTTTGTTTGTGTCACGCCTGGCGCTATCCCGTATCTGACGGCAAAAAATCATAGGGATGTTATAAATTTTTCAATTCTCCTATTTTTTTTTCAGGCATATCCTGGGATTCGAACCCGCACTATCGCCCTACATGCATTCCCCCATACACTTTGCATTCATACCCATTCTTCCAAGTTGCTTCACGTTATGATCTTGCGTTTGAAAGCCCTATTTGAATATTGCGGGCATATGTGGCCAGCTGTGTTTGATGGTACGGTACGGAAGACGGTGTCGTATTACCCTCGATCGTACCTGTCCCGTACCTCTCCCTACCGTACCGTACCATCAAAGACGGCTGGCCACAATGCATATTCAAATAGGGCTTTCAAATGCAAGATCATAATGTGAAGCAACTTGGAAGAATTAGTATGTATGCGAAGTGTATCGGGGGATGCATGCAGGGCGCGATATAGCGGGTTCGAATCCCAGGTTATGTCTTAAAAAAAGGAATTTTTTAAAGAATTTATAACATCCCTATGCTTTTTTTTGTCTAGGTCATCAAGGCAAAAAAGCATAGCGTAGGGCCCTGAGCTTCCAAGCTCTCTCGTTTCCGTGGAGTGCTATACTAGCACTTGGCGTGGCCAGATGCAACATGTGTGTGTGTGTGTGTGTGTGTGTGTGTGTGTGTGTGTGTGTGTGCGTGTACGTGCGTGTGTATGCGCGCGCGTGCGTGTGTGTGTATGTGTATGCGTTGGTGTGTATGTGTATGCACATGGGTCCATGTGTTTACATCCTCCTCTGCGCTGCACAGGGGCACGGTACGTTGCTGCGGTCAGTTATGGCTGCTCATCGCCAGCCCACCATGGCGACCCCTGCCAGTCTCGTACAGTACCGTTTGGCGTCGGGAAGGTCCCGTCTTCCTGTCAACACGGTAAGTTTACGATGTGGATATGCACAGTGTGTGTGTGTGTGTGCGTGCGTGCATGCGTGCGTGCGTGTGTGTGTGTGTGTGTGTGTGTGTGTGTGTGTGTGTGAGGGTCCTGTTGAATGGTGTAATCCCAGCACAAGTTGCTATGTCTAACATAGCTGTTCGCTATCATTGCTTCTGCGATGGGCAGGTCTGAGGTCTGAGGTGAGGGTCCCATATGGTGCAGTGGTATGTGCAGTCGATTTCCAATCGAGAGTTTGCGGGTTCAATTCCCGACGATTATGGTCGCACACGTCTTTCTTCTCTTTCTCATTCTCCTAGCTCTTCTTTCATTCTCCTGGGTGGTTACGAACAGCCAGTGTATGCCGGAGTATGTGGTGTGGCGTGTGTGTGTCGATAAAGAAAAAAAGAAGTAAAGAAATGAAAAAATGAAAAACAGGGATTCACTGGCCAGAAAAAGCCACTTCATTCAGCTGTGTGCATGTGGTGGATACCAGGCTAAAATTAGTGGCGGTCAATTCATCAGCCTTGCAAGCTGTTGAATGGTGTAATCCCAGCACAAGTTGCCTAACATAGCTGTTCGCTATCATTGCTCCTGCGATGGGCAGGTCTGAGGTGTGTGTGTGTGTGTGTGTGTGTGCGTGTGTGTGTGTACGTTTGTGTGTGTGTGTGTGTGTGCGCGCGCGCGCGCGCATATGTGTGTGCGCGTGTGTGCATGTTTGTTGCGTGTGATCTACTACTGTAAAACGACAAACTTTCGCGGCGGCTAAATTTAGCGTTTTGGCAAACTGGACCAGTTAGCGGCGATTAATTTTAGCGATTTTTACCTTCCACTGAAAATGTTCAAGTGTTTTATTTTACGAAGCCTCGGAGTGCTGGGACGCAGAGTGCATGAAGAATGAGAGAAGAAATCAAAGAATGAAAGAAGGAATCAAAGAATGTAAGAGGGAATCAAGGAATCAAAGATAATCATAAGGTGAGTACTAGTACTGGGAGAAAGGATGGTGTTTTCGAAGAGGGATCATCAGAAGACTTTCTCTTCGAACTGCTGAGCCACTGCGATTATTATGGTGATAACATTCAGAAGACTTCTTGGAGCAGTACAACACTAAAATCTACGCAACAGCAAGCTGGCCAAACACTCCAACAAGTTCAACAACACTTTCCACAACACTGAGACATTCTCCAGTCGACCGTTTTATTCTCTTCTGGTTCAAGTCGCCGTACTCCAACGACAACTAGCAAGACTAGTGTTGGTACGTAACTAATTACTTGCAACAGCTGCGCGCTTTGGACTGTAGCCGTGCAAGCATCGATCAGCGCTGTGAATGTACAGACAGTCCTGAGTCTGTGCAGTGCATGTACAGACATCGACAGTGCACGATCGATCATCCACACATCGCGTAGTACATGATTGTACAAATTTCATATTCGCGTGTCAAACTTTCGCGATTCGGCCCTGCTCGCGAAAGTCGCGAAAGTTAATCGCTCGCGAAAGGTTGTCGTACACTAAAAAAATTCACGGTTCGCGTGAGACTCGGTTTCTCTATATAGAGGCCGAGTTTTCCGCATCCGTAGGAACGCCACCACCCTTCAAGGGTCAAGGCGCAGATGCAGCTCCTAAAGCGGTGGGAGGTGAGTGGATCAGCTCACCAGCATGTGGTCAAAGATCGAAAATCCCATTCACTGCATTGCCATCAAGGTGCACTACAATTGTAGACCCTCCTTATGCGGACCCCTCTCTAAACCCGGCACCTTTCTGTGTGTGTGTGTGTGTGTGTGTGTGTGTGTGTGTGTGTGTGTGCGTGTGTGTGTGTGTGCGTGCATGCGTGCGTGCGTGTGTGTGTGTGTGTGTGTGTGTGTGAAAAAATGGAAAAAAAGAATGAAAAATGAAAAATAGGGATTCACTGACCAGAAAAAGCCACTTCAATCAGCTGTGTGGTGGAAACCAGGCTAAAATTAGTGGCAGTCAATTCATCAGCCTTGCAAGCTGTTGAATGGTGTAACCCCAGCACAAGTTGCTATGTCTAACATAGCTGTTCGCTATCATCGCTTCTGCGATGGGCGTGTGTGTGTGTCTGTGTGTGTGTGTATGTGTGTGTGTGTGAGGTGCAGAAAGGCAAAACAAAGGATTGAAATCAGTTCTTTTTCTCTTGTTACATGTCTCTCGATCTTTATTTAGATTATCAACTTTGTTCCCCATCGGTATGAGTACATTGTTGAACGGTTTGGCAAGTTTCACAAGAAATGTGATTCGGTAAGTTTCTAGTTTCGGGCCGTACGCACATACAATGCTGGCAACTGAAATCCGACCCCTGAGCGGTGCGCTCACATCGCAAAGACCCAACACGGGATTGTAAAACTACGAAGTAGAGACCGCTAGAAGGTGAACGCGCCGCTCAGGGGTCGGATTTCAGTTGCCAGCACTGTACTTGTTCAGTGCTGTACTCACCGAAATCCTATTGTGCGCGTCAGCACAGTGCTGGGTACTGTGCATCTTCAGGTCTGCCAACACTGCACGGCTGTTTTTTTGTGCGATTTCACGCCACTTAACAATATGGCCGCCGAAAGTCTCGATTGGGCTTCAATGGCAAGAAAATTTGAATTTTCAAATCGTCAGAACACGAGTAGGCCATGGTTTCCCCTGGATATTGGAGACTAGTCAGCCCGGACAGCCCGGGGAACACGCTGATCATCTGCGTCTTGTTTCAAGCTTTCCGCTCGTACCTCACATGACTGCCTTTCCTTCAAGAAACATTTGTTCTGTGTCGTGCGACTTTGGCTTCGTTCTGGAATACTCCTTTTGTCGTCGCTGACAAACTCGGCTCCGAGAAGCCCTTCCCGATTTTTTCCCAGCTTAGATCGATTTTTTCCCAGGTATAGGACTATCCTCTGGTTGTCTTCCCCAAGTGTCATTAGAATACGCGCGTGAACTTCTAAATGCGCGCGACGAGTCAGGAGCCTGTTTTCTCTTGATTTGGAAGACAAAATGGTGTGGCGCTTTAGTTGCTGTTGAGTGTAGAAGGCTGCTTCCTGCTGTAAATTGCTTAGTCGGCATGTGGGATATTATAGAAGAAGACAGCAGCCGGCCAAGTGAGCTTGAAATTGTGATATCTACCCTATTGTGCGTTGAACGATTACGAAATGTCTAACTTGAATGTTGTACACGCGAGCACGCCATGCAGAGGCTGACAATCACTGGCGAAATCAATCTCCAGACTGCCAGGAGTACTTCGCGCAAGTTTGAAGTGGAAAGACAGCTAACTGGGCAGGCCAGGACGCCTTTCCACCTTCTTTCTCTCTCAAATTGCCGAAAAGTCGAGTATCTCGCTCGAGTGCTTTCAATTCTCTTGGTTTCGCGTCCCAAATCGTGGAACCACGCGAGGATCGACATGAGTTTCTTGCAAAAACGCAAACTCATCGCGTATTTGTACTATTCGCACAATGTTACATAAATCGCACCGAACGACGCCATATTGATAAGTGCCTGCACGTGAACAGCCGTGACTGGGCTGTGCACGGGTGCGGGTGCTAGTGTTATTAGAGAGGTTCTGCTATACGTGAAACGTAGAGAAATCACGTAGAGAGCAAGTGTCTGGGTTAGAGTCTACGGCTTCGCATGTTTTGGGTCCAGATTTCTACGTGTAGATGAGGTTCTCTACGTTGTGGCACACGCAAAGAAAATGCGTACGGAGCTGCTGGGCCCTGGGTATCATTCGAATGCAGGCAGAAAACTGCCAAATATGGAAGGGGAAATTCCCAGTACACATTCCACGTGACTACTCTACGTGAAACGTAGAGCAGAACAGGATTTCTTTACGTTACGGGAACGTGAAGAGAGTTCGCGTGATTCTTTGCGTCGCGTTCCCGAAACGTAGAGCAGTACTTCACTATTGTTCATCGTCACGGGATCAGATTTCACTGAGTGTGACCATAGAATGTTCTCTCAAGTTGTTTCCTGGCACCCCTGGGTCCACTAGTTCCTGTAGGTGTTTGTCGTTGTACTGTGTGTGTGTGTATGTGTGTATTGTATTTTATACCCTCTTGTCTCATTTCTTACCTCCTCTTTCTTTCGTTTTTTTTCCTTTTCGTGTCTCCCCTTGTGCATACTGTTTCTTCGCTCGATATATCACTTATTTTTCATCAACAACCACACCACGGCTGCGCTCTCCGGCGGACCTCGACAAGTTGCCACAGCACACCACCAACAAAGCGACACATCCGTTGGTATTGAATTCTGAATTCCTTCAGTTGTGGTGTGGTGGTTGATGATCTGTACAGGGCCTAATGCTGCTGCTCACCCATGGAGGTCAAGAACCACTTTCTGTCCGATTTTGTTCAAATTTTCTGGGTTGAAGCATCATGAGGGAAAGCCGTTAATCCTAAATTTTTGCTGGTGTGCAATGAATCCTTCTCTATATTTGGGGCCTGTGAAAACCACACCCATACGTTTGCATTTATGTCACGAAATAAGAGAAACACCTACTTTTACAAACAGGAGTTCACTTTTCATTTGTTTCTAGGAGGCAGACTTGTACTAAACTATGATATAAGTGCATTTCAATTCTCTTTCTGGAATTCAGGCCCACTATAATCACACACTGTTGAGGCAAATCCACTGGAATCAATTACGAGAGAGGATCATTTCTTCGCATATTTCTCTAAACAGTGGGTGAATGAGTCCAATGACCTAACACAACATCATTTTGACATAACTTTATGATAATTACTGACATTACATGAAGCAACAGATGAAGGTTGGAGGCACTGTATTGTGTCGAATACAAACCTGTCTCTTTCTTAGAGAACGCCTTGTTTGGACTACTTTGAGGGGCCATAACCCCTCCAAAGTGCCCAAATTCATACCCTAGTTAGTATAGTAGTATATTGATTTTCTCATTCAGTACACCCATAGCATTGCAAGAAAAGGTGTCAAACTGGTGAATTTTCGGAAAAAGTATTTCGGCATGAGCTACCGTATTTCCCCGATTGTAAGTCGCACCTTTTTACACTAAACTTCAAGGGCAAAGAATGGGGTGCGACTTACAATCGAGTGTGACTTCTTACTTATGTGAATGCATTGAGACGATTTGGTTCGGACGTGAGAATGGGCTGCGACTTATAATCAAGTGCGACTTATATTCGGGGAAATACGGTACCTTAAATGATTACCACCCTTGCGATGCTCTTTATCCATGCATTTCATTGGGTTCCGGTTGCTTGTATTTCACACAGAATGCACGAAAACTGGTCTGCGAAAAGTCGTGTGTCATTGAGTCCTGATGATGGCAGTAAAAGAAAAAGAGATTTACTGTAAACTTCCTACTGTTTGCTTGAACCATCGTGAAATCAAACTTAAACAGTGGGTGTGGTATGTATAGCCGCAGTGCTGCCATCGTAAAGTTGCTGGTTCTGAGAGATAGCAAAAATTTAGTGGCGTGAATATTGGGCGGTTTACAGAGCATGGTTAGTTTTTCTTGCCGCGATTAGCTTCTTGTGTTCTAGAAAGTTGACCGCCTATTCAATAATTGTTTGTTTTGCAATGCATACAGGGTATCAACGTTCTCCTGCCATTCTTCGACCACATCTCCTACGTGCAGAGTATGAAGGAAATTGCTGTAGAGATACCGTCTCAGACTGCCATCACAACAGGTACACTGCCTGCTACTGTCAAAAAGTGGAATTATATGGAATTATATGGAATTATATGGAATTATATGGAATTATTCGTCTGGAATTTAATTTCTTCTTTTCGTCCCAGGAGCTTTTGGACTAAGTCAAATGCCGGACTAATTTCGATTTAATATTTGTCCTGCTTTTCAATACACTCTTTGGGCGAAACTGAAAGCCGGACGAACTCCCTTTCTTTGGAGTTGGACGAAATTATAGACTGACGAAATTTTGTGAGTGTCCAGTATACTCAGTTTGGATGCATCCTCCCAGTTGGTGTGCGTTCGCGCTTGTTTGCTCGTGTGCACATGCGTGCGGGTGCGTGTGTGCGTGCTTGTGCGCGCGCGCGTGCTTGTGCGCGCGCACGCGTGTATGTGTGTGTGTGTGTGCGTGTATGTGTGTGTGCGTACGCGTGTGTGCGTATATGGATGCGTGTTAAGCATTGGATTCCCGCCATTTCGTATTGCATTGACAGCCCGCTGCGCAACCGCACAAATTACTACACGGATCCAGCTCTGTGCGTGTCCACTGTTCCTGTTTCTAATAAGCGACGCGGAGACAATAGCTTTGCTTGTTTCTGTTTCTGTTTGCGCAGACAATGTGACCATACACATTGATGGTGTTCTGTACTACAAGGTGGTGGACTCGGTTAAAGCATCGTACGGTGTGGAAGATGCCAAGTTTGCCATATCGCAGCTTGCTCAGACGACGATGAGATCTGAGTTGGGTGAGTGCCGCCCTCGGTCATTTCGTGCAGAGTATACCAGTCTGGTGTAGTGTAGTTCAGTTTGGTGTGGGGTGTTGTGGTGTGTGTGTGCGTGGTGTGCGTGGTGTGGTGTGCGTGGTGTGCGTGTGGTGTGGTGTGCGTGGCGTGCGTGTGGTGTGGTGTCAACCGACACTGTACAACTACATGTACTGTGAAGTACCGCGAGAGCGCCTCACCTTGATTTTACAGCCAGGAAAAGGAAATCGTATGGCAGAATGCAACGAAGTTTGTACGGTGTGAGAACCTTAGTGTACCAAGGTCACACTTAGCAGGTTTTTGTGTGGAGTTCGTGTCCGCCCGAAGGTAAATTTGAGTACGGATTAACTGCACGACGTGCAATGTGTGTACAATGTTCGTATCGTATGACCTACAGACAGGATACCACCTCCACAATACGACCACGAAAGGATGAGATGGCGGGGCGCTCTCGCAGTACTCTACCGTACATGCATGCAATTTTCGTCGTCCGGCATAGCAAGCTGCGTTCATTTCAGAGGGAGCTAGGAAGGGGTCCGAGTACGAAATGAACGATGTTCGTTTCAGGGACGACGGAACAACGTTTGCGACGCCCCTTTACAGTGTTAGTGCCTGACTGGCAGTGTGCCGGTTGGGGACATGCTGCTTGGCCGCGCTGACTTCTAAGCGTTTGTGCTGTGATGTGTTTGACTATTGACCGTCATTGGTGCTGTCCAGGTCGCATGAATCTTGACACCATCTTCCAGGAGCGCTCTCAGCTCAATACTGCTATTGTTGGTGAGTGCTGCTTGTAGAGCTGCTCTGTCTTGCTTCACACTGCGTGTAGAGCACCACCACACTCCATTACTCACCCCAGTGTCTGGAGATATGTGGATTTTTGTAGAAACAAAAAGAGAAATAGAAACTGGTTGAGAGACCCACTGGTGTCGGCGGCCACTTTTCTTTGTCAGAAAATGTTGTTGTTGACTTTGTTTTAAAATGGAGTTCCAAAACAGGCTTAACCCTACTAACAATGGCTTAACCCTACTAACACAGGCTTAACCCTACTAACAATGGAGTTCCAAAACAGGCTTAACCCTACTAACAATGGCTTAACCCTACTAACACAGGCTTAACCCTACTAACAATGGCCCCACTGGTGAAAAAGAAAAGAAGAACAAGAAAGAACAAGTACTGGAAAGCGGGAAATAAAATAAGCACACAAGCCGAAAATGTGTCGGTTGTGCAGGGGACACCCAAGGCTTTCAGACAACACCCTGCGTTCAGACAAGGCCATGCTTTGTAAATACCAAATGCAAAATGTTTTGCAAAATCTGATAAGAAATTGGATGGATCGGGACTATCACTGAAGCAGAGCAATGGAATTGTCTAGTTGGGACAGTGACCATTTGATTAAGCAGTACCGTATTTCCGCAGTATAAGCTGCACTGGAGTATAATGGCCCTTACACACTACGTACATGTAAAACGCAACTAACTTGAGCATACGTTGCGTATGCGCCAGCCTGATCAAGTGCAGTTGCACACTGACATGTGATCTGCTTTTTACGTATTCATTGCCATGGTAACCTTGTGGTGGCGGGAAATTCAACAAGAAAATGTGGTGCAGTTCGGATGAACAGTTCTGCTCTCAGAACGAGTGCTGTGTGTTCTTCTTCGATTTTGTTCTGCATCTTTCGTGTTGGAGCCATGCCCATGGACCTCAGGTTGACTCCGGCAAGGAGAAAGCGGCGACGTAAAATTGTTGCCGCCATGATGTTGCAGGACCTGCAGAAGCCAGTGCATCTGATGGCGGTCCTGTTCTTGATATTTTCAAGATGACTGATCACAGTTGCTCAAATCTCATGGTCACGACGATGTTCAGCATGCTGTTGTGGAATGGTACCGTCAAATACAGAATTGGTCGCAACTTACGGACAGCTCACCCTGAGAACGAGTTTGGAATGCCTTGTGGATTTTGGGAGAAGGAGGTTTTGGGGACATGGGAGCGTGCCAAACTTCAATCTATCGACTGGTGGAGGACTGCGTGGATTGCGAATTTTCGCATGAACATTTAGCTTTCTTCTCCAGAGGTATCGCCACCTGATCGTGAAGCAAACAACGCATCTGAGACGAACCATTTCCCCTGGCAAGCGCCTGGCTATTCTATTGTACTACAGTCAGACCTCGTTTATCCGGTCCTCTTTTATCCGGATCCCTCACCATCCGGAAGAAAATCGTTGGTTACCGATTTACAGCATATGCCATGCATACATACAGTGTGTGTGTTCGATTATCCGGTTCCCTCGCCTATCCGGATATTTTTGTGGGAAACGCTTGTGTGCGATTATGCGAGGTCTGACTGTACCTCGGCCAGGGTGAAACGTTCTCAGAGATTGGTGCACTGTTTCACGTAGGAACGCCTACTGCCAGGGCCATTGTGCATGAGTTGGTTGAGTCCTTGGTTGCGCCACTGACTGCAGACAGCATAGTATTTCCAGTCGGTGAGCAACTGCAGCGCACAATGAGACGCTTCAAAGAAATGAGCACGTTGCCTCTATGCTGTGGTGCTGTTGACGGCACATTTATCCGCATTTTGAAACCAGAAGATTACGGAGATTCGTATTGGTGCTATAAGCAGCATTCGGCTATTCTTCTCCTGGCATGTGTGGACTCCAGAGGCCTGTTCACATTTTTGGATATTGGCGCACCTGGAAGTGTTGGTGATGCCGTTGTATTCAATGGCAGTGCTCTGAAGGCCAAGCTGATTGCTGGAGAATGGGGAAACTTTGCGACGTGGCAATGCAATGGCAAGACTGTGAGGCCGTTTGTGGTTGGAGAGAGTGCCTTTGCATTGAGTCCAGTTCTGATGAAAATCATCGCTGGAGACAACGTCACTCCCGCTGCATAAAGCTTCAACTACACGCATATTCGAACTAGGCGTGTTGTTGAATGTGCGTTCGGCCGGCTGAAGGAGAGGTTCAACGTGGTGCATGAGACCAACTCCAATGATCCACAGTTTGTGAGCAAGGCAGGTTTAATTTGCTGCGCACTCCACAACATCATTGAGCGACGTCATCTTGGCCACTTGCCGTGCTACCGGAACTATGCACCAACGCCACTGCTTGAGATGCATTCATCATCCGGAGAAGACATGCGGAATGCGTTGGCAACCTTTGTGCATTCACTGTGATGTTCTTAGTTATTTTGTTTGTTGTGGTTTCTTGGGCTATTCATTCACTTTTGTTTATCAATTAAATTTGTTGGTGCAAGTGCAGCGCTATGTGTTTATGATTCCTTTTTCTAATTGTGTATATAGCAATTTGGGGTGCTATTTTCTATTATTATACTGATTGTACAGTAGTACTTTGGAACAAGATGGTGGTCTGACCGTCATGTGCCATTCACGTACCTTGAAAATAGCTTTTTTTATTTATTTTATTTTTTTTTACTAAGGCCACAGCTTCCAATCATGACATGCAAAGCAGCGGTGCAGCATCGCAGGCATGAATCGTGCCGTGTCATTGTGCAGAACAGTCTGGATCATGCTGTGGATAGAATCGAAGACTATAATGATACATGTATGTAGTCGGATGAAAGTTTGTTCTCTTGATGTGCTGTATGTCTTTCACCCTTGTAGTTTTGTTGAAGATCATTTTATTCCTTGATGACAGTCTGTCTGCACTCTAGTTGTGCAGCGAAACACAATTACGTATTTTGGTTGGCTGGCTCGTCCAACTTCAGCAGACATTGCGTGCATTTTTTTCTGAAGGGAGGTGACAATGGGTTTGACACAGAGAAATCTGACATATAATTCCATTGTAATCCGGCATGTTGGCCACGTGCCGAGACCTGGTCTTTATTTCTGAAATGAAGTGAATGAAGATATTCAAAGTAGATCGGGACAGCACTTTCTGCTTGTACACAACCAGCATACCACAATGATCAGTGCCAATTTAGTAGTTGAATTTACAATGCAAACACACTAAGGCAAGAGTCCAAACTGAAGGATATCACCAGCAACTTGTCCATGAAGTAATAGCTATGCCTACCTTCCGAAAGTAACACAATGCAAATTCAAACAGGGTGCAGCGCATGCTTTTAGCTTCGACATGTATATCACAGAAGAGCCAAGGTGGACAGTGGATGCACAAAAAAGCAAAAGTGGAGCATGAACAGGGCGTAGTAGAGCATGTCCATTGCAGCGAAAGACAACACCGGAAAGCAATCGGGAGTATCAAAAAGTCCTTGACAAGAAAAGAAAAACAATATGATACATTGTGTACAGGGTCCAAATTTTACTTGTCGTCATCAAATAGCTTCTTCAGGAAGACCATCTGACTTTGGACAAGTGCTTGCGTATGCTCCCGGTTCTCTCTTACGATGCCTGCAACGAAGCGGTGCTGATTCTCCTGCAGCTTCAACTGTGTGTCAGAAAACCTGTCCACCATGCGCATTCCAACATCCTCGATAGAGGTGACATCAGGTGGTGGAGCACTCGATCTCTTCTTCTTCTTCTTCTTCAATGGTCCAGTGGGCACATCATCGTCTTCGTCCATGTCGTCCTCCAGGATACGCGCTCTGGTTTTCTCACCTGGCCTGTACGTGGGTGTGCATGCTGGCGTTGAACTTGCAGTCGCCCCTGCTGGTGAAGTTACTGCATGGTGTCTCCGACGATATCATTGTCGCTGTCGTCGCCGCTCACTCTCATTGGTGGGCGGGATGCTAACTACGATGATGGCGACAAGGATGAAGACAACAACGATGATGGCGACGATGATGAAGACAACAACAATGACGATGACGACGACGATGACGGCAACGATGATGACGGCCGAGACACTGCACTTGCGTCATGACTAGTGGGTCGTGGTGGGTGTTCATCCGGTATGCCAATGGCACTTTCAGAACGACTGGCCTGTGAGATGAGGCTGCCGCCACCCCTGATAATCGGCGGATCGACATCAGGTATAGACACAGAGGAGATGCTCCTGAGTGGGCCGAATCCAGGCACATGTCTAAATAATGGATGCCACGTCCTGAAGTTGGCCCAGCTTGCATACGCTCCTTCTAGGTCAACCTCTCCAGTCACAGCGCTGCCAGTTGTTGTTGCCGACTGGAGTTTGCGGTACAAATCTTTGGCCTTCGACTTCAGATTATCGATCTTGTAGTGGATTATCTTCCCGTTGAAGTCCACATCAAGACCGATTGACTTTCCATACTTGTTGAGCTCCTCCGCAACTTCTTTTCTTTTTGGGATCTCTTCATCATACTGCCGCTCTTCGTTTTTTGATATATCGCCCACAGCTCCATGAGCTTCGCCTCCATTTCTTTTGTGAACTGGATTTTCGGCATCGTGTCACGCTCAGCAAGCAAACAAGATCGAGTCTACTACGGCTTGAACAACACGAGTTCAAGTACGAGAATTTCAGAAGCAGGCGAATAGTCCGATGGACAGCTGAAATTGAAACACGGAAATCCACACAGCACCAAACAGCAAAAACACCAACAAGAAGTTGAAGTCCGAAAGCGCGGGAAGGCATAAAAGCTAAAAAGCAGCCTTCTACACCCGTCCGAGATCTGAGTAAAACCTTTACAGGAACGCAACAAAAAAGCGGTTTTCTACGTAGTGTGTAAGGGCCCTAAGCCACACTGGAGTATAAGCCACACTGGAGTATAAGCTGCACTGGAGTATAAGCCACACTGGAGTATAAGCCGCACCCCCATTTTTTTGCCTCGCAATACAGACATTTATCCTATTTATCATCGTTAATTTGATCATCGGAGTGTAAGCCGCACCCCCCCCCCTTTTTTGGGGTGAAATTTGAGTGTTCAAAGTGCGGCTTATACTCCGATAAATACAGTGCTTTGAAGGTCCATCATGCTTATATTGGAGATTGCATTAGAAGCTCTTTGAACGCAAGCACATGGTGCCCATGTATTGGAGACTGTGCTTGTACGAGTTCAAGATCTGCACCGTTCAGCTCGAGAAAGGAAATCTCCTCACCAGGACCGATGCTGGCTCAACAGCAACATCCCTACCGGTACTTGATCCGGCAATTCATTGATCCGGCAATTCATTGGTCCGGCAATTCATTGATCCGGCAATTCATTACATGTACTAGTAGTGTGTGTTTGGTAGACTAGTGTTTGGATAAAAACAGGTGTTTTCTCCGGCTCCGAAAGGTTCATCTTGTTCTACTGTCGTGGACATGGAAATCCGGTCGAATGACGCGGGGCCGGCGCCCCCAGTGCATACAGAACGTTGTATGAAGAGCACGTGTTGATCGTATGTATTATCCTCACGGCTGCATAGCCAGCGCCTTGGGCCGCTTGACTTCCGACCGGATTTCCATGTCCACGACATTAGGTTTACTGTGCTGACCGTGCACTCATTCTATTACTGTGCCACGATGCCTCGAGGGAGATGTTATTCATAGTCTTGTGTGTGTGTGTGTGTGTGCGCACGCCCTCGTGCGTACATATTACTGTGTGTGTGTGTGTGTGTGTGTGTGTGTGCCCGCATGCGTGCGTATGTATGCATCATTACAATCGCGCGCACGCGCGCGTGCGTGCCTGATTTGCCCAACAGAGGCCATCAATCATGCTTCCAACGACTGGGGCATACAATGCATGCGTTACGAAATCCGTAAGTCACTATCTGTGTGCCTGCCTCTGTGTGCCTGCCTCTGTGTGCCTGGCTTCTGTTTGTCTGGCTTCTGTTTGTCTGCCTTCTGTGTACCTGCCTTCTGTGTGCCTGGCTTCTGCGTGTCTGCCTTTTGTGTGCCTGGCTGGCTGTTTAAATTTCTGGCCGGCTGTCTGGCTGTATGGGAGAGAGACTGATCATGGTTAGCGAACTCCGTGCTGTTATTCAAGAGATATTTTGATTAGATCCTGTGCTTTTAGAGCCACTTGACTAAATCCTCCACCTGTCACCACCACCAGCATGTCCATGTCCTTTGCTGTGCTGGTGTATTTCTGCTTCATGCATTGGTTCGGTTAAGAGCGCATGGTGGTGACGGGTGGGGGACATAGTAAAGTGGTATATGGCCGAACTCTGTCGCAATATTTTATAGCCTTTAGAGCCTCCTAGGGGCCCTTAGGTCCAAGGTTACCAATACTATTTTCAAAACGAAATGTTTTCGTTTGGGGGTGGGTGTGTTTTAGGAGTTTTGTTTTCAAAATAATTATTGAATGTACATGGAGAATTCCCAGTTACTGCTGGGTGCCGAAGACTGAAATCAATATTTTGTTGGACTGCGTTTTGCCCGCAAAAAGGGTGGGTGGGGTTGAACAATACTAAAACTTTTCTTTTCGCAAACACAATCGGTAACCCCAGATAGCCCCTTATTTATGTAAATTCTTGTGAATTATCTCTTGTTTACTCGTTGTGTGCATTGTGAATTTGTGACCATGACAGGTGATATTTCACTACCCACCAAAGTCAAGGAAGCGATGCAGGTCCAGGTGGAAGCTGAACGCATGAAGCGTGCACGCGTGCTCGAGTCTGAAGGTATGGCGGCCACACCAAGTACCTTTAGCATCTCTCTTTCGCTTTCTGTGTGTGTGTGTGTGCATGTGTGTGCGTGTGTGCGTGTGTGTGTGTGTGTGTGTGTGTGTGTGTGTGTGTGTCACTTCAATCAGCTGTGTGGTGGATACCAGGCTAACATTAGTGGCGGTCAATACATCAGCCTTGCAACCTGTTGAATAGTGTAATCCCAGCACAAGTTGCTATGTCTAACATAGCTGTTCGCTATCATCACTTCCGCGATGGGCAGGTCTGAGGTGTGTGTGTGTGTGTGTGTGTGTGTCTGTGTGTCTGTGATACCAGGCTAAAAATAGTGGCGGTCAATTCATCAGCCTTGCAAGCTGTTGAATGGTGTAATCCCAGCACAAGTTGCTATGTCTAACATAGTTGTTCGCTATCATCGCTTCCGCGATGGGCATGTCTGAGGTCTGAGGTCTGTGTGTGTGTCTGTCTGTCTGTGCATGCGCGCGCAAACTGTTGAATGGTGTAATACCAGCAAAAGTTGCTATGTCTAACATAGCTGTTCGCTATCATCGCTTCCGCGATGGGCAGGTCTGAGTCTCAGTGTGTGCACACGCGTGGGTGTGTTTGTGTGGGTGTGTGTGTGTGTGTCTCTCTCTCTCTCTCTCCTTCCCTCTCTCTCTCTCTCTCTCTCTCTCTCTCTCTCTCTCTCTCTCTCTCTCTCTCTCTCTCTCTCTCTCTCTCTCTCTCTCTCTCTCTCTCTCTCTCCCTCCCTCCCCCCTCCCTCCTCCCTCTCTCTCTCTCTCTCTCTCTCTCTCTCTCTCTCTCTCTCTCTCTCTCTCTCTCTCTCTCTCTCTCTCTCTCTCTCTCTCTCTCTCTGTCTTTCTCTGACTCATATTGCTGCCATGGCTACCTGCTCAGTCCTATTTAGCTGATTGTTGCGCTGTAGATGACGCCCAAACAGCCAGCTGTGCTCGGTCAATTCCGGGCCCATGCTCATCATCGAAGTATGTAGTGGAAGAGAAAACTCTCAGCCTTTCCTTTAGAAGCAATTGCCGCAGCAATGCAACCAACAGTTGTTAACCTCTTTAGCGCGAGCGTCGTACTAGTACGACGCACGCGTGTCCCGTACTTGGTCCGGCTCATGGCAATTGTCGCTTATCTATCGCCACTAACAACAGGAGTTTTTTACCGCTCTGTGAAATTTCCAATAGGCATAGTGAGGAAGCATGATACATGAATACTCTCCGCCACAAGAAAAAATATTTCAGCAACGGAATCGGGTGAAGCGAGTCGAAGAAAGGAAGCAAGGTAAGCAAAATGCACGAAATAAATCAGCGAAGGAGCGCGTTCTTGCACTCACACTCTTACAGGTCCAGAGTTCATTCAACTCTGCATCACTCGAGCTGCCGCGCCGTTCCATGAGCTGACATTTGCTGATGTCTAGCTGCTGGCGTAGACTGGTAGAGTATTATTCTCTTGCTTTCTCAGCCTGTCGTATGGCAGCCGGGGGAAAGGAACAGTTGTGGCTGTCACTTCGGTATTTGAAGGAACCGTGGCCAGTGTGACCTGTGTGTCACCACAGTGTTGTTTCAACAAAGCCTTCGAATGAAGCATACAGGCCTCTCCAGACAGCTGTCATACGCTCCACTGGATACGCTGATCACGACTCTTGTAATGCTGCTGCTAGGTCCACCAAGCGAAGGAACAACCAACACGTTGGCCGAGCGCATCGCATCAAAAACATCTTTCTTCTTCAGCATGACGCTCATACTTCTCTGCCGTGCACGCGTGCCTGTCACGCTCACCAGGATGTCAGTTGCCCCTGCCACAGTTCCGGTCTTCGGGTCGCTGCGCTTGGCTTTTGGCAACACAGACAGTGAATGGCCAGATTCCCACTTCCCAAAAAAGTCGAACACATCGCGATTCAAAGCGCTAGTCGCGATCAGTTTTCTTTGGTGCCTCCTTTGATCTTGCCATCACAACCTCCCAAGCAAAAGTAAGGCTGTGTTTACATGAGAAATTTCAACCCGGGTCGAGTTCAGCCCGGGTTGAAAGTGTGTACGACAAACAAAAGAGGTGAGCGTTTACATGAAGACAGTTGACCCGGGTCAAATACTGATATGCCGCCAAAAGTCCACTTCTACAGTCCTGTATGGTCACGTGAATCCGTTCGCGCGAAATTTGCATCTGCAGTGCTGTTCAAACCTGGCGCGAGATACGCACAGAAGTACGTTTGTACGATTTTCTTGACCCGGGTTAATTTCAACCCTCCCCCCAAGGGGAGGGTTGAAATCAACCCGGGGCGAAATTTCAACCCGGGTCAAGCGCAATGCGTCATGTAAACGTGCCATTCACTTTGTGCACATGGCGGGTTGAAATCTGACCCGGGTCGAACTCAACCCGGGTTGAAACGCTTCATGTAAACACAGCCTAAGTTAGGTATCGTGATTGGACTGGGTTTTACCTGTCAAAAAATGCGTGGGAGATAAGCGACAATTGCGATGAGCCGGACCAAGTACTACTACAATACTGTGCAGTGAACCTGCATATCATAGTCGTGGGGTCCGTATCGAGTCCCTAGTGGCTCGTTCAAACTATCGTAACTCAGTCAATACTTGCTCGATTCTCACAATCAAAACATGTATCTGCAAGAGAAAACTCTCAGCTGGCAATAGAAACAGTCGCCGAAGCGATACGACCACCGGTTGTTGAAATATGCGGCTCTGACACGGCAAATTTCAACTAGAGTTTTTGCGCAGTGTACAGAACGCGTATTTTCCATTTTGGATCATTTTTGCGCTGCCTGCTACATTGGATACCAGATTTGAACGATGGTACTGGATCTCGAGTCCTCACAACAAATTGATCTCGATACGAGCAAGGAGACCGAAATGGCAGCTGAATATTTGAGCTCTTTTAGTCTTGGCCGTGCTCAGGTCTGTCAACCACGTGGATGAAGTTTGCCAGACTGGAGCACGGGGTTTTGGTTCCGCTCCGAGCTGGGTTTGAGACCATTTTGTTCCTCGTGTCAAGACCTTTCCAGGAAACTCAAGAACGTAGAATTCGTCAAAGGGAAGGTAAAGTTATCGATCCTTGAGCAGCTAGTACTTTCATGGGGAAATGCGACTTTTACAGATGTTGACGTGGGGCGCGTTCAGGTAGCGTTGTGCTAAAGAGGTTAATATATGGAATGTGCAATGTTGGCCGTAGAACATTGACTTGGTTTTTTTTGTGCGCGGCATGGCCAAGCAATATCTTCTACTTTTATTCTTTTCTTATGGCCTGCTACCATAGAAACAAAATTCAAACAGGGCAGGGGTGTTCAGCAAGGCTCCAAAACAGTTTGAGCTTGACACGGGGAAGGAGAACACCCGATTTCTCGAATATGTGTGACTTGGCAGGCGGACCTCGGGGTGGTCTGTAGCGCTGGCTTAGTGTTGAGTTGTCCTCAACGTTTGCCTCGTCTCTAGATATTTCCAGAAAGCCTATTTTGAAAATCGTCCAAAGGAAGCCAACGTTGTTGGTCCTTGAACATGGAGTGCTTTCAGTAGAAAGTGTGTGCCTGTACATGTGCCTGTGTCTGGCTGGCTGGCTGGCTGGCTGGCTGGCTGGCTGGCTGGCTGGCTGGCTGGCTGGCTGGCTGGCTGGCTGGCTGGCTGGCTGGCTGGCTGGCTGGCTGACTGGCTGACTGGCTGACTGGCTGGCTGGCTGACTGTGTGTGCCTGGCTGGCTGGCTGGCTGACTGGCTGGCTGGCTGGCTGGCTGACTGGCTGGCTGACTGTGTGTGGCTGGCTGGCTGGCTGGCTGACTGGCTGACTGGCTGGCTGACTGTGTGTGCCTGTGTGTGTGTGTGTGTGTTCGTGTGCGTGTGTGCGTGCGTTTGCGTTCATGACTATACGTGCATTGTCGCTCTATAGGTATTCGTCAAAGTAAGATCAACGTGTCAGAAGGAGAGAAGCAGTCTCGTATCCTGCAGTCCGAAGGTCAAAAGCTGCAAGACATCAATCTGGCTGAGGGTTCGTTTCACTGTTCTCCTTGCATTTTGTTTGCACAGTTACACATTTTACATGATAAATTGATGTAACGGTCTGAGACGAAATGTCTGTATCCCACTAAAATTAATACTACTATCTTCCGAGAGCGAGGCGCCGACGCAAGTACTGAAGCGACGAAGTCCGCACTGTAAATCATGAGATCACACTGCATTCTGCAGTGTGATGGTGCCTTTCCTTTCCTTCTTGCATGTTTGTACTACCATCTCTTGCTTAGCCCATTATGGACAGGCTGTACTACTTGAATCTTTGCAACATATCGATCCACCGTAGCTCAATCATTTCTGGGTTGTGTCCAAAGAAGAAGAATGTATGCAGGTAGAACGTCGATGTACTGGGAATGCCGTGCCATAGCTGCAGTGGATGTGCAGCGAATGTTATGCCATAGCTGCAGTGGATGTGCAGCGAATGTTGTGCCATAGCTGCAGTGGATGTGCAGCGAATGTTATGCCATAGCTGCAGTGGATGTGCAGCGAATGTTATGCCATAGCTGCAGTTGATGTGCAGGGAATGTTGTGCCATAGCTGCAGTTGATGTGCAGGGAATGCTGTGCCATAGCTGCATGTACAGGTTTGGATGAGAGAGTTTGCCAGGTTTTTCGGCATGCAACGCCGCTATCACAGGTTCAAAATGTCTTGTAGAACTCCAGTTTGATGACAATAATTATGGTGCATTCTGCTTTATAAGGTGCGCATTTGACAGTATTTGCTGTTGTGACCGTATCATGACCGACTCAGCTTGCAACATGTACGTGTGTATGTGTGTGTGTGTGTGTGTGTGTGTGCGTGCGTGCGTGCGTGCGCGCGCGCGCGTGCGTGCGTGTGTGTGACAACTTGTACTTCGGCTTAGTTATTGAGCGTTGGCGATCCCTTCTCGTGGAGCGTGGAATAGAGTCTGGTGTGGACTTCAGCTTCACAATTGATGGCCAGCTGTTCCCTCGTGTCACTAGGCGTCGTCCCCACTCCGAGTCCGGCCATGCTGATGACTTCGAGTTTGCGGATGATGCTGTACTGCTCGCTACAACTCGCAACGCAGCCGATCAATCCCTGTGTGCCTTTTGTGAGGTCGCATCCAGCTTGGGTCTCACAGTGAGCATGACCAAGACCAAGCTTCTCGTTGCAGGTTTCGGAGTTTGCCCTGCTGATTGCTCTGATTTGGTCATTGGCAGTGATAGGGTTGAAGCAGTCACCTCATTCCCCTATCTTGGTTCCACCATCACTCCAGACTCGCGGTCGCAAGCGGACATTCGGAGCCGTCTAGCAAAGGGTGCAGGGGCCTTTGGTGGTCTTCGGCGCATCTTACATGACCGGAGCCTGAACCTCCCTACCAGGCGTCACTTGTATGTCGTTTGCGTACTGTCAACGGTTCTGTATGGTTCAGAATGCTGGACGCTGTTGAAGGCAGATTTAGATAGAATGGACCGGTTTCACCATGCCAACATCCGCTCCATCCTTGGCGTATCGCGAGGCCGACAGTGGGAACAGCGCATCTCTTCACAGGAACTGCGAGCACAGTGGGGTGATCCCACACCATTGTCACGCATGGTGCAGCAGAGACGGTTGGAGTGGCTTGGGCACCTGGCTCGTCTTGATGACACCAGAGTACCGAAGCAGTTGCTGTTTGCCTGTCTCCCTCAGTCTCGGCCATTCTGTGGACCTCGTCGTCGCTGGAAGGACACCATTCACACGGACCTATCCGTGGCTGGAGTGCGTAACTGGTTTGAGTTGGCAAGCGATCGTGGAGAGTGGCGTGGAGTGGTGACAGCAGCAGGTGAGGACAAGGAACCTGCCCCGAAGAGCATCGAGTGCCCAACCTGCAACCGTCTGTTCCGCCGTAGTTCCGACATGGCCCGGCACAAGTGTTCAGCGATCCGTCGGCTCCCGGTATCGGAGCAGCCTGGATCAGTACAGTGTCCAACATGCAACCGATGGCTACGTAGCAGAGGAGGCTTTGCGGTGCATAAGTGTCGGCTAGGCGATGTCGACCAGCCGCCGGCCCCTGCCCCTGCTCCTCTTGTTGTTCCGGGTGTAACTTGCACCAACTGTCAGCGTTCATTTAAATCGGCTGCGGGTCTCAAGCGTCACCGTTGTGGAACCTGTCCAAAGCGCCCTACTGTGGCTGAACGCCAACAATTCAAGTTTCACTGCCAAGTTTGCCACAACCGACAGTTCCGGAGGCGGCAAGATCTGGAACGCCACTTGGAGCATTGCCTTCCTCCCCCCTAACCTCTCTGACAGTACCTCCCATCTGGGAGCGGCGTGGCCAATCCTGGCAGCTGTCAATAGTAGTAGTAGTGTGTGTGTGTGTGTGTGTGTGTGTGTGCGTGCGTGCGTGCGTGCGTGCGTGCCACACTAGTACCAAGTATTACCTTCACTGGGGGCAGGGGTACCTGCAGTTGGATCCCGGGACGGATACCCTGATGCCGTCAATCCTTTTTCTGCACCTTGTCCTCACCCACTTCCTGAGGTGTGGTGAGCCCATAAGTGGGATCATTTCAAGTCCACCCTAGTTTGGGGATTTCAGGGGGTGTCGGCCGTTGGGTGGTTCAATGGCCAATTGAGTCATCTTTCCAAGATTCCTTTTGAGTCTCTCTCCCCTCTCCCGGGGAGACCCACGTGACCAGTTTTGGCAGTGAGCAAGTACAAGAACAAGTGTGTGTGTGTGTGTGTGTGTTGGTGTGAACGGTTGCGCGTGCATCTTCAGGTCAAGCGAAAGCTATGGAGCGAATGGCCGTAGCTAGAGCCAGTGCTCTGGAGAGTGTAGCCGAGGCAATTGTAAAGAAGGTAAGAAACGGGTTCTACAGCCGTGGCCAAAGAAATCCGACCCGCGAGTCAAAAAGTAGCGCCACGTTTCCATTTCAATTACATCATACCAAGAGTACATAACCCCCAGAATGTGCAACGCCTGATCCAGCTCTGCATAGGGTCTTGGTCGAGCGTAGTCGGATCTTCTGATGTCATGCGTACACTTCACACCAGCGCAAGGACGGTCTCGAGGCAGGGCACCGTTGTTTTTGATCCGAGAGTACCCGTGACTCCCCGGGTTCCCCTCAGATGTGTACGGCATTATGACGCAAAGATCCGATGACGCTCGACCAAGACCCTATGTACAGCTGGATCAGGCGTTGCACACTCTGTGGGGGGGGGGGGGGGGTATGTACTCTTGTCCATACATGTTCCCAAAACTGTTCCGTGGGCCGCATGAGCCTTGGCGCTGCTCTCAGCACGCGGGTTGGATTTCTTTGGCCACAACTGTAGTTGTGTACATTGTGCATTTCCCTTCAGTCATTTGAGCATTTTAATTGTTATATATAGCACTTACTTCTCGGGGGGAAGAGGGTAAATGCAGTTGAATCCTGACATGGATATCTGGATGTCGCCTATCCTTTTCTTTTGCACTTTGTCCTCGCCCGCTTGCTGCAATGACTGCAGTGCGGTGAGGCCAACCGTGGGATATTTTCCTTCATGTCCAAGTCCATGCAGAGTCCAGGGACAGGAGCAGAGGTGCCAGCCGCCGAGTAGTTCAATGCCTAGTGCGTCATGTTTCCAAGATTCCTTTTGAATCTCTCTCCTCTCTCCCCGGGCTGATTCACCAGATTACTAGTAGTTCTCGGCAATGAGAGAGAACTGTGAAGTACTGCTGATCCACTCCCTCTCTAACGTTCGCCCCCTGTCCGTCGATTTCCTGCCTATGAACTTGTGTGAAGTGACTTCAGCATACTGTATAAGCAGAACATTTCGTCGGTCAATAATTTTGTCCAACTCCAAAGAAAGGGAGTTCGTCCGGTTGTAAATTTCGTCCATGGATCATAAGAGTGCATTGAAAAGCTGGCCAAATCGATATTAGTCCGGCATTTAATTTAGTCCAAAAGATCCTTGAAAGAAAAGGACAAAATAACTTCCAGACGAATATTTCTTCTTGTACAGTATACTCTAATTTCAGAAATTTTCGGTGCTCAATATTTTCGGTGTGAAGGCAAAAGGCCAGGTTAGGTGAACAGAAATTGTTGGTACGGAGAAGCAGTTCCCTATTGGATTATGTGTGTTAGTGTTTATTCGGTGTATTGAAATTTTAGGTATGAAAAAGACCCACCGAAAGTACCGAAAATAAAAGTACACCGAAAATTTGTGAAATTACGGTATGCCTAAACGAGGTGCTGAACCGCTGCCTGCACTGTCTGTGTCAGTACTCCTGTGGCTGTCCACAGTGCGGTACGAGAGACTTGTGGAGCAAGTCTGACTCACTGTGCTGTACTGTACCGTACTGTACCGTACTGTAATGTTTTTTTGTTTGTTTTTTAATATTCACAAAAATTAAAAAGAGAGGACTATAAGGGGTGCGGTCACATTGAGGGAACAATGCTCAGATTATAAACCGGGAATCATCTTTTCTACTTTTCATCACGGCCACACTGGATACGCACGATGAAAAAAATCTCACCCACACGAGATATTTTTTGGCACAATTCGCTTCTGGCAGGCTGTCAGCCCCGCTCCTGGGCCAGAGCTGCATCAGCACAGCTTCTAGAGTGTCGCTCCACTTCATAACGCAATAAAAAAACAAGGAAACTCAAAGAAATCCAGTGGAAGCCGCGGATGATTATAATCTTCGGCGGAAAAGCGGGGCCTAGCAAAGAATACGCCTTCCTCCCACGCAGCGACTGGAGGTATGCAATCCGGCTCACCAGTGCAGCAGCACCCTTGCCGCATCCTACGGTGGAAGAGAGAACAGCGAGGAGAAAAGTGGACCGCTCCACTTCTCGGACTCTCCTATTGTATCGACGCCGTTTCTCTTGCTCGTGGTGCCGGTAGCAGGCAGAGAGAGAGGAGGTGCTGTTCGAAGACGCATAAGGGTTGAACACCCGTACATCAATAAAAGTACATTCGAACCGGGGGAGTACCCCCAAAGCGTACATCGGCATAGCAAGAGGATCTCCCTGTGTGGTGCTTTCACGCGATAGGAGGCACTCGCCGTCCACGAAGAGGCGGGCTGGCTGGCTGACGGTAGCAGTTAACGATTGCAGGTGTGATGTCTGGACAGAGGTGCGCTACTTTGCGCATACACACTTCTCTGTTGAGGCAATTGAACGCATTGGATACATCCGCCATTAGCACAGCGTCTACGCCTTCTTCGTGGAAAGTGTCGTGCATGGCGTGAATGGCCGCCTCAATGCCACATTCCTGGCCTCCGCACATCTGCAGTGACCCTGTCGCCTCACGAACAGAGTCCCCCGCCACGCTCAAGATTGCCTTGCTGACAATACAACGGACGGTTTCGCCGATGCCTATTGGCCGCATACCAGGTTTCTTATCTAGGGGGATAAGCCGGCACGCCATGTAGGCTTCCATCGATGCTAGGTTGATGTACTGAGTGGCATAGGCACAGCTGGCGAGAGCATCACAGAGGTCATCTGAAGTGTCCCCAAACGCTGTGCACATACATCTCCAGCTATCTGCGTCCATCCCAGACGGCCTTGCAGAACCGGTGGTATGCAGTGCAGCTTGGAGCGCAGCGGTCCTGTCCAGCCTGGTGAAGAGCACTGGGTGGGGCTGTGCTGGGACTTGCCCTGAGAGGAGCCGCTGCTGTGACTGCCTCGCCCTGTGGATGCTTACTGCGCAGCACATCCCGCACGGTCGTTTCTCCGATGGTGTAGTCAAGATCGAGAACTCCACCGCCCGTGTCGGGGGTACGGAGTCTAGTGCGGTCTCACATGCTGTGGTTGCTCTGTTGTCGGAGCTCGTCCTGCTGACCGTAAGGTCCGTTACCGTATCACCAACAGAATTTCGTGCAATTCGTACGGGTACGGTAGCTGTAGTCGTCGGTTGAGAAGACGGTTGGGATGTCGGGGAGCTGTTTCGGCATCTGTTCTTCTTCGAGGGCAGACCATTCCGACACTCTCGACCCTCCTTCATGCATTCGCACCGAACGCAGGTGCCGTTGCTGTTGCACTGGCAACAAGTGGCACCCTTCATCGGCTGGTTTGCAGGAGAGGCACGTTGAAGTTGGAAAATCCACTGAAAACTACAGAGCTCAAGAAACGCGTCCCTACGTCAACATTCAAAATCCCCCTGGCGGAGGTAGGGGTGCGGCCACGGAAATCGATCTCTGGAGGAATCGTTCCTGGATGAAGACGCCTACTGTACTGGCTGCGTGTTCGATTATGCACTTGAATCGATTCGGATGAATCCATTCGCATGCATTCAAGTCGTTCGATTTTCATGTCAAGAGCCCTGGAATCGATTCGGAATCCATTCACCCTATTCACATGGGGTGATGTGAATAGCGCGAATCGAATCATGAATCGATTCGCGTACATAATTGAACGCACTCACTGTACGGTACTGTACTACACTGTACTGCACTGTACTGGGGACAGGCAAAGGATTGAAAGGAGTATTGGTTTCGTCTCACCTGCCCGTCTAGTCTCACGGGAAGAGCGGAATCCTGAAGAAAATATTGACCGGTCGCTGCTTGGATGACAGCTAGCGTAAAGTCTGCTGTCAATGCACACCGCTTCACAAACTAGACCTTTTTCAGACTTTCGAACTCGCACCTCCTGTAAATTACGCAGGCTGGTGGAACGCTGCGCTCCCTGCACCCACACACACTTCACACGCAACTTATAGTACGAAAATGGAGCCTCACTTCATCAACCGTTCATCAGTTTGAGGGAATGAAACCGGGGAAGTCTGACGACGGCGACATTGCCTCCATGATGTCTGTGTGTGTTTGCTTGTGCGCGTGCATGCGTGTGTGGGTGGGGATGCGTGTGCGTGTTTTTTCTCTTGCTGTGTATGTATGTGTGTGCGTGTACACGTGTGCGCGTGTATGTGTATGTGCATGCATCCGTGCTTGGGTGGGTATGTGTCTGTGCGTGTTTGCCCTCTTGCTGCATGTCTGTGTGGGTGCTTGTGTGCTCTGTGCGTTGGCAGGCGGGTGACCGCGCTGCCTCTCTCAGCGTAGCAGAGCAGTATGTGTCTGCGTTCAAGGAGCTGGCCAAGACTAACAACACTCTGATGCTGCCCAGCAATACCGGTGACGTTGCCTCCATGGTTTCTCAGGTAAGGACAGCCCTTGAGATGTTGTAATTAGCAACAATGAGACCACTGGACTTGAGGGTGCTGTGTGTAGGGTTTTTCGTGTAATGAGGTGGCTGCAGTGGAGCTGGCGCACATTAAGAAATGACAGCCCTTGTTGATTTTTCTGCTTGAACAACCATGTGCGGCGTCTGAGAAAGACCCCGTGCAGGGAATCAACTGTGTAGACGCTGCAGGTGAAAATCTGATCGTCAGGAGTACAGTGCCCATGTCAGTGACCCGCCACATACACACAACTCAGCGGCAGTATAAATACTGTCAGTGGCCCTCCACACACACCACCCAGCTGCAGTTTGAATACCGCCAGTCCCCCTCCCCGGCCACCACCCAGCGGCAGTATAAATGCTGTCAGTGGCCTTCCACCACCCAGCAGCAGTATGGATAATGCCAGTGGCCCTCCACACACACCACCCAGCTGCAGTGTAAATGCTGTCGTGTGTGCCCCCCCCCCCCAGCAGCAGTTTAAAATTTAAATACTGTCAGTGGCCCTCCACCACCGAGCCGCAGTAAAAATACTGTCAGTGGCCTTCCACACACACCACCCAGCTGTAGTGTAACAAGTAAAATACTATCAGTGCCCCCACCCCACTTGCAGTAAAAATATTGTCAGTGGCCTTCCACCCCCCCCCCCCCCCCCAGCTGTAGTGTAAATACTGTCAGTAGAGAGGTTCCGGGGTACGATTTTCCGTGCCAAAATCCGTATGGGCGCTACGGATTTTTTCCACGCGTGCTCCATACGATTTTTCGGCACGGAGAATCCGTGTGGACTGGCTTTCATACGAATCATGTTTCGTATGGAGATTTTGCGTCATCGGGTGCAGAAAGATTTTTCGCGTGCAAATTTGGTACGAGAAACATCGATTTTCCGCGGGAAGTTTTGATTTTGGTACAAATTTTCAAAATAAAAAGGCATAGCGCGGGAATGTGACGTGTTTGCGATCGTAACCTAGGCAATGACGGCAAACACATACGTTCCGTACCCCGGAACTTTTCACTGCTCGAAAACGACGTATCAAAAATCCGTAGCGCCACCACGGATTTTGGCACGAAAAATCGTACTCCGGAACCTCCCTATTGCCGCCACCCACTGGCAGTATAAAAATTGTCAATGATCTGCCACCACCCACTGGCAGTATAAAAATTGTCAGTGATCTGCCACCTCCCACTGGCAGTATAAATATTGTCAGTGATCTGGCACCTCCCAGCGGTAGTGTGAACATTGTCAGTGGTCTGCCACCACCCACTGGCAGTATAAACACTTGTCAGTTGTCCGTTGTCAGTGATCTGCTGCTTCCCAGCGGCAGTATGAGTAGTGGGTCGCTGGGCATTGAACACGACTCTGCTTGCTAGGTTGAGTGTCACTCTACCACAGCTGTACTTCATGCCAATGCTGTTCTTGCCTTGCTTGTTTCCATCTTGTTAGTCCTTCTATCTCTCCATTTCCTTTCTAGGACTGGCCTTGATGTCTTTGTTGGGCTGGTTTCTTTCTCTCTCACAAATGCCTGGGTTTGTTTGCCATGCTCTGCCTGTGTGTGTGTGTGTGTGTATGTGTGTGTGTGCGTGTGTGTGTGTGTGTTTGTGTGTGTGTGTGTGTGTGTGTGTGTTTGCGTGTGTTTGTATGTGTGTGTTTGTGTGTGTGTTTGTGTGTGTGTGTGTGTGTGTGTGTGCGTGTGTGTGTGTGCGTGTGTGTGTGTGTGTGTTTGCGTGTGTTTGTGTGTGTGTGTGTGTGTGTGTGTGTGTGTGTGTGTGTGTGTGTGTGTGTGCGTGTGTTTGGGTGTGTGTGTGTGTGTGTGTCCGTATATGTGTGTATATGTGTCTGTGTGTACTTATGGTCAGGCCATGGCTATTTACGGCCAGATGGGCAAGACACCAAATGCTGCTGGACCTTCCACTCCATCGTCATCAACGTCCTCACCCCCGGACACTACCAGCAGCGGCAGCAGTGACAGCGACAGCAGCAATAACACATCAAGTCAAAAGCCCAGAGACGAATCTGGACTGAGCGCAACCTCGTCAGCTTTGCCTGCTGTAAGCCGACACCTACCTAGATCCAGCATTGGCGATCCTAAATCTTTTCACTTCCAATCCGACCACTACAGACAACAGGATGGAGCCAAGCAAAGCCGGCAACAGGAGCAGTAAGCGTTATCGGCCGTCCCAGATGTACAGTCCTGCTCAATGAAATCCAGTCGCGTCACTCAAGTTTGCGTCGTGCACCATTTCGCATCCCAGCGTTGGCAGGTCTAGGTCCGCGCAACGCCGGTGCGTACTTGAGCGGCGGCGCGACTGGATTTCATTGAGCGGCGGTACTGTAGGTTTCTCACTGTATCACTGTATCCAGGTAAAGTGACATTTGTTGACGAGTGTTTATCCCCGTCAGATCCTTTGAAGCGGAATTGGTTCATTCGCGATCCTGTCGTATCTGCAATTCTGCACACATCGGTTATATTTTTCTCGGCTTTTTCGCGTTCTGTTGCCGCGAACCAATCTTGATGTTGCATTGGTCGTGGGCTGGTTTATCTCAGTGGCCGGTCACTGCGTATGTGCCGAGCTTCTCTTCCAGCCCAAAGGCGTTGTGTCAGTGCTTCATGTTACTATGTACTCTCGTAACAAAGGACAGGCGTACTGTATTCCTGTGTGTAGTGTATTCCTGATGCAGGATTCAAATTATTAGCTAATCCTTGTTCTGTTGAGAACATGTTGTTTTGTTTACAGCATGTTACACGTCCTCCGCCTTGTAACATGTTGTCAACCAAACAGCAGGATTCAGCGTGTGCACAAATCTGCTGCTGCTGCTGCTGCTGCTGTGTGTCCATTCTAGCATTATCATCTTTTGCTTGTTTTCAATTTCTGGGGAATAGTCACGGTACGCTGGTACGTACAGTCTATCCCTGCGTCTTGCGATTGTTGCGTGAACTTTGCGTTGATTCGAAGCAGTCAGCATGTATTTCCGCTACTAGTATCTCATTCGTCAGGCTATAGAAGTGTGTTCCTCGTAGTTGCAATGCCAATGCCGTTCACGATTGTTGTATCAGCAACTACAGCATATTGTACTGTAGTATCAAACTAACTTGTTGATGTACTTCTCACTGACTTCGAAGTATACTATACGTGGTATTATTGCCGTCACTACAAACTGTTCTTCACTGCAAATTCGTTTCTGCTTTCCCGCCCTTGCATTGCGTTTGTATTCTATATTCTGAGCAAGGGATGCGGCCCTTTTCTGCTTTAGATTCTATCGATGTGCTGCTGACTCCGTGCTCTGGGGCTTCCCCCTTTCTTCATTGTGTCTTTCTTGTTGCTTTCTTGTACTTCGAAGTAGATCTACCTGAAGTGCATTGTGCATGATGCATGGCTGAGTAACATTGTGCCGCCCCTCAACACTTTGCACACTGCGCGGCAGCAATATGCCTTTTCAGCATGGGCTGATTTCCTCAGCCATTTTGGGATTGTGAATTGTCATGGTTCTACTGTCCGAAGAGTGCTCTATGCCTTGAGGCTGCACTCCAATAAAATCAAAAAATAACGTCTGATACATCACCAACGTTAACCTTAATCAGGCCAATGTTCCCAAAAGGGAACATTTCTTTCCGCATGCGATTTGGTCAAGGGAAATTCATTTTTCCTCCGCATTTTCTGTTTATATACATATCTAGAAGGCTGGTGATCATGAATCTTGGAATATTTGTCAGGCTTTTGAAATTTTCAAGTATCGGGATATAACGCGAAATGTCGTGAATTTTCGGTATTCGGCCGTACATCAGAAATTGAGAATTCTGGTGTGAAAAACAGTCTTTCTCAGAGTAATCCACATGTTAGAAGTGCACTCTGCTACTATGGCCACCCAACTGGCCTGAATATTCACCGTAAATTTGATCATGGCACATAGAAACCCGCCGTCTTTCTTCGATGTTCCCAAAAGGGAACGTTGGCCAGATCCGAGACCCAGATATACCTCATTTTCACCTGATTTCAGGAACCAGTATATCTAGCGCATATTCCTTGTTTGTAACATCCGTAAACGTGGATATATAACTGATGGAGCCTTTTTGATGTTTTGATGGTAATTGGACCGTCTCCATGGTAACCAAATTTGGTCATATATTTGTGATTCACTAGCATGCGGAATACAGCAATGCTGTGCGAGGCTGACATTTGCCAAAGTAAAGATTGCTAAACAGTCTCCAAAGGAATATACTTTTGAAGTAGGTTTTCTTTTGTGTAAGAAGATTCACTTGAACAGTATTCAGCAAAGTATGGATGCTTTATGGCGTTTTCCTGCACTTTGGATGATCTTTTCCTCCGCGCGGTTGCATTTTTGTCAGAAAATATCGCTTTAGCTGTAATGTGGTATGGCAGAGGGAAATGTCTACAGTAGCAGAGTCCTTTCTGGAAAGGGACTCAAAAGTGATTCCAGTGGAAGCTAAGGACGTTGTTGAGAACTCCAACACACTTCAGGACTTAGTCCTAGCGCCACCGATTACTGGCAATCTGAACGTAAGCGCTATAGGGGTAAGGCATCCTGCAGCTCAGGAACTCGAAAAAGAAGTGGTGAGCACACTTGCTCCTTCTCTGAGCACTGCAAATTCACAACTGCATGGTGCTAATGATTCCGTGATTCTGATGCAGTGAATTTGCAGTGCCCAGGGAAAGAGCATGTGTGCTCAGCACTTCTCGTTGATCTGAACATGGACGATGAAATAGAGTAGTAATCAGATGATTCAACGGATGATAAGGGTTTCATTGAACTTGCAGGAGATATGGACCTAGACAACTACCACGTGACGAATGGAGAGGATAATGATGTTGGTCCCTTTCCTGTTGATAGTGAGTACGACCGCAAAAAAACGCCAACCCGCTGGAACAACGCGTTGGGTGAAATAGACTGGTGTTTACGATATGCGTCCTGAAATTGAACTGGACAAATCCCTTCACGATCACCATGAGATCACTGCAGCATCACCCACTTGCCAATCGCGAGGTATACACACCCTGTACATCTCTAAACACTATTGGACGAGAAAATACTGCGCGATACCCGCGATACAGACAAGGCCAACATTAGCTCGGAGACCGACAATCTTGAGAGATTCCTTGTGATTCTTTTTGTCTGGCTCCACATTCTTACAACTGATCTGAGAGTGCCAATTTTTCAAGCAGCGGTGAGCCCCAAGCCAATGTCCTACATTCAGGCTCATCCCGAGATCGCCGTCCTATTTTATTATAGCCGACCGCGCCCAGAAGCACCAGTGTCTTGCTGTTGATGTGCAATACAAGCGCGTTTGACAACAAGAATGTGGACAACACAATGTCGTTGTAAATGGTGCAGACAAACCACGATATGTTACTGTTCTCAGTGTGGAGTTCGACTGCATGTCGATCGAGGATCGAATGCCACGGTGTATACGAGACGCGAACGGTAGCAGCCGCAAACACTAAGAAACATGGCTGGACACTCTTTGACGACTATTAAATATTTTTTCTTCTCCATTACTGCTTGTTCATGTTTGCATTGCTCCACAAACACTTAGAAGACAAAATAATCCATTATATCATATTGCATCTTCCCTTCATAAAAACCATGGTCATTTTGGTACGCGATCCGGCCAACGTTCCCTTTTGGGAACATATAAATATTTCCATAACGCATGGACATATTCAGTTCAAACTTATAAACATGCTTAATTGGTCCAATACAAGCCGAAACAAAAGAAAAAAACTGCAAGAATACGCTGAATTCTTGTGACGGCCAAATTATTAATGGAAAAATACATGACGTGAAAATTTACAAAACTCGAATGCTGAGCCAATAGTATTCATGTAAAGACTCAAGTAAAGACCAATAAGTATCGAGTTATGACAACAGTCCACCGAGGTAACGAGACAATGGAAGATTTAGAACGGAGGAGAGGACCTACTTCAGTAATTTGGACCACAGCAGAAAATAGCAAAATGAAACAGATATTACAATCCATTCATTGGAAACTAGCACCCTAACTTTTTGGTGTCTCTCTCACATAGTTGTAGATATCGTGAAAACAACAGTACATCCTGCATTGTGTGACCCGTGCAATTACTCCTTGCCACATTTGAGGCCAGAAAAGTCCAAGAACAGGGAAATAGAAATTCAGCCAGGTTTTACAAAATTAGGACAGGTATGCCATGGCAAAATGTATGGAGAAGCAGATCCAAAACCCAGATTTTTGAGATTTAAAGTGGGTTTTTGATCCTCAATTCGGCCCAAATCCGACTTTCAAAAGCCAGCGGGCCAGTTTCCGATGAATGGACTGTAATAGGAGTGAAAAGAGAGTGTCAAATGAAGGGTGCAATAGGGTAGCGGTGGAAATTGGCCACTCGGGATTGGCGATAAATTTGGCTTGGGGTGGGAGAATCCCGGAAGAGACTAGTCGAGGCGGTCGGTTGCCCAATCCCAGTCAGACTGCCGCAGGTGGTCTCATAGACCTTCTTGAAGGTCTGCATCGACTTCTGGGAGGGGCGAGCATTAGAGACTGGGAGGAAATTCCAGGTCTCAATGATGCAGTGGGGGAACGACCGAAGGACATTGTTCCGAGATTGAGGTGGGACAGTCTTGGTCAGCTGGAATGGGTGGTGGCTCGCAATTGTGTGCATGCTGGAGCTGGCGGGGGTAGGAGGGCTGTGATCATGGCAGGGCCAGTCAGGTAGTGGAGCTTGAAGAGATAGCAGAGGGCATCAACAGAGCGACGGATGTCCAGGCAGCCATCGCCGATGACATGGAGTGCCCTACGTTGGATGGCTGTGAGCTTGGCTAGTATGGAGGGTGCTGCGCTCATCCATACCAGCATCCCATATTCCGAGATCGGCCGAACAAACCCACGGTACACTACAGCACGGCATCTTGAGTTGAGAGCCTTGGCAGCCCTGCGGAAGAAGCCGAGTCGCTGCGCACCGCGTATTGCGAGAGACCGTATGTGCTGCTTGAAGCATAGCCGACTGTCGAATGTTACTCCTAGGAGCCAGAGCTGATCCACCTCCGGTACATCTGTCCCCTGGAATGTGATACAGGGAACTGGGTTGTGAGATTGTCGGTGGGTGATCGTGAGGGCTTGCGACTTTGTCGGCTCAAACCTGATCCGCCAGGGGGTGCTCCAGTCGGCAAGTGAGTCAACAGCCTACTGGAGCGTTGTGACTCCATCTGGGATTGTGACTCCATGTGGGATTGTGACTCCATGTGGGATTGTGACTCCATCTGGGATTGCGACTCCATCTGGGATATTGGCTCGGGTTACACTTACATACCGTGATGTCGGCGGCATATACTGCGAGCTTAGCCCCTTCAGGTAAGTGGTCCTCTGCATCGTTGATGTAGATTAGGAATTGGGTTGGGCCGAGGATGCTGCCATGCGGCACCCCTGACGGTATTTGAAGGGTAGAGGAGGCCTTGCCACCTAAAACAACTTTGATCTTGCGGCTAGTGAGATAACTCTGCAGCCAACAGAGCAGGGACCCTCTGATACCGTATTGCTCTGCTTTATGAAGAACTCCTGGGTGTGAGACCTTGTTGAAGGCACCAGCGATGTATGTCCACTGCGAGCACCCTGACAAGGCCCCTGGGCAGCTGTCTGGTGCCATTCATGCTGGAGTGCGATCAGTAGATCTGATGTGCCAAGTCCGGCGCGGACGCTGAATTGCCTCGAGGACAGGATAGAATTCTTCTCCAGGAAGTCGGACAAACCACGGTTGATTATTGACTCCATGCATTTGGACATGACGGACAACAGGGAGATTGGTCGGTAATTCTTGGGATTGGACTTTCACTCTTTTTTTGCGGAACAGGGACAACATTTGCAAGTTTCCAGGTCTCAGGTTGATAGCCATTGCGGAAGCACAGAGTGGTCAATATCAGATTCGAGCTGTGTGAACATAGTCATGCCATGGCCAGGGCAGGTGCCAGGCTGGAAAGCTGCATATACAGCCATTCGTGTTCCTATGTGGTAGGTAGGTAGGTACTAGGTAGGTAGGTAGGTAGGTAGGTGCGTTTATATTTAAATTCGCAGAACCAAACGGGCGGCGTCGCCCAATTACATGGAAGCGAATGGAAACAATAATTGTAGAAAATAGCCTAACATGATTGCAGGGTGTAGTACAAAGCAAAGAACTGATAAAGCCTCCTGTACCGGCAAAGCAAAGGTGCTTACATAGTTAGAATCTGAAGAAAGACTCAATCCTGTGTTGCCATAACGGGAACTGAAACCCAACACAAATCTAAAAGGATGGCAAGTACAGACAATTGGCGGTGCAACAAAATCACCAAACGTAAGCACTAACAATGTTGAAACATGGTTGCTGGAGACAAACTCATCACGTTAGAACAAAATACAAGGGAGGCAGGCATGTTTGAACTGGTGGTACTGGGTAATACCACGCAAGTCGGATGGCAGGGTGTTCCATGAAATGG